TTTTGCACCTAAGGTTGATGCTTACCAGTGGATGATGCTGGTTCCTTTAGGGATCCGATGGATCGGAAAATGGAGGACTATCTTTCCAAGTCTTATGTGGCTTCAGGCACAAGTCTTCACCCTGCCGTTGCACTCACATCAGTTACAAGAGCAATGAAGGTCTGGCTACAGGAACTGGAAGAGGATATCAGGAGTGGCAGAGGCCATTCCTCCATATTGGATAGCCTGAAAGATATGAGATTAGCCATTGATTTATCATCTGAAGCAGCAGTAGATCTAGTGAGAAATCTTACCAGAAATATGTCCTTTACAATTTCCACAAGACGGGCGCTATGGCTTAGATCTTGGGTGGCTGACGCTTCTTCCAAGAATAGTTTATGTTCCTTACCATTTCATGGGAATATGCTGTTTGGGAAGAACCTGGATGAGTGTATTAAAAGGGCTGCCGAAGGGAATAAAGCCTTTCTACCGCAAGAAAGAAAATATAAGGGGTCCTTTCGTGCCCATAGAGAATACCATTCGGGATAGTAGATCGAACAAGACCGGAAGAGAATATGGCAGATTTCAATCTGGGAGAGGAGCACAATCCGGAGGCCCGAGGCACTTCTTCGTCCAAAGTCTCCAGGAATTTATGACTATATAATTCCCAAGTCAGAAGGAGTCGGGGCTTGTCTTCTTCAATACCCATCCGTATGGGCCGAATCCACAAGCGACCGTTGGGTACTGGATATTATTTGGAGAGGATACCTTCTAGAATTTTACAAGCAACCTTTCAACAGATCTTTTCATCTCACAAAGTGGCCAGGGGACAAAGAGAAGCGCATGGCCCTACAGAACTTCATCATTTCCTTACAAGCAGAAAGGGTTATCATAAAGGTGGCGGCATGCAAAAGAACGCAAGGATTTTACTCACACATGGCACCCAACCAATGGATGTTATCTATAGATCTATTGGACGCCTACTTTCACATACCCATTGTGCAGTCCCATCAAAGGTTCCTAAGGTTTGCTGTAGAAGAGGGCCACTTCCAGTTCAGAGCCCTTCCATTTGGACTAAGTACGGCCCCAAGGACGTTCACAAAGGTATTAGTGGTTCTGATTGCAGAACTGAGGAAGCAGAATATCGCTATTTAGCATTATTTGGATGACATCCTGATCATAGGGAACAACAGAGATACATTAACCTCCCAAGCCATCACCAGTATTCAGTTTCTACAAGCTCACGGCTGGAAAATCAACCCCAAGAAGAGCCACCTCCACCCAACCCAATCTATGATCTACTTGGAAGCTCACTTCGACACTCTGATGGGTACAGTTCAACTTTCTCTGACAAGAATTGCAAAGCTCAGGAAGCAATTAAGAAAAATTCTAATGTCTAGTATTGCTCCTGCAAAGGCAGTAATGAGTCTCCTCTGATCTATGTCTTCCACAATAGGTCTGACTAGGTGGGCACAGTGGAGGATGAGACCGTTCCAAGCCAATTTCCTAATGCAATTTTCCTCCAGGAATCTTCTCCAACCCATCAAGGTCTCCCTGGCTGTACGCCATTCTCTGATCTGGTGGCTGAGCAAAGAACACCTATCCAGGGGCTTTCCACTGGGGGACATCACATGGATAATGGTGACAAAAGATGCGAGCCAATTGGGATGGGGTGCCCATTGTCTCCACAACTTTGTACTGGAGGAATTTAGTTTCATGACAAGCAACGTACATTCCAATCTGCTAGAACTTCTGGCAGTTCTCAAAGCGTTGAAACACTTCTCAGTACATCTCAAGGGTCAGTGGGTAAAGATAAGAACAGACAACACCACTGTGGTATCCTATATCAATCATCAAGGGGGAATCAGGAGAGGCAAAATTATGTAAATTATGAAGCATCTGATGTGGTGGGCTCAGAGGAATCTGGCAGGTCTTACAGCCATCCATTTACCAGGGAAATGGAATCAATTAGTAGATTTCCTCAGCAGATCCAGGATAGACCCAGGGGAATGGTGCTTATCGGACAAGGTATTCCGCACCATTGTAGAGAAGTGGGGTCTCCCGCAAGTAGACCTACTGGCAACTCGAGTCAACAGGAAAGTGGGGGTTTCTTTACGAAAGAGAAAGACCATCTGGCACTGGGAAGAGACACTCTATCCAGTCCCTGGAGATTCAACATGGGGTATGCGTCTCCTCCATTTCCATTGATCTTCCCAATCCTGAGGAGAATGAGAGCAGAGCAGGTATCTCTCATCTTGATAGCACCTTATTGGCCTCGGAGGCCTTGGTCTCCCCTGCTCCAAAGTCTTTGTGTGGAACCTCCACTTCAGCTCCCGGGAGTTCCGGACCTACTGTTCCAGGGCCCGGTGTTGCATCCAGACCCATATTCCCTCAATCTCATGGCATAGAGACTGAAAGGGAAAGGCTTACGAGCAGAGGCTTCTCTCGAGCAGTGGTAGACACTATGCTGAAGGCAAGAAAGCATTCCACTTGAGCCACCTACTATAGAGTATGGGAAGTCTTTTCCACCTGGGCTCTTCCTAAATGCATTGATATACAGAATCCCTCTACCACGGATATTTTGGATTTCCTACAGTCTAGTCTTGATAAAGGCCTAAGTTATAAAACGTTAAAGGTACACGTTTCAGCATTATCCGCCTTGACCAATCACAGGTGGGCCTTGGATGCGGATGTTATCAAGTTCATTAAGGGAGTTCTTAAAATAAAACCTCTGATTAAGTCATTGGTCCCCTCTTGGAATCTAACTCTGGTCCTCAATGCCTTGAAATTAGAACCCTTCGAACCTTTTGAGTCAATTCCTCTGCATTTTCTCTCTATCAAGATGGCCTTGTTATTTGCCTTAGCTTCAGGCAGGAGAGTATCGGAACTTCACGCCCTACCCATTGAAAAGCCCTTTATGGTCTTTCACAAGGACAGAGTTATCCTCCGTACAGTTCCTGAGTTTAGGCCAAAAGTCACCTCTGCCTTTCATATCAACGAAGATATTGTTCTTCCATCTCTGAGGTCTGAACTCCAGGAAGAAGAGGGTAAAGCAGACCTATCTTCATTGGACCTAGTGAGATGTCTTCGAATATATATTGAAAGAACTGCCACTTGGCGCCCTTCTCAGAGTCTCTTGGTCCTTCATAACGGTGATAGAAAGGGCATGCAGGCCCCCAAAACAACCATTAGCAGGTGGATAGTGGCGGCTATTATACAAGCCTATCAATCTTCAGAATGTCCGGTCTCTGTGGGTCTTAAAGCTCATTCCACTCTCATCCTCCTGGGCAGCCGCACCCGGAGTCTCTCCTGAACTCATTTGTAAGGCAGCCACGTGGTCTTCAACCAATACATTCATTAGGAGTTACCAGATTGATGTCAGAGCAGGACAATCAGATCAATTTGCTAAATCCGTTCTTTCAGTATCTGATACTTGATTTTCTTTTTTGATATTTGTCACTTGATTATGGTGCTAATACACTTTGCATTAAAAAATTTTCTAGTCTGTGTCCTCTTCCCTCCCTGGGTTATTGCTTGGGTATTACCCAATGTTGTGCTGCCATGGATATGGCCAGGAAAATTGAAAATTTATTCATACTTACCATAATTTTTTTTTCCTGGACATAGGCCATGGCAGCACAAGGGTCCCACCCGGTATTATTGCTTTAAACAAGACAGGAGAAGGAGGGGTAGGAGGTGGTACTTATACAACTTAAATATTAAACCTGTCCAATTGGGATAGGGAGGAGCTACCCTATGTTGTGCTGCCATGGCCTATCTCCAGGAAAATAAACTTATGGTAAGTATGAATAGATTTTCCATTATATATATATATATATATATATATATATAATGTTTGATCATATATTGTAACTAAACCCCCATAATTGTTTGCCTAGTTAAGGTGTTTTTAAATTAAACTGTTACATTAGGTGAATGAGCGAGTGCGCTGGATTTTGTATGATATATATACTTTTATACGTATGTGTGTACATTCAATTCTTTTTTTCATTTAAATACGTCTGTTATGTATTAACATGCATTTCCAAGTATGTACAGCAGGAGGAGCCATTTACAGTGACCTTTAGACACTTTTTTGTTTGATGAGCATGTAATCATTATTGCATATTGAACATGAAACACAAGATAAGAGCTGTGGTTTAAAACCAAATAAACAAATGTGTCTGGCCCAATGTGTTAATTATCACCATGAATTGTGAATATATATATATATATATATATATATATATATATATATATATATATAAAAAACAGGGTATATTTACTTCACAGGATGTAATTTATAACCAGAATTTTCATCTCTGAAACAAGAGATAAAGAAGAATATAGTGTAGTATTTTAATTTATACAGATTTAAAAACATATGTGTATATACACTCACAAGTAAATAGTACATCTCCGCTATCTCCCCAAGGAAGTTCCACTCCCAGTCTTTGTAATCCTTTAGTACCAGGGTTAGCTGAAATCCTTGAGTCTCACATAGTAAATACAATTTTGGAAGAGACTGCACAAATGTGTAACTTACGGAAAAAGTTATCTGTGAAAAAGCTTGACACTTTTCGTCCTTTTGATTTCTTTTAGAGTAGCTCAACTGGAAATTGCTGTGAATTCAACAGTGAATCGCAAATTTTGGGCAAATATCGCCAAATATTAAAAACAAAATCCAACTCATACATATTTCGAAATTGCATATTTTGGCCTAAAATTTGCAATTCACTTGAGAATCCCTGACAATTCCCAGTTTAATGGCTGACCCTGTGGGCTTCCCCACTTAAACAGCTTTTAATAATATATATCATTTTACACATATTTCTGGCAAATTAATTATTTATCCGGGAAATAAAAATTTACCTATCGTACAAAATGCTACAATATTCTTTCAAGGAAGCAATTACGTGACTGTTAATTGCTCTGAGTGCATGGTGCACAAGGAGAATGCTGCTTAACCTGATGTATAAGTGACATAGAATGAGGAACTAATAATTTAGAAGCTACAAAAAGCTTTGCTTCTAAAACATGAGATTCCAGAGTATCTGTGAACTCATGCCAGATCATGACTGCTATAAGAAAGCTCAGCATTCATAAACTACTGACAAAAACAAGGTGAGAATAGAATATCAATATATATATAGAAATGTCCATAAATGTTTAATAATAAGGATATCTTTTATTTATTTAATTTTAATATACGTTTTCTAGTTAGCATGAGCTCAGTATGGACAATATCTCCTCCTAATATACAGCAATAATGTTTATTCAATTTTTTTTTTAAAACTTGTTTTTACTTTTTCTTTATTTTTTAATTTCTACTGGACTGGCATTTACCAGTACAACCCTCTCCCCCTTTTCTGTCCATGGGCTAATAGACTCTTCGTGGTACCCCAAGCTGCTGTATACTTCATACTTCAATATCTTGCTGGCCATTTTATGCTCTTTATAAGCAATACTTCCCTGCTCTTACATGCTACACTTGCTTTTGCACAGTCGAGTTTTATTGAACTACTGACATAACAGTTCGATTCTGTTTTAGGTGTTTTTATTTTGTTTTAGTTTTCAGAGTTTTTAGAGTTTTAGTGTTCACGAACTGTAGAGGCCGGTGTAAAAAATATAATAGCTAGCTTTTTGCTTGTTACAGTAGGACTCCTAGACCTCCAAAAGGTATTGTTCCAGTCCTAGTTTATTTGGCTGTACTACATTCGGATGAGTATGGCTTGTTAACCTTTTAATATTGTACTACAGCTGTGTGACGATTGTCTGATGTATACTTTGTACTGGATCGACATATAAATAAAAAGTTTATAAAACAAATTGTTAGGATATCATTGCATTCAGTTTATACACCGAGTACACATGACATGCTTCTAATTGGCAAACTTGCATGTGCAGGGTTTGATGAAAAGGCAGTCCCAATGAATTAATTACAATGCAGGTTTTGTAAATAAGGAGGCCTGTATCACCCTTTTTATTACTATAGCAAAGGGGTGATGGTCCATGGGACAATTGTTGTTGATAGTAGAGGACTACAATAGCTTGTCAATAGCAATTCTTGAACTTTTACTAATAAGCCATATTAAAGAATATTAAAAATGTAAGTCCACTAACAAGACCAAAAAAAGTGTTTCTGTTTTCAGATATTGCATAGAGTATGCTTGATGTAGTAGTATATTAGTAGATATTGTTTGCACCTTATTATTATTAGTAATACTAGTAGTTATGTCACTAACATATTCCCTGTCGTACTTTCTATTTTCTTATTGTTACTTCGTTTCTATTACATTTCACGTTTTACTTAAAGCTAAATTTGTCTGGTATTAAAAAGCAGTTTGGTGTCATTGTTCCATTGAAGACAGGGTCTCCAAGAAATTCATAAATCTTAGTTCACAGGGATTCACCGAGATTTGGAAATGATAAAAATATACACAAGCTTAAATATAGATAAAATTTGCGCCGACATAAACTACCATATGCATAACAATGTTTCCTGGGCAGCAAATATAGGACTTGGATGAGAGATGCTCACATTGGAATAAAAAAAATAAAAAACTGTATGTACACCATCAAAGCAATTTCTTACTGAATCTTTTTTGTCACGATCAGGTTTACTGGCCAGTCGGTTACAATGGGGAGAGTGTGGGCATGAAAGGGTTAAATGCGAAGTGTCACTTCTGTTGACTCTATGCTACTGAAGAAAACATTGGAAATCACCTAAAACTTGTGATAGCATTTTTTTTCATATGATACTCCGTTTTTAAAAATATATATGAGATATTTAGCAAATTACATCATAATCCAGTTCGGACTAGGTTAATCCAAGGCAAACATTGCAAACGAGAATGATAGAAACATTGTTTAATTCCTCCTCCTCTCTGGATGCTACCCTATGCTGAGTGCCAGGTCCAATGGACAGAGCATCAATGATTGATAGGGAGCAAGGTGAAGGTTCCAGATAACATATTGTGGATTTCTACATTTATTTTATTTTTCATGCCATACAAATTTCTTAAAAGAGGGATAAATAAACATAGCGTTAAAAATCTTTAGACATGATGGTCTGTAGTAAGGTTAGGAGTGGACCAAGAGGGAGGTTTGACATCTATCAAAGGATGAATAATGTCTTGTTCATCCAACAGCCTTACCAATGTTTGTAAATGATCATGATCTTCTGTAGCTATACCTATTTCTTTACATAACTTATTCTCTCTGCGATTATGTATAGAACATAGTGCCAGTTTTCTACCGAACAAATTGGTGTCCATTGTCCAATTAAAAACATTAACCCCAGGCGTAGGAACAAATGAAAGGCCTTTATTTAAAAGTGAAATATGATGTTTAGATGAAGTATATGACTTTATTCTCATCACTCTTAGGGATTTCAGTCGTTATTGCCTCTTGTTGATCCTCTCGGGCTTGTATCACCATTTTCCCCTGTCTCTTAGACGGCTCCTCTGTGGGGTAGGCCATTCTTGAGCTAAAAAAGTTTGTGATGTATTACTTAGAGGTGTGGGAATAGGGGTCTGGGTTTGTAAGAATGTAACAGTTTTATTCTAATTACTTAAAATCCCTCTTGAATTTTGTCTTGATCTAGATGTCGAATGGGAATTTTTTCTATTATACATAGAATTAGAATCTGAATCAGAACCGTCAGTATATAGGCTCCTTGAATTGGATCTAATATTAAACCGTCTCTTAGGTTGTTTTTTTTATACAAAAAATATTCCCTTCTTTAAAGTCATTGTAATCTCTCACAAACTTTTGGTGCTTTTTCTCTTTAATAAAGGTTGTGAATGATTCCAAATCGTTTTGCAGTTTTGTCTCCATTAGTGAATATTCAGGATTATTTTGAAAGTTCTTAGCTTTATTAATTTCCTCCTGTAAATTTTTGTTAGTTAGATCTAATTCCTCTTGTTCTAATTCTATTAGAAATGGCATTAGTTTAGAAGAGCAGTCTAATAGAATTGTGTTCCACCTGGTTAACTTTTCATCATTATCCACTTTCACTAGGGTTGAGATCTCTGGTCTGAGTTTAGGGTGGCGATTTAATATAGATGAGTGAGACATAAGACATTGATTTTGTGCCGACAAGTTCCTGCGATTAGTAGAACTAGTTAGAGTATACTCCAGAAACTAGAGATAGTACTTACCTCTCCTGATAATAGTTTCTTTACGGTATTTCAGAGACGTTCTCTTTGGGGGGTTGATGTGTGGGGTATTGGGCTTGCTTCCGAGCCCTCCTTCCTTTCCCCTCGTCACACATTATCACGAGAAGTGGCTATGCTGAATATTTAGGCGTGTATAGGGCTAGTGTGCTTTTATGCCTTTCGGTGGAGTTGGGCATTTGAATAGACAGGGACAACACTAACAGTTAATCGGTTACATTTTTCTATCTTATTGTAACGAGAGAAGTCTATTACAGTAACAACAACAAGAAACATTGTTACATGAGGCTAGCTACTTCCAATAACGGATATATGAATATCCAGATATACTTTATCTGATTAGGAAATCCTAAATTACAGGAGATATTTGCAATATATTTATTATTTCCTATTGTGGTTGAGAGATCAGGAACTATCATTAGATATCGGGCGTAGACTCATCTATCCTTTTTTACACTAAATGGGTAACTAATAAATAAGACCATTTATGGAAATCCACTTAGGAGAATACAGGATTTCACTTTGCACACCCTGCAATTAGCTTACCAAAAGCAAGACTTTGTAGGTAAATTTATTTATGACATTTCATGATTTCATTATAAGGACTAAGAAAGTCTGCAGCGGGCATTTCATCATTTAACCTCGCTTTAGTGAAATCACTAAGTCATCTACTTATGGTGGTCAGCACCATTATGTGTGTAGTTGTATGTAATTTTTTGGTGTAATTGTGTGTAGTACCCTTAGGGTTAAGGGACTTTTTAGAGTTAAAATATTAAAAGTGACGTTTTAATTGATAGTTTTAACACAATATCTTAGTGTTCCTCTGGTGGCAATACAAAGTAAAACGGGAATCCCCAACCTCTTCTTTTCTTTTCGTTAATCTATTAGGGGTTAACCCCCAGGGGGTTCCGGTGCTTTAAGGCTCTTCTTTCTTCTCTCTTTACATCCTTTTAAATTAACAGTATTAAAACCTCTTCACAAAACTAAATATTTGCAGAAATTAGAGCCTTAGTAAATTTAACTAAGAGCATTTTGGCACTTCACTTAACCACGTTATTACCAACCTCTGCCAAAAGTGATGGTAATATTTAATTGTATGTCTTCTTCCAATACATAGTTCATTTTCTTTGGGGATTTCACAGACCATGTGTTCGCCTAATCATAAAAACTCCATATTTGTATTTTGACACCAAGTACAGCAATACCCCACGTATAGACCTTTACCAGACTTTTGATAAAATGTAGGGTCAAATTACAAGCATGCCAATTTCAGTTTTGAAATGTCCAATTTTCACCAATTGATCTACTGACCCATGCCCCTGTTAGACAAAATAGAGACCCCAACTACACTTTTTGCTCCCAGCGTGCAGTGTTTAATATTGGGGCACTTTGTGTGTTTTCGCCATTTAAATCATCAATATATGCCAAATATTGCAGTTAATTTTATTATTTAATTATTTTTCACATACATATTGAATTACACATGCCTTTAGTGTTCTACTACTTCATAGACCTTTAAATTCTGCTTCATCTCTGCAGTCAGCAATACCTCACATGTATACATTTGCAGGATTTAAAGGGAAACTTACAGGGTCCGTTTGAGGCATGCCCTAATTTTGTCATGGTTTGCCATTTGACACTGGTTAGCAAGGTGACACAGATTGTGTTGCAGTTGGTCCAGGGCATCCAGTTTAAAAATCTAACACGTTTCTTGATTTCTGGAGGGATTTAATTTGTTAACCAACTGTTCTGTCATAAATCTCTGAATCACACCGCACATGTACATATTATTTTTAAAGTAGACAACCAAGGGTATTCAATATGGGGTATGTCCAGTCTTTTTTAGTAGCCACCTAGTCGCAAACACTGGCCAAAGATAGCGTTCATATTTGTTTGTGTGTGAAAAAAGTAAAAAACTAAATTGAACGCTAATTTTGGCCAGTGTTTGTGACTAAGTGGCTACTAAAAAGACTGGACATACCCCATTTGCAATACCTTGGGTTGTCTTCTTTTGCAAATGGTATGCCATCATGGGGGTAATTCTCATTCCTGGGCTACCATACGCTCTCAAAGGCAACGTAACCAACCTGGCCATTTTCAATGTAAAAATATTTGACCCATATATTTGACCCTGTAACTTTCAAAAACGCTATAAAATCTGTACATGGGGGTACTGTTATACTCGGGAGACTTTGCTGAACACAAATATTAGTGTTTCAAAACAGGAAAACGTATCACAACAATTATATCATCAGTAAAAGTGCTGTTTGTGTGTGAAAAATGCAAAAAAAAAGTCACTTTCACTGACAATATCATCGCTGTGATATGTTTTACTGTTTTGAATCACTAATATTTGTGTTCAGCGAAGTCTCCCGAGTAAAACAGTACCCCCCATGTACAGGTTTTAGGGTGTCGTAGAACGTTACAGGGTAAAATACAGTGCTAGCAAATTAAATTCTCTGGAATTTCGGCCTGGGTTGGCAAGCAGGTCCCTCAAATTGCAATCAATAAAATTACTGAATTATGTAAAAATATTACATAAATATGCACATAGAATTTAAATATATATGCATATTTATATATTTGAAGTCTACGTGTATATTTATATAATTATTTATGTAATTTTGTATATGGACATATGTATATTTTGTATTATTTTTATTTATTTATATATATATAGATATATATACAATTTCATTCTAAGTGTATTTTGATATATATATATATATATATATATATATTTTTTTTAATATCAAAATACAGTTAGAATAAAACATTTTATATAGATATATAATTTTTTTACATTTTTTATTATTTTTATTTATTTATTTAATTTAATTTACTTATTATTTGTATTTTATAATAATATATATATATATACAATATATATAGTTATTATATATATTATATATATAAGTGTGTAATTTAATTATAAGTGTTTTTTTATATTAATATATGTACATATTAATATAAAAATACACTCAGTATGACATTATATATATGATATATAGACATATATTATATAAATATAATATATGTCTATATATCATATATATATACACATATATATTTATTATTTTTATTTATTAATATTAAACTTTTTATTTTTTTTATTTTACACTAGCAGGGAGACTGCCTGTGTCTGCAGGCAGACACATGGACACCCATTGTGACCATGTGATCACTCTGTTAAGCGATCACATGGCCACAGGGGTCCTAATCCGCCATGGGGAGACTGTCTGGGCTGCAGGCAGTCTCCCCACACTGGGAGCACCGCCGATCGCCACCGGGGGAACAACGGCGATCGGGTAAGTACATAAGACCGTTAGGATGGTTCAGGACCGTCACCGGTCGGCAATGCAAAAATGCTGATGACGGTCCTGAACCGTCCTAGGTCGTTGAGGGGTTAAACATCTGCACAAACTGAAAAAATCACTTGTTCAGGCAGATAATTCCACATCTTTATTGTTCGTACTGTAAAAACCCCTTTCCTTTGCCTTATATGAAATCTCCTTTCTTCCAGTCTAAATGCGTGATCTTGTGTCCTATGTATAGCCCTGTTTATGAACATAATTCCAGATAATGGTTTGTATTGGCTCTGAATATATTTGTTTAATGCTTTTATATCCCCTCCGAGGCACTGTTTTCCCAAATAAAACAGATTTAAATGTGTTAATCTTTCTTCATAACTAAAATGTTGCATTTTTGTATTATTTCATTGCCCACCTCTGCACTTTTCTTTCTTTAGAACCGATGCCCATATCACATCCACTGCAACACCCTGATCTATACTTCTGCTCACTTCTTCGTAGTATGCAATTAAGTCAGTCTGACATGACCCATGTAAAACCATGCCGATTTTTGCTAATAATAATGTTCTTCAGAATGAATTCCTGTATCCCTTAATAACACGTCAAATACTTTCCTTGTCACAGAAATAAAGCTCACAGGTGTATAATTTCAAGGCAACAATTCTGAACCCTTTTTGAATATAGCAACCACACTTATTTCCACACTTAGCTCTTTAAATTCTTGTGGGGAAATACTGTCAGGCCCCGGGCTCTGTTTACATTAACATTCTGTAGTTGTTGCTGTTTTGAGTCATCCAATCACAATTATTTAGCAGCAATCATTTGCATATCTCATGCGATAGATTCCTCCTTAACATATGTAACGGATCGCCTGGCACCCCGACTGGGTACCTCCGTTAAAGGATGCTCCTAGCGCTTCCTGAGGACTCCAAGCACTGCAGCAGACACCACAACCACCGAACCGGAGAAGCATATGAATCCTCTCAAGCATATGAATGTTGTAGACAGTTGAATAGGAACCATACGAATAGGTTTACTCTCCTAGCAGTCAAACTGGAACAGCATACAATAAATCCTTCCCCCAATAATGAGACGACACTTCACTTTGAGGGTTAAAACAGGAACTCAAGTGCTGGCACACCCAGCCTGGTTTTTATTACAATCCACAAAACATAGTACAGCCCACAGGGTGTTACAAAACAACCAATCAATCCATACAATACACCCAGACACTCCCACACAAAATCCTCCCCTCTGCAGGTGATATGATTACTGAACACAATGGGTAATCTCATTATCACTGGCAGAGGAATACAGTTTTTATACAATATTTATAACTTCTAAAATATACATGTCACAAACATAAAACATACATTTTCATAATCAGTCCATTCAGGGGAACAACATATTAAAAAATGGCACGAATCAGACAAGGGGTTCAAAAGTTAAGGGAAAGTCCTTTGTGACTAAATGAAGCATGGCTTTCTGGCCCAAACCAGTTTCAGAGTCTTCTATCCTGGAGAGTAATTCAATTATCTCCCAGGATAGACACAAGACTCCATTAAGCACATGGTTGCAAAAAGACACAAAACACTTTAAAATACATAAAGTCACATTTACACATAACACACAGACATTTCACATATCCCCAGATAGCTGGGATCTGAGTGCACATTATTAGATGAATGGCACTCAGATCACACAAATAAGCCTTTCTGCAGGGGAAATAAACAGTTTAACCTGCAAGGCCATAGTCCAAAGGGAGCAGGCGAGCAACCAGGCTTCTCCAGTTCACAGTGGCGAGGTTGGTTTCGCCACACTTCTCCCCTTTACCAACTAGACTACCAGGGTATCTGACCTCCTGCCGGTCAGTGCCCTGGTTAGTCCAGCAACCCACCCACAAAACAGAAACAGCAGTACAGCCCACCCACAATAACTGGTTACTACACCTGGGCAGAGGAGAACTTTGTCCATGTCCAGGTGCCTCACCACGACTGTGTGGGCAACTGTTAGGCTGCCTTGGTGGGTTGCTGAGTGGGCAGAGACCAGCGGTACTCTGCCCTGATGCCAGTGCTACCACGGAAGTAGCCTGGTGGGAGCCTGGTTGTGGGAGGGAGAGACCGACTGTCTCCCCTCTGGATACACCGCTCTGTGGCTGGGGAACAGGACCGACTGTCCCTACCCCTTGTGCTGTAAGTGCAGAGACTACAGTCCCATCTGCACTGTTGGGGGTGTAACATCTCCCCTTGCTGGGTTAGGCTGCCGCTGGAGAGAGGGTGTAACAAGCTCCTCTCTCTGAACTGTAAACTGCCGCTGGGGAGAGGGGGTATCAGGCTCCTCTCCCTGACACTCTCTCTGCTGGTGGAGAGGGGGACCAGCTGTCTCCCCTTTCATTATTTTGTCCTGTGGTTGGGGTGCGAGACTGACAGTCTCTGCTCCCTGCAGGACACTCTGCCGCTGGGGAGGAAGGACGGCACCTTCAGCTCCCTGGGGTAAACACTGCCGCTGGGCAGGAAGGACTGCACCTTCTGCTCCCTGGGGTACACACTGCCGCTGGGGAGGAAGGACTGCACCTTCAGCTCCCTGGGATACACACTGCCGCTGGGGAGGAAGGACGGCACCTTCAGCTCCCTGGGACACACAGTGCCGCTGGGGAGGAAGGACGACACCTTTGGCTCCCTGGGACTCACACTGCCGCTGGGGAGGAAGCACGCAACCACACTGCCTGGGGAGGAAGACTGGCACCTTCAGCTCCCTGGGACACACTGCCGCTGGGGAGGAGCTCACCTTCAGGGGATACATACTGCCGCTGGGGATCTGGGCTGACTGCCCAGCATCCCTGTAGGGCCTTGTAGAGAGACCTCGGTCCCATCCCCACCTGCCAGCTGGGTGTCTTCCCAGGACAAGTCAATAAGGTCTTCCATCTCTGGGGCTGGTTGGGACATATGTGGTACAGTACCAAGTCTCCTGATAACAGGCTTGGTTGCTGGGGAGGAGGAACTAAACTCAATGCTTGCGGTGGTATACAGTCAATAAGCCCCATCATGTCAAAGACAGGCGGCGTTATACGTTGGAATAGGCAAACATAATCCTGTTCTAGTTCCCACTCTCGGTTGGCAAGAAAAGATAGATCTGGCTGAATGGCATCGATCTCTGTAAGGTCCCAGTTGTCTGCCCGCTCAGCTCGGATGGACCAGAAGCGAGCAATGTCGGTGTCTCCGAACCAGAGACTAGTTTCAATAGTATCCCACAACAAACCAGGGCCGTCGTAGTCTTCCCCCTCAATACACTTGTACTCAATCAGCCATGGGTAGAGGTGGTAAACATGCCACCGCAGGGCCCGATAGGAATCATCCAGCCACACCTCAGTCTCAACTAGCGTCTCCAGTTCGCTTACCCATTCCTCTGAGGGCTTGTTTCCCAATAACGGCATCCGCAGCTCTAGTTGTTCTGCTTGGCGCTGGTTAGTGGTCAGGATTTCCTCGCACCGGAAGGGTCGAATTTCGTCGATGTCCTCCTTCCAGAGATCGGTACGAAGCGCCACCCTCCACTCTGTCTCTCTTTCCTCTGGGATAGGATACTCCATACTGCGCATCACATCCTGTAGTCGCTGCTGGAGCCTGGCGTCAAAGTGAGATACTGCACGGCCTTCCATCTCTGAAGTAGTGCTGGTTTTCCCAAATCTTTATGTAGACAGGGACGCTGTATGAACACTAGCGTCGCCTTCAATTTGTAAATCCACGAACTGTGTCTCTGAGTTGCTTTACCTCGCACTAGGACGCCATCCCACCGCTTGCCACCAATTTAACAGATCGCCTGGCACCCCGACTGGATACCTCCGTTAAAGGATGCTCCTAGCGCTTCCTGAGGACTCCAAGCACTGCAGCAGACACCACAACCACCGAACCGGAGAAGCATATGAATCCTCTCAAGCATATGAATGTTGTAGACAGTTGAATAGGAACCATACGAATAGGTTTACTCTCCTAGCAGTCAAACTGGAACAGCATACAATAAATCCTTCCCCCAATAATGAGACGACACTTCACTTTGAGGGTTAAAACAGGAACTCAAGTGCTGGCACACCCAGCCTGGTTTTTATTACAATCCACAAAACATAGTACAGCCCACAGGGCGTTACAAAACAACCAATCAATCCATACAATACACCCAGACACTCCCACACAAAATCCTCCCCTCTGCAGGTGATATGATTACTGAACACAATGGGTAATCTCATTATCACCGGCAGAGGAATACAGTTTTTATACAATATTTATAACTTCTAAAATATACATGTCACAAACATAAAACATACATTTTCATAATCAGTCCATTCAGGGGAACAACATATTAAAAAATGGCACGAATCAGACCAGGGGTTCAAAAGTTAAGGGAAAGTCCTTTGTGACTAAATGAAGCATGGCTTTCTGGCCCAAACCAGTTTCAGAGTCTTCTATCCTGGAGAGTAATTCAATTATCTCCCAGGATAGACACAAGACTCCATTAAGCACATGGTTGCAAAAAGACACAAAACACTTTAAAATACATAAAGTCACATTTACACATAACACACAGACATTTCACATATCCCCAGATAGCTGGGATCTGAGTGCACATTATTAGATGAATGGCAATCAGATCACACAACTAAGCCTTTCTGCAGGGGAAATAAACGGTTTAACCTGCAGGGCCATAGTCCAAAGGGAGCAGGCGAGCAACCAGGCTTCTCCAGTTCACAGTGGCGAGGTTGGTTTCGCCACAACATATACTGCCGAAAAATAGTTGCTTTTAAATTTCTGCCTTTTCCTGGTCTTCAATAACTAAAACACCTATTTTTTGGTTTTTAGAATGTATGTACTTAAAAAATGTTGGGGTTGTTTTTGCTCTCTCATTTTCTAGTTTAGCCCATCTGCTTTCATTTTTGCAAGCATTATTGGCTTCCTTATATCTTATATAAGATCCCTCTGATTGGTTTGATTTAAATTGTTTAAATGCCCTTTTTGTATTTTTAATTTCTTGTTTTACATTCCCACTAAGCCTCATTGGATTCAGTTTGTTTCTTTTATATTTATTACCCAATGGTACATACGGAGAATGTACCTTTCTAATATTTGTGTGAATACATTCCATTTATCCTTAGTGGTTTTTTTTTCACTAAGGAGTTTATGTCATTCAATATGTTGTAAAGCTGACCTTATCTTATTGAAATTGGCCTTTTTATAGTTATATGTTTTAATATACTCCTGTGCATTTGTTTATATGAGTTTATTTCAAGACACCATATTGCGATCACTATTTCCCAAGTGCTCCCCAATTTGAAGTTTTGTTAAGAGATCAACATTGTGTGTTATAACCAGATCCAGACAAGCATCCTTTCTAGTTGGTGCTTGTACCAGTTGTGACATGAAGGTGTCATTTAATGGGTTCAAAAACCATATTCCACTTGCCGAACTACAAGCTCCCTCTATCCCAATGTTTGTCTAGGCAATGAAAATCTCCAATAATTACTGTGTCATCCTGATGTGCATCTTTTCCAATTTGCTCTAACAGCTGTTCTTCTTCAATATCAACATTAGGTGGTGTATAACATATCCCAACTAGAGATGTCGCGAACTGTTCGCGAACTTTTCGCGAACGGCTCGCCGCGGTTCGCCAGCAGACCCTCCCTCCCAGACCCTCCCACCTCCTGGACAGCATCCATGTTGAAGGCAGCTGAACAGTTCGCGACATCTCTAATCCCAACCAATAACTGATTTCCCTTCTTTTGCCCCAAGCAGAAATCTACCCACATTTTCTTTCTCACATGCCACTTGCTTAACTCATGGTTGACATACAAACATACACCACCTTTCCCGTTTTTTTTTTCTATTCTTCCTAAATAATTTGTGAACATTTAAGTTAACTGCCCTGTCACGTGTCTCATCCCACCATGTTTCCGTTAGGCCTGTTATGTCATATTGCTGAGTGTATGCTATTGTCCCTAGTTCCCGCATTTTGTTATTTAGGCTCCTTGCATTAGTAAGCATGTATTTAATTATATCATTTTTTTAAATATTTTATGTGAATTTATATTACTATTACATACCTCCACTGCACTGATTGCCCCTCCCCATCGCCAGTCCCCTTGTGTTGAGCTGGAGCCCATTTCCCTTCTGTCCTATATCCATTTTGTAGATTTATGTGCGTGTCCCACCACTTATTTAAAATCTCTCACCTCTTAGGTGCAATTCATCACGACTATAAAGATTGCACCCAAGCACAAAATTGGCCCGGTGCTCTAAAAAGCCAAAATCCTTCCTATACCATGACTTTAGCAAAACATTAACCTCCCTAATCTACCACTGCCTTACATATGTGGTGGGTGGTGCAGGTAATATTTCTGAAAATACTGCCTTAGAGGTCCTTTTCTTCAGTTTACTTCTTCATTTCCTGAACTCATTATTTAAGGTCCTGCATCTTGCTCTAACTTTGTCATCGGTACTAATATGGACCATGACAGCCGGGTCATCACCAGACCCACCCAATAATCTATTCACTCTGTCAGCAAAATTTCAGAACCGAGCATCTGGAAGACAGCAAGCTGAGACTGAGATGATCAGAGCGGCAGATTACCCGATCTACTCTCTTAATAATAGAGCCCCCAACACCACAACCTGTCCAACCTGTCCAACCTGTCTTACATTCTCAAATTCAGCTGTAATAAAGGGGCTATCCCCTTGGCGTTAGAAGGAACAGCTTCCTTCAGTACAGCTACTCCTGAGCTTACGCTCCCAACATCTTTACTCAAATGGTGTAAGGCTTTTATGTAGAAAATGAAGAACTGGAACACAACTGCAACGCTTTAATTTGTCACTTAAAGAGGAAATTTTAGCAAGAACAGAATATAACAGTGAAATGTGGAGAATTAGTATCTGTATCTTTAAGATTTTTCTTAAGATGTATCTTCACTTTAATAAAATAGATATGTATAATTTCACTTTACATTTCTTAAAAGGCTGTGTAGAAAACTTAACAATTTTGACCAGATAGATATACAATTTAGACAGCTTGAAAAGATGATTGGAAATTTAAAACTTTTTGATTAACTTAACTGTCACTTTAACTTCTTTTAAGCAGTTGTACTTCAATTGATAGATTGTCAGTATGTTAGCAGTCTCCCGTAACTTTAGAATACTTGGAAAGGAATAGAGTCTCTTTAATGGAATATCACTTTAAATAAATTCAGGATATGTAGACACAATGTCGCCTCCTTCAATAGTAATAAAGTCCTTTTAAACAAAAGTTGAAAGTATCTTGGCAACTTTAGTTAACACATTCCAAGAAATAATAATGCCAAGTAAACATCTTTGTATTAATGGGAAATCTGTATCCAGAATGAGAACCAATAAACTTGCACTTAGTTCTTATTCACTTAATTCCGGATTTGTATAAATGAAAGCTATAAGTTTACCGTAGAATGAGATTTTATAGATTTTATAAGCAATAAAAGTGTCTTGCAGTCCGAGTTTAGGATTGGAGAAAACAGCAGAAACGAGATCACAAGTAGAGGTTTGGTACACAGGCAAAATTGGTAAGTATCTTAAATGGCAATATTGAATTGCTGGAAACACACTGAGTAAAGTGAGTAAGTGATTCAATAGTGCTGTAAATCGGACTAAATAGGCGGGCCTCTGATGTCCGACACAAAGGCGGGGAGATTGGCGAAACATGGAAGTGCGGCAAGGGGCTTGCCAACCGCTGTATGTGACACAGGCAAATCTGTAAGGCAAAGTCAGGACTAGCAAAACCCTTTCTCTTCCCTCCCTGCCATTACCATGTGATACTGTTACCCAGCTACGTGCCTGTTCCCCAGCTGTATTATCGTCTCCCATTATACTAGAGGCGCCAACTAAACTCTGCTCAGTGAGCAGCAGACCCCTTTCAATATTGCCAATCTGTCTCAATGTTGCAAATCGCTTCTCCAGATCTCCAATACAAGCTTACAGAGAAACTACTTGCTCACCCCTGCCAGAGAATATGGACCCTGGACAGATTCACCCACGCATGCATACATGTAGCAAGATAAACAGAGTTTTATTATTATTATTATTTATACAGCTCCAACAAATGCAGAAACACTGAACAAGGGGTGGATTATTATCAGTATTCTAAATGAAGGTACTGTTCATTATATTTACATACCTCCCAACATTTAAAATGGACAAAATCGGACATTCATTTCAGAAGTGTGAGTGAGCGTGTGACCAGGGTGAGGGGCTGGTCTGTGTAACATGTTTTTCTATGGTGACCTAGTAATCATTTATATAACTAAATTGTAATTTAGAACAAGACCAATGTATCTTATTTACACAGACTCATTTTTAAACTCAATTAGTGTTGTTTAAAGATACATTAATTACTGTTACAACTATTGCTGTGGAGCTCTGTTATACAGTCAGACACAGAGTTGTGACCAAAATAGGGACTGTCCCTCCTAAATAGGGACAGTTGGGAAGTATGTTTTTAGCATCTAAAAAATGAACTACATTGAAAGTGTAATACATTTATTCACAACCATGCAATCAATTTTGTAGCCTTGCACTATCACCAATCATTACAACCCTCTATATTATTTCTTTTTCTTTAGTGTATCAATCTACACACCAAGTGCCTTCAGAATTCCCAACCCCTTTCAATTAACGTACTCTGCATGCCTGTAGCTTGCATCACTGTTTGCACCAGATAATACAGTTTATTAATCTCCTTTTTCCCCCACCTAATAGGGCGTATGCTTTGTATTGGACAGTGCTATGCTCTAGCTGGCCCTAGCTCTCTTCCTAGTATACTCCAGCAGCAAAACTGGCAGGATTTTTATTTTTCTTATAAGCAATTGCTGCCTGCTGAAATGGCTCCAATAAGCACTGCCTCTCTATAGAAGATCCTTCCCTTCTCTCAGCTATCATAAGAAGAATGGCTAATAGAATAGATCCAGAGCTGACACTGCCTTGGAGGCTGTCCCCTGTTTTCTGACTGTGTTTCCAATGCATCATCCTGTTTATTATTAACCTGCAGACAGCTGGACATAAGAGACATCTTAGAATGGAATACCAGCTGTATCAAGGTAGGGATCCAGAGAAAATAGCCTTTTCAGTGCGTGTGACAAGAGGGAGATTGCTGCCATAGAGTCAGCGTTGTAATAGAGCTTGTTTACAACTGCCACCTGTCACAGCATGATATCAGCAAAACTGAGATCCTGTTGCTTTAAAACATTCTATTGTGTTCTAAAAATCAGGTCAGGTGTCAGAACGACACACTGTGAACGTTGCTATTGCACAATTACAATGTATGTAATGATATTCATGTATCTGTTAGTGTGACAGCATAGGCCAGCCGAGGTCCTTGTTCGGTGAGCTTGCAATCTGTTTCTTTGTAATTTAAATCAATGTAAGGGGTTTGTGGCAAGCTATCCAGTTTAGGTGGATGTGGTGAGTGTATCTGATTCCCATCTTGGCATATAAATAGTTCGGTGATATTTTGGAAACGTGGTTATTTTATTGAACCTTTCAGGGCACAGTGGTACACAGATTTCCTGATGTGGTTTATTCATTAAACAGTTATTTGTAATAGCACAACATTTTGAACGTGTTCTCCAGATCCTCCTATATGCTCAAAACTTTGATTCTGCAAAATTTCACATCTCTATAGATCACTGACTAGTAGTTATCGCTTTTATGGCTCACTCCTGAGGGATCTATTCACTAAACAGTGTCGCAAAATAGCAGATTTTCAAGAAAATGTCCAACTTGGCTTAGTTGGTAATATTTCAGAATTTTAACGATTTTTAGTCTATTTTTTTTTCTTTTGTCCCTAAGACCCTAAGTAAATAAGCAAAGCAAGGCAGGTCTGAAAATATTTACAAATGGATTCCTGAGCCAGGATGACTCTCCCTTGGATACATACTTTAATTGGACATACAATGATGTCACAGCAATGTCAACACACCTACTAACATTGTTTTAGGGATCTGTTAGGATCAAAAGGCACAGTCAAGCTTTTCCTGTTACTCAGAAGCACATGCTCTGCAATGAAGCAGATGGTTGATAAGGTAGGTTTTCAAGGTTCATGTCCTCTTATCAACTAATAATTCCATGAGTTTGAGATAAAAATAGTGAAGGAAAAACTGAGGGAACAATGATGATTATTTACAGATTTAACACCCTATTTTAATGAACTAAAATCTGAATTGCAAATGTTAAAGTGGCACTGTCACCTCCTCCGGAATAATGAATCTTTCATAAAGATAATGTATCCTTCATGCTAAAATATATATGAAATACTTATTTTGACTGTGTTGAAATGTTACTGATATTCCCACCCATTCAAGAGATATACATTTTGTCTCTGTATATTTCCTCAGCCTGACTTTCTTAGACACTTGTCTCCAGTGATGGCTGCTGGGAGTGGTGCTTTCCCTGGAGGGTCAGGATCCTCCATAGGCCTCAATGCTGTGTACTCTCACACATACGTACAGCAGTGACGTAGGCTCCAGGTGCTTAATAGGAGCAGACGGAGGAATATGGCTATGACCACCGTACTCCCCAGCGGCGATGTCACCATTGGGGTCTTAGCGAATTCGGCAAAGTCCTCAAACAGTGACAGTGCTGCTTTAAGCAAAAACTCATTTGGGAAACTTCTCTAAATCACCTTTATTCACGAATTGGCTGCTGTACACTAAATATTGCAATTTGGATTTCAATTTATTACAATGTAATATGTAGCCCACAATGTTTAACAATCTTTCGCCATATGTTGTAATCCAGCTTTCATCATTGGCATCAATAAACTACTATATATTTTTGGGTCTGGTCTTGCCTCTTTAAAGGAACACTCTGTGCACCATAGCAACTGCAGTGTTCTGTAGTTGTTATGGTGCCAGCAGTTCCTTGGCACCCCTCTCTGATTGTAAGTAGCCAAATTGTTTTAGAAAGTTTTGACTACTTATCTGGGGCCTGAACAGCACCAATCCCCACCTCCGCTATGAGGTTCAGAAAGCCAGAGCCTCTTGTTCTATATTCTTTAAATGATCTTCTTGAGATACTGTGATATCCCAATATCCTCTCCATCAATTCTTACAGATGCAGACTGGTTTGCTGTAGGATTGCTGTCTAGCAGTGGTAACAGATCAGCTGGGAGAGAGCAACATAAAGGGACATAAACATTAGGCCATCACTCAAGGGACAGCCTGGCTTTCCTGTTATGTAGTCAAAGGTATAAGAGGACAATTGAGTAAACAAAATAGGCATTAAAAATCACATTCTACTTTTGTGTAGTAACATTACAATAAAAAAAAAAAAAAGTAATTACCAGGACATTCTAGGCGCCACTTCTTAACCACTTCAGCATTTTTAGGTGCTTATGGTGCCAGTATTCCATCCATGCAGACTTCCGCAGCATCAGGACCTGTCTCTGTGATGACTTGTGCTGAATGTGCACCAATTATCAGATAAACTAGGACATGCTTTGGACTTGAAAGCGCTTGCTCATAAGGAGCAGTGTCGGATGTCTCTTCCATATCAGTGTTGACATATCAAATTGTGAAATTCCATGCTCTCTGACTGACAGGTCCTCTAGGTGGAGGTACGAGCTCCATGTTAAGGTCTCATTTTGTCAGTTTGCTATAATTTAATTATAGTAAAGCAGAGTTCATGGCCTGGCACGGGCACCATAGCCACTTATCTAGCTTAGTACATGGATTTCCTGAGCTGCAGGGGAGGGGGGTGGCTAACACAAGGCAGACCCCAGGTAAGTTGTCAAACTATTCTTAAATGTTTTGATTGCTTATCCTGGGAGGGCAACAGGGCACTGTTAGGCTGTAGTGGTTATGGCTCTTTAAATGGTGAATAAGTCAATGAAAAACCATAAAACCACAGTGCTGGGCTTCAAAACAAAACATATAGTGCAATTTCATAAAATGTGTTTCTAAATCTATGTATAATTGATGATTTATGTTGAATTATTTGTATGGACACTTGATGTGTATAGGGCATGCAGCTGTAAAACCAAATTTGTCACCTTATAATCATACAAGCGCCTTGGACTTTGTTTTGGTATATTGAAAAAAAGTATGTAAATTTATTTAATTACATTTTTTTAAATGGTTACTCCAAGCACCATGATCACTTCAGTGTTTGGAAGTTGTTATGCTGGTTGGAGTCACTGTATGTGCAGTATTTCACTTTAAAACACTGCATATATAGAGTTTAACCCCTCTGCTGCTGGAGGTATAATGTCCTTAGCTAAGCCAGAACAAAAGCTCCAGGCTCGCTAATGTCAATTCTGTCCATATCCTTATGTACAAAATTGCATCCATTGGCTGAGAGCCGTCAGCTGACATCTCTGTAACAGACGGATGTCGTCATTGTAGGACTCTTGGTGCGCTGCAGGGACCCAGGTAAGAGGCTAAACCATTGAAAATGGTTTGTGAAGCATTAAATAAGTATTTTTTCACTTTTTCCAGTGCAGAAGTCCCTCGGCACTGGGTCTGACACTTCCTTCGCCATCATCAGCCAACCAGAGATGATCTTATGCATATGCATGTCAAGCGCTGAGCGAGATTAAGTCTTCCACACAGGAAAGCACTGACCCTATTGCATTTTAGAAGACACTGGACATCCTCATTCAAAGCGTGAGGACATCCAGCATTATTTAACAGAGTCAAACTACATGAAAGGTCCATGAAAGGTCAGGAAATACCTCTAGTGTCTGCCTGACTTTAAGACAATCAGTAGATCCCCATTCATAAAAAAAAAAAAACTTTTGCTGGGGACAGACAAACGTCCTTGCTTATACACCATCCAGTAAGTGCTGGGTTCATAGAATAACCTTTCAATTTGGAGACCCGCACTATTGTCCCCATAAAATAATGGGCTTACAGGTACATGCTGTCTTGGCCAAGTCATTTACTGCACTGCCTTTAGTGCCTTTCGAGTTCCTATAGGACTTGTTCCACTCCCTGCCTTGCATTGTGCCTCTGTTACTTGATGGTAATTGTAAATAATTAGTGAAGATCATATTGTACAATGCAGCAAGAAGGAAAGAGTACTTTAATATAATTAAAAGTAGATTAAAATAAGTCTTACAATGTTAAAAAAAACCAAAAAACTTTTTGGTTGGAGTTATGATTATTGAAATGCTGCTCCCCCTTTAAATAAATAAATAAATAATGGCAAAACCTATGCTAAAGCCAATTTCTCCCTGCAGCATAATTCTCCTCTTTCTGTGATGTCACTCTCTCTCGCTGCACAGGGTGAGATGTCCCAGTTTCTAACTGTGTGAAAACGTGTGATTGAACAGGAGAAAGGGAGGCTTAGCATGCAATGACAGACACATTTTATGCACAGAATTAATATAATCGGCATGAAACACTCAATTACCCTTAAAAGCCAACAAATAAGTGTGCTCTGACTGAAATTACATGTCATGGGAAGAACTAAAAGGTTGGGGACAATCAATCATAACTTTGGGGTGGGGGGTGCGGTGGCAAATGTCATGTCCACTCCCCATCATTACATTTAATACAGTGATCTGTCCACCAGTCTTTCTATAAATTGAAGCCCCAACCCAATGCCCACAGGTTGGGCAGTGTGGTATACATTACTAGCAACTGGGGAGCAGTCATTACTTTGTTATTTTAGTGAGCAGCCACTGACTGCTCACTTGTATGTAAGTAATAAAAATATCAATTTCACAAGCTTGGATCCAATATATGCATTTGGCTCAAATGTTTAGCACAGTAGGACAATTACAGGAGGTCCTTATTGCTCTTATTCCTCACAGCTGTATGAATAGAGAAAATCTCATAGCACGACATTGTGTAACACAAGTAAGGAGAGTGTAAACTTAGATGGACTCACGTGGTCCCAGTAACTGATATACACATAAATATATTACTAGAGCATCCTGGAATCTTGAACCATAAATGAAGTAAATCCTTTATTGGTTCAAAATTTAAATAACTGATGTTAAAAACAATCAGAATAAAGATAAAAAAGCCAAACTGTCCAATGGCTTAGTGCCTAAGAAATAGGACGCGTTCACAATTATCCAAGGGCATCTTCAGTTTTTTTATCTTCATTCAGATTGTTTTGATGGTGTTCACCATCCTCATTGTTGTTTTAGCTTCATAGTTTACTATTGCAACTGAGCTAAAACCAGCTTGAGTTCTGAGCGGGGACCCACCGAAGGGCAGGCTATTTCAGTTGCTGTCCGTTCTCAGAATACTTTTGTGACCCGTTTTTTTGCTCTCCATTAGTTTAAAGGGTAATCCAGACATGGACCCCTTGCTCATGGTGCCTAGAGAGATATCAGCTATGCCTCACTGATGATGCCTAACAAGGCTGAAACGATTGTCTGGGGTTGCCGTGTCTCTCGCGTAGAATACTCAGAATACTCTTGCGACCCGTTTTTTTTTTTTGCTCTCCACTATTGCAACTTAACATGTTTCATCTTATATATATATATATACCATTCCAAATTAGTAATCCAAAAAAGAAATATACATACAAAAGGTCGAGGTTTGAGTCATCCAAGAGGACTTTTATCAGGACATGTATTACAAGACATATTAAAAACATGAATGCCATTATATAGGGAAAATATATGACCACTTAACGTGCATCTGGAAGTAAGTCGGCATGTTCCAGTATCCAGGGTACATGTCCCTGGTGGTAATCCTGCCTTCTAATTATTGCACAATGATGAAATCTCATTCGAGCTGCTAATGCATCTAAAACACTTGTGGGCACGTTCCCGGGATGCGTCCAAAGACAACTGATGCCAGACTGACAGTCCATATCATCATGGTGGTTACAAAGCATCAAGTTTCTATGGGAACATAGCGATATATGCTATGGGGCAACTTCAATCTAAAATAACAGGTATATAAATTTATCACATCAAACGGAGCCTATTTCTCAAATAAATAGTGTTGGGAATATGTATAAGCCCAATGTGATTGATAGTAATATCTATATATATACACAGTGGTACCTCGGTTTACAAACGCCTCGGTTAACATAATTTTCGGTTTACAAATGAAAATCCATTGAAAATAATGCCTTGGTTTACAATTTTTTTTTTGCAATATAAAGCAAATTTCCCAGGATGCATTACGTCTGGGAGGTTTATAGCACCGCCCCAGAGCATGCTTGAGTCTGTGGGTAGCACGTGGCGTCGAGTGTGGAGGTGTTGAAGCGTTTTTAGAATCGAGGTTTGGAGTCATCCTGGAAATTTCTTGCAGCGGTTTTGGGACTTTTTGGAACTATTTTGGTGCATTTTTCAAGCTGTGGAAAGGTAGGGAGCTGAGCTTTGTCGTTTGCATGCCTTTTACTGTGTTCTGCATTGTGGGTTGGTTCCATGCCAGCTCATTTTGACTTTTTTTTTTTACCTCTGGAACAGATTAATTGGTTTTCAATGAATTCCTATGGGAAACCACGTTTCGGTTTACAAATTTTTCGCCATAGAAAACGTCCCGGAGAATGCAATAAATTCGTAAACCAAGGTACTACTGTGTGTGTGTGTATATGTATGTATATATGTATGTATATGTGTGTATATATATATATATATATACATATATATACATACATACATACATACATATACACACACATATATATATATTGTTTTTAATTTTATTATATCTCCTATTAACAGAGTGCATTTTTAGCAATAATTTCTGGATGTTTTTTCATAGCTTAAATTAGACTAGTCATCCTTGTTTACCATAAATTATAAGTACATTTTCTAATGTGTGTGTGTCTGTGTGCATTCATATCACTTTCAAAAGTGTGTTTCAAATCCTGCTATTAGAGATATAACTGGGAAAAAATATAGCATCAGAGTCTTTAAATTTGTAGGAGAATAAGTGGAATTATAGATTTTAAACGTTTGCACTATGTCAAGTTGAGGAACTAAAACAGATAGATTAGAGATTGTTTTAATTGTCACTGTTTTTTCATATCTAAATGACTGCCCGTCCTCGACATTCTTCTATCTCATATTACATTTTTACTGTTTGGTAATTATTAACTTTAATTGTTCCATTAAAGGACTGATTAGTGGTGTGATGGAAAATGTCCTTAAAGTGAATATTTCTTTCACGGGTTTATTCTAACATAGCTTGTGTCTATCAGGACTGCCACCATCTATAACTGTATGCGGGGCCGGACTGGCCCACCGGGATACCGGGAAATTTTCCGGTGGGCCGTCGGCACCTGGGGCCAGACAGACAGCTGTCTGAGCTGGCGGCCGCAGGGGAGAGCTGGCTGTTCTGGCGGCCGCAGGGGGAGCTGGCTGTGCTGTCTCTGCTCCCCGTCCTTGCGCGCTACTTAATGAGACTGGGGCCAGAATATGACACCATATTCTGGCCCCGGTCTCATTAAGCTGTGCGTTGGGGAGCAGAGACAGCACTGCCAGCTCCCCCTGCGGCCGCCAGAATAGCCAGCTCCCCCGCTGCAGCCGCCAGCACAGACAGCTCCCCCTGCTGCCGCCAGAACAGCCAGGAGCCAGCTCCCCCCTGCGGCCGCCAGCACACATGACCCAGCTATCTGCCCTGCACGACTCCCCTGGCCGGTCGCCCACAGGCAGCTATATTATGTGTCAGTCTGTCAGTGTGAGTGTGTGTGTGTCTGTCATGGTGTGTGTGTGTCTGTATCTTGGTATGTGTCTGTGTCATGGTCTGTCTGTGTGTATGTCAAGGTGTGTGTGTCTGTCAAGGTGTGTGTGTGTGTCTGTCAAGGTGTGTGTGTGTGTCTGTCTGTCAATATATGTGTGTGTCTGTCAAGGTGTGTGTGTGTGTGTCTGTCATGGTATGTATGTGTCTGTCAAGGTGTGTGTGTGTGTGTGTGTCTGTCATGGTATGTGTGTGTCTGTCATTGTATGTGTGTGGGATGTCAAGGTGTGTGTGTGTAGCTGTCATGGTGTGTGTGGCTGTCAAGGTGTGTGTGTCTGTCATGGTGTGTCATGGTGTGTGTGTGTGTCTGTCGTGTGTGTGTGTGTGTCTGTCATGGTGTGTGTGTGTCTGTCAAGGTGTATGTGTGTGTCTGTCAAGGTATGTGTGTGTCTGTTATCTGTCATGGTATATTTGTGTGTCTGTCATGGTGTATGTGTGTGTCTGTGTGTGTCTGTGTGTGTTTAAAAATAGTGTTTTTACTCACCTTTTTTCCCCCCCACGCCGTGCTGCGGGGCTGGCATAGATTTTTTTTCCAGGGCTGCTTTAGTCCGACCAGTCCGGCCCTGACTGTATGTCAGGTGGAAAATACACACTTCCAGACACACACAAAAAAATTTTATTCTACAATTTTAAAATTAGAGGTGTTTCCAGAAACAGAATGACATAGGAAGCTGTTTGCTATTTGTATTTGTTTTATTTATTTCATATACTGCAAACTTTTTGAAAATTCTATACTGTTAGAAAAAACGTCCAGATCATTTATCCAAAGAAGTCATCATTAAAGTCTACAAGAATATTTGTAGATAAATAATTTAAATCGGTTTTCTAACTATATTAAATCAAGGCTAGGGTTATTTATTAAAATGTGAATTGAAAGTGAATTTTCAAATTTAAGCCTAACTGAAAGCATAGCTGACTTTTTCCAACTCTGCTATTTTTACTTTAAATTTAAAGTTTACATTTATGTGAATTAAAAATAATAGTGTTAATAGCAAAACAATTATTTAAAATAGCTGAATCCTAAATTTGCATGTTTTCATATGCAGGATCTGTTACATTGTAGTCAAAGTCTGCAGTTGAATTCAAACCAACTGTGCTGTTTAAAATAAAAATTTTAAAAAAACGAATAAATGAATACAAAAACATGTTGGAAATATGTGTCTGTGCACATTTTTTCTTGTTTTGCAGGAGCACACCCTTAATTGGCACATTTACTCCTTAATATAAATATTTTTAAAATGTGAACCACGTGGAAAAAATATATAATATAATAGTTCCTTTTTATATCAGATTAAAAATTATTTGCACATTTTAAAAAGTCTGTCTTAAATATCTTACAGGTACAGCTTTTTATTTTTTATTTTTTAAATGTACAGTGTCTTTCAGTATTATTGGCACCCTTTGTAAATATGAGAAAAGAAGGCTGTGAAAAATATAACAAAACATACTCTGCTCTCATGGATAGTAAAAAATTGTAAGGTTTATCCCCCTTCCAAAAATATCTTTGTTAAATACCTTATCGACTTGAATCTAATGTGCACCTTTATTGGCAAAATAAAGTTTCCATAATTTGAATTAGATTTCATGGCGCATTAGATTAGAGTACAATTTCAGTACTAACGAAAAGGAAAGCAGAGTGCAATAAAGACAAACTGCGCATGCTAACTACTCTCTACTCTCTATCTAATTATCCAGTTTCATAATGGTATAAATATGAGGTAATACATAGGTCTAATTCCCTTAGTCATTCATCACCATTGGTAAGACCACGAAATATAGCTGTAATGTGTGGCAAAAGGTTATTGAGCTTCACAAAATGTAATGTATGTGGATATGAGAAAATAGCAAAAGCATTGAAATTGCCTATTTCCATTATCAGGGCAATAAGTGAGAAACTCAGCTCAACTGCTTGGGGTCAGAAAGTCTCCAAAACTACCATCTGACGTCACCTACATAACCACAAATGGTTTGGAAGGGTTTCAAGAAAAAAGCCTCTACTCTCATACTAAAACAACTCAGCCATCTTCAGTTTGCCAGATACTAGTGGACCTTTAAACGGGATTGTGTTCTATGGTCAAATGAAACCAATATAGAGGTTATGGAAATAAACATAAAAGGTGGGTTTGGTGCACACAGAGAGTTAGCTTTATGGAAAAGTACCCTATGCCCATGGTTAAAAATGGTGGTGGCGCAACCCCGACTGTCAAAGAGTAGAACCTCCACTAATACCGGCCTCGACGTTAATCCTAATATTGGTACGACCAAAGGATAAAACGCGACCAACGCTATGCACTTCGAACAACATCAACCCACAGCTCTACCCATGCACCCACGATGGCATTGACACTCCCCCTCCCCCCATGGAGTGGTACTTAATAACACGCACTTGGACCACTAGTTCTCATCTCCACTTTACTAACTCAAGCTACGTACCATTCTTGTTTGCATTATATATATTATAAAATGTGCTGTCCATCTGCATGTCAAACCGATTTTTATAATTCTGAATTGAGCGATCTTCCACTGGCATTGTATTTTACTATTATTTGCATGAAAAAATAAAGAATTAAAAAAAAAATGGTGTTGGCTCTTTAATGTTTTGGGGCTGTTTTCTGCCAGAGGAAATGGACATTTTGTTAGGATACATAGCATGATGGACTCTATCAAATATCAACAAATATTAAAATAATATCTGTCTGCCTTTGCCACAAAGATTAAAATAGGCAAACCCTTAAAATGGGTTCAATCTTCAAGCAGGACAATGATCCAAAACATAAATGTTTTAAAGCAAAAATGGCTTACTGACCAAAATATCAAGGTCTTGTCATGGCCATCCCAGTTCCCTGACTTGAACCCCAAATAAAACCTGTTGGGTGAACTTAACGAAGAACCTACAAACGTCGACCTTGAAATTTGAGGGATTCTGGAGAGATTCTGCATGGAGGAATGCTCTTCTGTCCCTTGCCATGTATTCTCCAACCTAATTGGACATTATAGGAGAAGATTCAGAGCTGCTATCTTGGCAAAGGGAGGTAGCACAAAGTATTGACTAAAAGGGTGCCAATAATTATACCGCACATATATTTAAGAAATACATTTTTTTATATAAAGCTGTGTTGTATTTGCAATTGTTTGATATTGATGAAAGCAGAATATTTTTGTGTTTTATTTATTTATTTATTTAGTAAATATGAGTTTTATTTGAAGATATTTTTGACATATTAAGAAAGAGAGAAATGGAAAACTTGAGATCTTGCAGGACTCAATGTCACTACATAGCACTTTATAGGGGTAATCTTATTGACACTAAATAATATCATGATATCGAGGCATGAGTTCGGGATGTGCACGGAATGTGCTGGAAGTGAAAGGGGGGAACTTATTAGTTGCCAGTAAGGTTAGATAAGCTTTATGTTGCGAACATAGTTGAAATTGTACATTGCGGTAATTCCCGTATCAGGTGTGCATAGCGTTCGACTCCTTCCACACCTTGCCTGTGGGTTATTTTTGTGTATTTTTTTTACAAAAGGTTAAACAACAAAGATAACTTTTAACAATGTTATTTGCTCATATTTACCAAGGGGGCCAATATTAGTGGAGGGCACTGTATTATAGGACTACCTTATTTAGGTCCTTAGGTCCTTTTTAAAAGTCTTTTACAGACTGAAACGTCGCCTCGAAGGTGTGAATTTGTAATTGCTCAATAAAGCAACAGATGAAATTTACCTTGAAAGACTCCTGAGTGCTCTCTACTGGTATCGTATACAATTTGGTTGGAGACAGCACCGGAGCATTAAAAGACCGGGAGCATTGAGTGCTGGGACCTGTGACGTATATATATATATATATATATACATACATATATATATAAAATGAGGATTATATATATATATATGTGCTTGGTATAAATTTATTAAAGCCAAAAACTCTAAATAATACAATTAGAAGACTGGATTTGTTATATAGTTACTTTTTAATTATGTAGGTTACAAAAATACTAAATATATATTATCCTCATTCTTCTTTAAGCATATTCTAATTTCTAGTAATAATATTAAGTCCATTTTGACTGCATCTTGTCACATTTTCAACCATCGTTTTGCACTATATATTTTTTTATGATCAAACATGGCAGCATTTACTCATGGGTTAGCTCCTCTCCTCACAGCAGAAAGGACAGGAAATAGAACTCTGAAATTGGTATAAATAGATCCATCCTCTGCTCCACAGGCAGTCTTTGTTCCTGTCCTTCACATCAGTTTGGAAGGAGTCTGCTTAAGCAGGCCTAGATTTTTCTTTTATGCTCACCAGACCAATATTTTTGTGTCCCTGCCAGGGTTCAGCCTATAAGCCCTGAAGACCCAGCAACAGCATATCTCTATGAGTCGCCAGCCTGGGTACACGCTTTAGTGACCGGAGATCTGACCTAAATCTCTCCCTCAGGGGATGAAAGCAGTCCACTGCATACATGAGGCCCAGCCAGGGATCAGCCTCTTATCCCTGAAGACCCAGCAACAGCACATCTCTCTGAGCCGCCAGACTGGGTACACGCTTTAGTGAATGGGGCTCTGACCCAACTCTCTACCTCAGGGGATGAAAGCGGGCCACTGCATACGTGAGGCCAAACCAGGGTTCAGCTTCTTATCCCTGAAGACCCAGTAAACAGCACTTCCATAAGGTGACTACCTGGGTATGCCTCTTTTCCACCGTGACCACCATGTCCGGTGATTGTTTTAAACCCTTCCCAACTGGTTATGGAAAATGGCATATGGTGTACGGACTTTAATTTGCTAGAAATTAGAATTTAATGAATAAAACTGTTCATGAAGATTTTTTTCCTTTTGTAGTAAAGGTTTTTTTTTCTTCACTATAAATAAAGAAAGAAAAAAAATGAAAAGAAAATAATTTTTGTCTCTCATGTTCTTACATTGCAAAACAACCCCAATGCCTGCTCATTACATATTTCAAGCACCAAAGCCACTACAACACGATTATTGTACAAGGAATGCCAATGGTTTGACTTGCCACTTGGCATCCGCTGGTCGTGTTCCATGGCAGCACTACACCTGACAGAATGCTGGAAGCTTTACATCTCAGCTAAGTTCGGCAGTGCAGGGCTTAGCTGATTGGCTGAGAGCGATCAGCTGTCAAGAGCTAGGTGAAGTCTTGCTGCTTCAGTCTCTCTAGCATTGTGGCATATTCACTTTCTTCTGAAATAACTACAACACTTTTTCTCTGTCCTAGACTGTATAACAGGAGCTGTTGCCTGGTAGTAGAAGGTTAGGAGAGCAGTGGACTAACGAGTGCTAGTGAACAGTCCTTAGAAATCATGGAGCGAGCGCATCATTAGACGCATTTATGCCAAGTTCAGGGTGCTGTCTGCACAGTATGCCCTTGGTTGTTCATCCTGCATGATTGGCAGGCAACCTGACGTGCATTCATTCCAGGCTGACCATATAACGCTTCAAACAGACACGCCCCCTTTTTGGGCATAATAGTCCCTTTGGGCGGTTCTGGTTACGTGAGTCACATCAATGGCCCACCCCTTTACCTCACCCACTGAAATCCTGCTACACCGGACACTGCTGTTAGGGGTATGGATTTACTTGAAAGATAAAAGCGAGAGATTAGCATAGGCTATGTGTTTTCTGATAGCTATATCCTGTGAGTTTCCCTCCAGCACCACCTCCACCAGATACATGACGCTTGGGAGGTATAACTGTTTTAGTGTTTTCTGTCGATAATATTCTGTAGTTCAGTTATACCTCCCAAGCGTCATGTATCATATTTGTCAGCACCTGGCCCAATGGGCTCTTAATCCGGTCCTAAAGTCTTGGAAGTGGACACACCCATTTTATAGATGGGCATGGACATTATGGACATCTCTAGTTATACGTGTAGGGAAACATCACTGGCAATGCCATTTCAGGGCTCCACCCCATCCAGATTTCTTACTTACCCCTTGCCAATTGTTGGGAGGTATGTGACAATCTGCTTTCATTCTTATTCATACTTGAATACAAGGTGTGAGGGGAAAACTGCCACGTTTCCATGGAAGACAATCTATAATAGCGGAGCTCTGTGGATGGTTTGTGGCATGCAAACAGAATGGAGAGACTGCCATCCTTCTAAAAACCCTTTTACGGAGGCAAATGTACAGGTTCTGGCCAAAAACAAAAACTAGAGGTCGAGCTATATGTTTGTTTAACTAAAATTTACCTCTTACATATGAAGAGAATCCACACTTATATATCATTTTGTTCAGGAGAAATTGGGTTTTCATTTCACAATATTTATATATGGAACACAATCTAATGTGACTAAAATCTACAAAACAAAGTGTGAGAAATTAAATAAAATCACATTGTAAAATTAATAAAATCACATAACTATGTAAGAATATTGCATAAATATACATGTAGACTTTATATATGTGTGTGTATATATGCATGTATGTATATATATACAGTATTTTGCAAAAGTGAGTACACCCCTCACATTTTTGTAAATATTTTATTATATCTTTTCATGTGACAACACATGAACATTTCCACTTAGGGGTGTACTCACTTTTGTTGCCAATGGTTTAACGGTTTTAAGGGGTGTACTCACTTTTGTTGCCAACGGTTTGGAAGTTAGCGAATGTTGTGCCCATTTACAAGAAAGGTAATAAGGAGGAGTCGGGCAACTATAGGCCAGTAAGCCTTACTTCAGTAGTGGGGAAAGTGATGGAAACCATGTTAAAGGATAGGATTGTTGAACATCTAAAAACACATGGATTTCAAGATCAGAGACAACATGGGTTTACTTCAGGGAGATCATGCCAAACTAATCTTATTGATTTTTTTGATTGGGTAACTAAAATTATAGATCAGGGTGGTACAGTAGACATTGCTTACCTAGATTTCAGTAAGGCTTTTGACACTGTTGCACATAGAAGGCTTATCAATAAACTGCAATCTTTAAGTTTGGATTCCAATATTGTTGAATGGGTAAGGCAGTGGCTGAGTGACAGGCAACAGAGGGTTGTAGTTAATGGAATATATTCGAAGCTTGGACTTGTCACCAGAGGGGTAACTCAGGGATCTGTACTTGGACCCATTCTCTTTAATATTTTTATTAGGGATATTGCAGAAGGTCTTGATGGTAAGGTATGTCTTTTTGCTGATGATACTAAGATATGTAACAGGGTTGATGTTCCAGAAGGGATAAGCCAAATGGCAAATGATTTAGGTAAACTAGAAAAATGGTCAGAATTGTGGCAACTGACATTTAATGTGGATAAGTGCAAGATAATGCATCTTGGACGTAAAAACCCAAGGGCAGAGTACAGAATATTTGATAGAGTCCTAACCTCAACATATGAGGAAAGGGATTTAGGGGTGATTATTTCTGATGACTTAAAGGTAGGCAGACAATGTAATAGAGCAGCAGGAAATGCTAGCAGAATGCTTGGTTGTATAGGGAGAGGTATTAGCAGTAGAAAGAGGGAAGTGCTCATGCCATTGTACAGAACACTGGTGAGACCTCACTTGGAGTATTGTACACAATACTGGAGACCGTATCTTCAGAAGGATATTGATACATTAGAGAGGGTTCAGAGAAGGGCTACTAAACTGGTTCATGGATTGCGGGATAAAACTTACCAGGAAAGGTTAAAGGATCTTAACATGTATAGCTTGGAGGAAAGACGAGACAGGGGGGATATGATAGAAACATTTAAATATATAAAGGGAATCAACACAGTAAAGGAGGAGACTATATTTAAAAGAAGAAAAACTACCACAACAAGAGGACATAGTCTTAAATTAGAGGGACAAAGGTTTAAAAATAATATCAGGAAGTATTACTTTACTGAGAGGGTAGTGGATGCATGGAATAGCCTTCCAGCTGAAGTGGTAGAGGTTAACACAGTAAAGGAGTTTAAGCATGCGTGGGATAGGCATAAGGCTATCCTAACTATACACTTACTACTTTACATTGTAGCAGAGTGTCACTTTTGTAAGATACTGTATATATATATAAAATATACTGCCTCGGTTGGCTGCCAGTTGCCCCGCTATATATATTGCTGCGGATGATAAGTAGCTGCACTCCCGGGAAGGCATGATCGTTGGGGTGTGCTATGCCATCCTAATAGCGTTAAAGCCCTCCTTTTGTAGGATGGCATAGCACTCCCTAATGTTGTTAAGGGGTTAATCCTGGTGGCTTCTATAAAAATATTTAGCTATGTTGTTTAGAGATGTTTTACCTTGGGCTCTTGCATTCAGAATTCAGTGTATGATGTTCACTTACTGGAAGGTATGTAAAGGTGTAGCATAATCTAAAATGTTAAATATTTTGATTATAAAAAAAATAGCATGTCAAAGGACAAGGGTTATTTTAAATATTTTCCATAAAGTTCTCCACCAGTTATTTTTCGTTGTTGCTGTATTACTAATGTCATTCATCTAATCATGGGTGACCACTCTACTGTAGCCGTAGTCATTAACCTAAAACTAATATTGTGGAAGTCTTCTGTAGTGAATAACAAGAAATCCCAATACTCGGGGGAACTTCAAACCCAACAGGATTGTCAATCCCACCTCAACAGGAGTAATAGCAATAGGAGTAACTGTCAGGTATACCTAACATTCATGCTGCCGCCGGAACCCACTTCCGGGTTCACGGCGCTTAGCTCCGCCCTTTTTTCTGACGCGGTCTTTCCACGATACTTAGGAAGACCGCGCCAGATTCAAAGGGCTGGATTATTCACTCAGGTGCGGCAGTAAGATCAGCTGCCCCACTCGATGCTACCGGCTCCTCTCTCAGACCTCGGGTTGTAAACGGATTTCTACCTTCTCATCCCTCAGACCTCGGCTTGTAAACGGATTTCTACCTTCTCATCTCTCAGACCTCGGGTTGTAAACGGATTTCTACCTTCTCATCCCCCAGACCTCGGCTTGTAAACGGATTTCTACCTTCTCCTCTCTCAGACCTCGGCTTGGACAAACGGACTTCCTTTCTCTCACTACTAAACTGCAGTTTGTTAAAAGAGACTCCTTCCTTTTCCTCCATTGGGTGAATTAACCCTTCCAGTGCCAGAGTGCTTCTAAGTTAAGTAAATCTCTTGTCAAGGAAAGCAAGTCATATAAATTATTATAGTACTTAATTTCTCTAAACTCTCTGTTGACAAATAAGCATTGCATTTTTTCCTTGCATGTGTATTTAAAGATACAGTCTACCTTGTTCACTTCAATAAAATAAAGGAGGTGAAACTTATTGTTTCTGCAGTTGAGTTCCAATTAAAGAGACATTACACAAAAGCATCACAGAATAATCCAGCCCCTTCAATGGAACCAGCAGATATTAACTCTCAAGTTTCTGCCCTAACCAATAGAGTAGATACAATTGCTCAAGGGTTACAGGAATTGCAAATTACAAATGAGAGAATATTAACCTATGTTAGAGACATGCAAGGCCATCTTCCTCATGCCGCTCTTCAATCGGCTGGTGATCCTGCTGTCTGTAATCCAGAAAAATTTTATGGAGATAGAACAAAGTACAGAGAGTTTTTAAATTCTTGCAAACTTCTGATAGCTTTGAAACCTCGATCTTACCTCACTGAAAGGTCAAAAGTTTGTTCAGTAATTTCCTTTCTAAGAGGTGAACCTATGGCTTGGGCCCATTCCTTTTTAGAGAATGATGATCCCATACTAGATTCACTGGATGAATTTTTTGAAGCTATGTCTTTATTATATGAAGATCCATATAAACAGGCTACTGCTGATTTAACCATCAGAACTCTCCACCAAAAGAACAGACCTGTTGAAGATTACATCGCCGAATTTAAAAGATGGGCTACCGAAACCCAATGGAATTACATCACACTGCGCAATCAATACCGTCTCGGATTATCAGAAGCTGTGAAAGATGAACTCTCTCGTATTGAACTTCCTCCCACCTTAAATGCCTTGATTCAACTTTCCATTAGTATTGACAGACGTCTAAGAGAAAGAAGGGCTGAAAAAGTTCTTACTACGTCTAACTGGAGAAAACATTTTACTACTCCAAAATTTCCTGAAAAATCTCTTCCTCACAATGAACCTATGGAAGTTGGTATAATAAGAAGCCCTCTTACTTCGGAAGAAAGGATAAGAAGGAGACAACTAAATTTGTGCATGTATTGTGCTTCAAAAGAACATCTAATCCCAGAATGTCCCCTACTAATCCATTCGAAAGCTGGTAAGCTTCATTCATCTACTTCTATATTGAACGTTCTTCACAAAAAGAAAACATCTACTTATTTTTCTATATCTCTCATATTACAGTGGGATACAAAAAGAATTGTGACTGAAGCCATTATTGATTCTGGTGCTAATGGAACCTTCCTTGATTTTTCTTTTGTTGCAAAGAATAAAATTCCGTGTGTTCGAAAAACCAATTTTATTCCAATCAGAGTTATTGATGGTTCATTCATATCCTCAGGACCCATAAAAGATGAGACAATTCCTCTAAGAATGATTACCAATAACGTACATACAGAGTTCCTTACATTTGATGTTATTAAATCTCCACTTTATCCCGTCATTCTAGGAATTAATTGGTTAAAAACTCATGATCCTTTAATTAAATGGTCACCCTTTTCCATTTCTTTTCCTTCTGACTTTTGCAAAAAAACCTGCTTCCAACATATTCCTATTCTCCAAACTACTCAGGAATCAATTATACCTCCATTCTACTCTGACTTTTCAGATGTCTTTTGTAAAAAAGAAGCGGAAACACTTCCACCTCATCGAGCATATGATTGCCCAATAGATCTAATACCTGGTGCTCCCATTCCTTATGGACACATTTATCCACTTTCTGAAAAGGAATTACAGACCTTAAAAGAATATCTTAATGAAAATTTACGTAAAGGATTCATCAGACCCTCGACTTCACCGGCTGCCTCTAGTATATTTTTGTGAGGAATAAGGACCAAACCATCCGACCCATTATAGATTACAGAGCCTTAAATAAAATAACCATAAAAAATCGTTATCCTCTTCCACTAATAAATGAATTAATTGAAAGGTTAAGAACCGCAACTATATTCACTAAACTCGACCTCCGAGGCGCATATAACCTCATCAGAATAAAACAGGATGATGAATGGAAGACCGCCTTCCGGACTAGATATGGTCTCTACGAATATCTAGTGATGCCTTTTGGGCTTTGTAATGCCCCTGCAACATTCCAACATTTTATAAATGATATCTTTAGAGATCTTTTGGATGTTTGTGTTATTATCTACTTAGATGATATTCTAATATATTCTAACAATTTGGATGAGCATAGGAAGCATGTAAGATGGGTTCTATCTAGATTGAGAACTCACAAATTATACGCTAAACCAGAGAAATGTCTTTTTGAAGTTACTGAACTCTCCTTTCTTGGATACATTATTTCACCTCATTCTCTGAAAATGGATAACTCTAAAATCGAATGTATTATTAACTGGCCCGTTCCTACTACTACAAAAGAATTGCAACGATTTCTTGGATTTGCAAACTTCTATAGAAAATTCATTAGAAACTACTCAGAGGTATCACATCCACTTAACCACCTTAACAGTACTAAACGTCCTTTCAAATGGAATAAAGATGCACAAGCTGCCTTCGATAGTTTAAAAAAAAGATTTACAACTGCACCTATTCTACAGCTACCTAATCCAACATTCTTGTATGTCCTAGAAGTCGATGCATCAGATTCAGCTATCGGAGCAGTTCTTTCTCAGCAAAAGACTCCTCAAGATCCACTTCATCCAGTCGCATTCTTTTCAAGATCCTTGAGCTCTGCTGAAAAAAATTATCCTATTGGTGAAAAGGAATTATTAAGTGTTAAAGCTGCCTTTGAAAATTGGCGCCATCTATTAGAAGATACAAAACAACCTATCATAGTCTATACAGACCATAAAAATCTTGAATATCTTTATACTAATAAAACCCTTACGGCTAGACAAGTTAGATGGAACCTATTTTTTAACCGGTTTAACTTCCAATTAATATACAGACCTGGAACTAGAAATAAAAAGGCTGACGCTCTTTCTCGAATTCCTTCTAAAACTTCTATTGATGTTTATCCTCCTAACAAAATAATAGGGATCCTCTCTTCTCTTCAGGATGACTTAAGGAACTTGAATCAAAAGGATCTTGAACTTCCCAAAACACCTAACAAAAAAGGATGGTATATTTTACTTTAAAAATAGGATTTATATTCCTCCCATTCTTAGGAACAAATTACTCAAAATGGTTCATGATTCACCCCTAGCTGGACATCCTGGAATAAAGAAAACTCTTGAACTAACTTCACGATATTATTGGTGGCCTCGCCAAGATAGAACCATTGAATTAAATGTCAAAACTTGTCCTATCTGTCAAAGGTCCAAATCTGAACATAATCAACCTTTTGGATTACTACTTAACTTACCTATTCCAGAAAAACCTTGGCAATCCATTTCTATGGATTTTCTTGTTGACCTTCCTCCATCCCGACAGTTCACCACTATTCTTGTTGTTGTGGACCGCTTCACTAAAATGTCCCATTTCATCTCTTTAAAAAAATTACCCTCCTCCGTAGAATTGTCCAAAGTCTTTATTGATAATATTGTAAAGCTTCATGGTCTTCCAGAAGAAATTATTTCTGATAGGGGGACACAATTTACCTCCAAATTCTGGAAAGAGATGTGTCTCTCTCTTCAAATTCAACGCAAACTCTCTTCTGCCTATCATCCCCAGACTAATGGGCAAACAGAGAGAGTTAATCAATGTTTGGAACAATATCTCCGATGTTATTGTTCATACCTGCAAGATGACTGGACCACTTGGTTACCTATGGCTGAATTTTCTTACAATAATACCATTCATTCTAGTACGAAAATGACTCCTTTTTTCTCCAACTATGGATTTCATCCGTCCTCATTTCCCATCCCATCTAATTCTTCATCCAATCCCACGGTTACTTCAAAAAATGAATTTATGTCTTCTCTATTCCTTAAATTACGGGAGAATCTTCAACTCGCCCAAAACTACCAGAAAAAGTTTTTTGACCATAAAAGAAGAATTCCCCCTCCTTATAAAGTGGGGGATCTTGTCTGGCTCTCTTCAAAAAATATTACCACAAACCGTCCTTCAAAGAAATTGAGCTCACTTTTTCTTGGTCCTTTTCTTGGTTGTTAAATTAAAACTTCCTCCAAGTTTTAAACTTCATCCAGTATTCCATGTCTCTTTGCTTAAACCACACATCCCTGATCCTTTCCATAGAGAAATAGTAACAACTCCTGAACCTATCATCGTCCAAGGTGAAGAAGAATATGAAATTCATAAGATTTTGGATTCTCGTATCCACCGTGGCTCTTTACAATACCTTATCAGATGGAAAGGTTATGGAGTTGATGAAGATACCTGGGAAGATTCATCTAATGTTCATGCAAAGAGATTAGTTGATGCTTTTCACAAACGCTACCCCTCTAAACCGAAATAAGTGCACCCAGAGGATGCCCCATGAGAAGGGGGTACTGTCAGGTATACCTAACATTCATGCTGCCGCCGGAACCCACTTCCGGGTTCACGGCGCTTAGCTCCGCCCTTTTTTCTGACGCGGTCTTTCCACGATACTTAGGAAGACCGCGCCAGATTCAAAGGGCTGGATTATTCACTCAGGTGCGGCAGTAAGATCAGCTGCCCCACTCGATGCTACCGGCTCCTCTCTCAGACCTCGGGTTGTAAACGGATTTCTACCTTCTCATCCTTCAGACCTCGGCTTGTAAACGGATTTCTACCTTCTCATCTCTCAGACCTTGGGTTGTAAACGGATTTCTACCTTCTCATCCCCCAGACCTCGGCTTGTACACGGATTTCTACCTTCTCCTCTCTCAGACCTCGGCTTGGACAAACGGACTTCCTTTCTCTCACTACTAAACTGCAGTTTGTTAAAAGAGACTCCTTCCTTTTCCTCCATTGGGTGAATTAACCCTTCCAGTGCCAGAGTGCTTCTAAGTTAAGTAAATCTCTTGTCAAGGAAAGCAAGTCATTTCAATTATTATAGTATTTATTTTCTCTAAACTCTCTGTTAAAAAATAAGCATTGCATTTTTTCCTTGCATGTGTATTTAAAGATACAGTCTACCTTGTTCACTTCAATAAAATAAAGGAGGTGAAACTTATTGTTTCTGTAGTTGAGTTCCAATTAAAGAGACATTACACAAAAGCATCACAGTAACAATAATAAGGTAAGGAATCCCCCATCTCCAAAACAAATGCTAAAATATTTTTGTTCCTGGGATGGCTGGACAATTTATTTTTACCCAAAAATGCTTTAGCTATAACCTCTATCCTCATTTACACACCATGGTACTTCTGTTGCCATTAAAAAAAAAAAAAAAAAACACACAAAAATCACTTGACATTGTCTTCTCTCTATATATTGCCTACAATCTCTAATAGCAGACCCTGATATTTCAGAATGGTTTGACATAAACCGAGGCTCTCCCAAGCCTGTAGGAAATTAATTTATCAATGTCACATTATCAATGTCAATCTCATTCAACCTTAAAGGCACTATTTGCCACAGTTTTGGACTTCTCTACTCCCTGTATTCTCATTGAATCTAGTTTATTTATGTCCAGTTTTGATGACAATTTACATTGTTATTGAGGAAATATCAGTGCCAGGTTTTAAAAATGACCAAGGAGGTGGTCGTTGGTGCTGGGAAAAACCCTGGTTTCTGTCAAACTGTACCTAAACTGTTAGACATTGACGTTGGGTACAGTAACAGGACACTGTAGGTAACATATCTGTACAGTGAACTGTGGTGGTTATGGTACTTAGAGGTTCAGAATGATGGAGTTAAATGATTACTCTGCTTACTCATGGACAAAGAGACCAAGCCCCATTGTAAACACACAGTTGGTTTCCTTATCCAAAGAAACACACCTGCAACCTTCCTGTTTGCTTCCTGCTGTAATTCTTCGATCTGGCACATTTCCTTACATTTCAGAGTCATATTGTATGAAGTAAATGGGATTGAAATGTCCGCAAAAATGTCCGCATTCTACAGGAGGTCTTTTGAAAGACTAAGTGTGCAGAGTATTTATTTTTTAACCAGTTCATCTCCTAATTCTACAAATATTATAATCATATTTTATGCAACTAAGAACAGAGTAATATGTATTTTAATGGGGTTAAAGGTTGACAATGTTTGTACAATGTGGTAAATTTTCTAAACTTTTATTTATTTTTTTGTAAAAGCAAAATACACATTGTGGCACATTTTCCCGAGGTATGTGAATAATCAGGTCTGACCAGTATTGTGTACAGGTAATTCTTTGGTATCTAGGAGGCAATCAGACATTTCAGTAAAGTCGTTTGTGGTGAAACTGTGTTTTTTAGCTGGGAGTGAAGACTGAACAAGGTATGGTTAGTATTTCCAAAATGTGTATTGTGGGTTCTTGTTAACATTTACACACTTGCTCTAAATGAAATGAGGTAGGGACACCTACTGTGACTGCTTGATCCTGTAAATGTTTACTACAAAAATACTCACAGAACATCATGGTATCACAGCTAATCTAATGCACAATGCCTTGATTCTAACCATTAGACCCATCCTCCATCCCTTCCACAAATACATTGCAAACATGTTTACAGCTTCGTTAGCTGAGGTTAAATAAGGTTGGTTGGGAGATCTGTTTGCTTCAATAGTACTCACTATAGAAATCTAATAATGCCACTGTATATTCTGTATCTGATATTTTTAGTGTCAGTGTTATGTATCCAATATTTATATTTTGATATTACAGTTCTGTTATTATATATTATGAATTTGTGTGTGTTTGTCTATAAAATATATATGTGTGTGTGTGTATTACTTACTATTCTCTTCTCTTCTCCTCTCACTTTCACTTCATCTCTCAATTCTACTGCTTTTGCCTTAAAAAAGGAAATCCAGTATCCCGTGTTACAAAGGGGAGAGCATTAGATATAACTAAATCTGTTGTTCACACAAAGTTTCTCTCACCTTGATTAGTGTAATGCTTTATAAATTGATATTATGTGTACTACTAAATGTTGACACTATGTTCCCCAGAATAGCTACAGCTTAATGTAGTTGTTCTGGTGAGTACAGTCAGTCCCTGCAGGCTTCTTAATGCAAACACTGCCTTTTCAGAGAAAAGCCAGTGTTTGCTTTGCTTCCTAGGGAACACGTCCAGTAGCAGTCACTCAGGCAGGCAGCCGCTAGAGGTGCTTCCTAGGTCTTGTGCAGGACTGTCATTCAGCATCTCCACCCTCTGCATGGAGACCCTGAACTTTCCCCATAGAGATGCATTGATCCAATGCATCTCTATGAGGAGATGCTGATTTGCCAGGGCAGTGCTCACCGCCCCACCTCGCCTCCTTGTCTGAGATAATCAGAATTGATGATCTCAGCCAATCCAATGCATTCCCATTAGAAAGGATTGGATTAGCTGACATTGTCAATTCTCATGATCTCAGCGAAGGAGCTGGATTGGGGCTTGGTGGCACATCTGAGTCTTGGGTGGCCAAAGGGTAGGGAAAAGGGGTTCAGGATATTCCCATCACCAACACTCCCCTTGTCCATAGTATGTCTAGTGATTATGTTGCTAGTTGTCAGGAGGAGGAGGGAGAAGGAGAGAAGTGGTAGAGGAGAGGGGGCAGAAAGAGAAAAGAGTTAAGAAGGGAAAAAAATAAATAAAGTTAATATAAATTTTAATGAGGAGGGCTATAAATAGGAGGGGAAGGAGACTGCGCTCCCCCAGGCCAACAGAAAGGTGGAGGGGGTCGGCCTGCCCCCACCCTGTGCACTCCTCTGCCCAGCACCCCCAAATAGCAGAAGCAGGCTTGGAATTAACCCTACTATTTAATTTTATTTATTTTTTTATCCCTCGCTCACTGCTGCTTAGGGGCACCAAGTCTCTTTATTAAATAATATAATCCATCATCAAAAGTATCAGTCAGCCCTGCTCAGAGTTCTCTCCTTGTAATTAAACAACATAATATTAATAAATAGTTTGCATGAAACAATGCCTTCTTATTTTGTTTTCTGCTCTATAAGGGATTTATTATTTTGTCATTTGTATAAATTATTAACACATCACCCAAAATTGTGCAAATGGAAATTTGACATGAAAAATGTATCCTGAATTTGGTTTTAACATTTCTCATTTTCGTGTTTGTTTTTTAATTAGAATTTTTGAGTTAGACTGCTTAGCACAGTATTGACCAGGTAATCACAAATTCCAAACATAGCTGAAATGGAAGAATAGCTGCATTAGAGATTATTTTTTCCCTATCAGCTTTTTTTGACCTAGCATTTGCAATTCCCTGAACATTTTCCATCAATGTGTACATTGCCCATGTTTATCAGTGGCTAGGCTCAGTGCTTAAAAGGTTTAATTTGTAGTTATGAAGACATTAATACTCACTTAGGTGTGTGTGTGTTTGTGTGTGTGTGTGTGTTTGTGTGTGTGTGTATATATATATATATATATATATATATATATATATATATATATATATACAAATAACACCATGCTTTTAATGGTTGCCCGGGGTGAGATAATTTTTTTCCACCAGGAAGAACAAATACAGCTTTTGCAGAACTATTTGAGATATGTGTTCAATAATGCTTGCTTTGCTTCAGTTCACTTATTTCATTGTCTTCACTTCAAATTCCAATCTAATAAGACAATGAATGGTATTTTCTGTGAAAAACACATTACATTAATGTAAAGGAGATGTGCCAATGGTGGAGAATGGCCATTAATGAGTCTACCTGATGGGACTGTACCATCCCAACATGTACTATTGAAAAATATAATTTTCCACATTTCAAGGGGTGTTTATCATTCATTGTATTTTTATTTGAATCTAATTGTTATACGTTTTCTAAGGAGAGGCATAATTTTTCAAGGACCACTATAGTGTCAGGAAAACAAACTCATTTTCCTGGCACTATATAACCCTTAGGTCCCCCCCCCACACCCTCAGGGCCCCACTCCAGCTGGGCTGAAAGGGTTAAAACCCCTTCCGACAGTTACCGTTATCCAGTGCCAGGCTCCCTCGATGCTGGTGACCTCTCCTGCCTCTCCGACATCGGCTCCCAAGTGGAGCCCAATGCGCATGCACGGCCAGAGCCGCGCACACATTCAAAACGCCCACAGGAAAGCATGCTCAATATGTTTTTGACATTGAGCGTCGGGGAAGCACCTCTAGCACCAGTCAGGAAGACAGCCACTAGAGGCTGGATTAACCCTGTAAACATAGGTTAAAAACCTGGAGGACCTGGCACCCAGACCACTTAATTGAGCTGAAGTGGTCTGGGTGACTGTAGTGGTCCTTTAAGGTTTGACAGGATTATTCACTTAAGTGAGAATTGTGAGGAATTCCCAGTGAATTTCAAATTTTGAGTTCCAAGTAGCTGAATTGGAAGGACAACTAAGTTGAAGAATAAATTTTTCCGGTTTTGCTACTATGGCATTAATCGCACTTAGAATTCCCAACAATTCTCACTTTAGTGAAAAAAAATTCCTGTGAGATTATTAATTATTATTTTATTTTTAAATTGTGTGTGTGTGCATTTATATATATATGTGTGTTTGTGTATATATGTATATATATGTGTGTGTGTGTGTGTGTATATATATATATATATATATACATATATATATATATATATATATATATATATAAATACAAAATACCCCTGCACTCCAACTAGAAAAATAAAAATAGTACCTGGTGCTCTGGTGGCTTAATCATAAAGGTGTCCTGATGAAAGCTCCCCAGTGGAGCTGAAACGTCGAATTCTAAAACAAAATTCCAAAACAAAATCTGCACCACTAAAAGCCAAGTGGAAAAGAAAGATACTTATCTCAAAATTATAGTCAGCTTCCAACAGATCACCTCCCAGACAATGGTCTTATACAGATAGAACAATATACAAACAAAAACATGAAAACACTTTGGGATACAGAGGGCAGGTGTGCGTACTTGCCAAAGGTATACAATATTAAAGAAAGGATAAAATAGAGGTGGATTGGCGCTAAAGTGCAAATATAAATGCAACAACCCCCAGTGTCTAAAATCACTTGAATGACACTGAATACATAGATAAACACAAATGGATAATGGAGGGTGCAAAAGTTATCAACAGCACACAGTGATAAATACTTATTAGTATGAGTGTAGAACCTCCTGATCGTTCTGAAAAAACAGTATAAAAACAATCATAGCATAATACTGTGTAAAATAAAATTTGATCAATTTATGAGGTAATTGGTGACTCACATTTTCCAGAGCCACAACAAGGGGGCTCTGGCTATGTAGGCAGTTGAATAATTAGCTTTTTCTGGCTATCAGCTCCACTCCTTAGAATTCTCATTCCAGTACCACATAAATCAGAGGATATCCAATAGGGTTAAAGTGAAGAGACTACTTGAATAAGAACAAATTTAAAAAACAGCAGCTACATAAGCTGTAAACAAAATATAAATAAGATCACAAACAATAACAGGTTTCAACCTGGATCGGTCTTTTTCTTAATAGACTTTTGGTGGCTTTTATTGCGTTCTTCCGTTAATTGAATTTCACGCCATTTGGTATTCTGTGACAATTTCTGCATTCCTTCGATTCCGTTCAGCGCAATGACGGCAGTTGGCATAATTACGTCATGACAGCATTGCTGAGTTGCGGTTCACATCCTCTCGCAGTGCATACAAAGCCATTTTGAAATGGGGCAGAACAGTCCATAAGACTGAATTAGTTCAAAGTCTTTGAGAAATAGGACTTTAAACTACTTACCAAAGGACCAATCAGGTAAGTGGAAATAAAGACGTCCACCACACTACCAATGAAGTTCTTAGGTCTTACCCTATTTAAAGAGACATGTGGCAGGGGGATTTAGGCTGTATTATTTTGCACACTGTATTCATTGATTTTATTACTGGTCCCTGAGAAAGTTCCTTTACAGGAACAAAACGCTTAAGACCTCTGCATTTTAACAACCTTTGGACTCTTAAAATTCACCATGTTTGTGAGTGTTATATATTATTGCTTGGTATTTGTCCACCTTCTCATGTTCCTTCTTCCTGATGTCATAGTCATTGGGTATTATCATGAATAGGGATATTTCTCCACCTGGTACATGTAATTTAGACATGTTCCTCTTTTTGCAGTATCTCTATATGTGTATAGTTAGTTTATATCCTCCCTATCTGTATGTTATTTTCAAAATGTTTTCTCTTTACTAATTATACCGTGATATGACAGCTGGTTACAGCTAATTATATAGTTCCCCGAGTTAAGGGAATATATTTATTTGTTAATAGTTATAGTTATAGTTAGCAGGTAAAACAAAATATGTTTGTACACAAACCAAAAGTGCAATTAGTGCAAATAAGATGTTAGCAGACAGAAACTTACCTGTGCAAGGTGAAGCTTCCAAAGGTACCCCGAAGACTTCCTCCTGTCTTCCACAAAATATATACACAAAAAATAAGGGGATAATATATTCACTGAAGTTTTAATGCCTTTTTAATGCCTTTGATATAAATCCGCTCCCCCATCCCCACAAAGTGAAGATTGAACCCTTGGAGGGAATTTATATAAAAGGCATTAAAACTTCAGTGAATATATTATCCCCTTTTTTTGTGTATATACTTATAGCTAATACGTTTTTTTAGAGGAATTGTATTGTGATTTCATTGTAAATAAATGTTTTATTTTAACCTACTGCACACCATCACCGTTTTCTCTCTTTTTTTGTTAATGTTTAATTTAGGGGTTACCCCCTGTTTTTGCGTCTCAGTTTTATAACTCAATGTGAATTTGTGCATTTACCGAGTTGAGTGTGTGTGTGTGTGTGTGTACATGTGTGTTTGCCTATTTGTGTATGTATGTAAATGGCCAAATTATGAGATAGTAAGAAGCTCATTCTATGTGCATGTTAGCTAGGTAGATCTGTATGGCTCAGTGTGTGGTTAAATCAGGGTAGGAGTTGCATTGTTTTGGCTGGGTCTAGGACAGCCTAAAACTTAAATATATCATATATATACTGTTTATAAGTAGCATCTCTTCCAAAATGTAAAATGGACAAAGAGGAACGGTATAATTTTAAGGGTGTGAGAGGGGTTAAGGCTAGGATCGAGCCTTTTAGGGGACTTACTAATAACAATTTATGTAACGATAATGTAATTAGAACAATGTATCTTATTTACACAGACTGATTTCTAAATACATTTATTCTAGTTTAAAGACACATTACTGTGAGTATTATTGATGTGGAGCTCTTTTATACACTGAGACACACCAACAACATGGATCTCCTAGAAAAGAGTGGAGGGACATTAGGACAGAAAAGAGGAACAGAGGGATTTGAGCCCAAAATAGGGACTGACCCTCCTTAATAGGGACACTTCGGAGGTGTGAAGTAGTAGTACAAGATGAATAGCTGAAATATAATCTTAAAATAAATGACTGTGATTACGTACTCTTTTCTTTATTATTCAAGCAAGTTGTATACAGCATTAGCCATGAATAAGATTAGGCTATTTGCAATTGTCACTGGCTTCTTGTTTGTGATTTACTGATGGGTTGAGAAACAATTCTCCTTGTGTTCTCGTTTGCTGAGATGACATCAGCTCACAAGATCCTTTAAATTGAGGAGGAAGCTGAGCTGTGGGTAGCACAAGATATTTACAAAACTTGGCAAGATCAAAATAGATTGCTCATTACACTGGCTATATCACTTAGACAAACAAGGTAAATATCATATACATTACTTCTGTTTGACTGATTGTAGGTTATAGATTTACTGTAGGCTGATTGAGAATTGTAGTCCAAGAACATTGTAGCATATTTTTTCTTAATGCTGCCACCACAAGGTTAACCTAAAAACAAACAATGGGTTACATTGTATTACGCAATTATATTAATTAGCACACGGTCTACCATGCACCTTAGTTATGTAAGGCTATTCACATTAAGCAGAATGAGAACAATGATGTGATACAATTCTGTTTATTAAAAAGCTTGGAAGACGGACTAAAAAGCTCTGCATCGTAATAAATAGAACCTAGTTTTGGGAGGGGCAGTAGTAGATTATTTAAAGGAACAATCCAGCAGGGTCCTCTTTGGCGGTGACATCACTGCTGTACTCGATAGACACAGCTAATTCCCTGCAGCCGTCAATGGTGTCGGTTGTCGGGATTGAGTCTTATACTCTGCTCCGAGTCTAAGAAAGTAAGGCGGAGGAAATATACAGAGACCCTACTTTGTCTTAGAATATCTCTTACCTGGGTTGGAATTCTAGTAAAATTCCAACACAGTCAAAATTAGTATTTCATTAAGATTCTATATTAATGAAATACTCATTTACAGGGGGGTGACTGTGCTGCTTTCAATACCTAGCATCTTTAACATCTATACTGACAATGTCCTTTTATCCTATTCTTGATTATTGTATTTGGTTGGAATGTGGTTTTTTAGACTAATGTATAAGTAAATATAGTTTGCATATACCATGTACATTCCTTATATTTGGGGAACTCCCTGCCGTATAGACACAATGTGAAGGGTGCTTTAGTCTAGCTCGTCACAAAACACCACAAGGAAGTAAAAATTACAAGCAATGCATTTTTGTTTTTTCCCCTATAATTTGAGAAGCGTGACCTACATTTTGCATACCTCACATATATTCCCTTCCAAAGATAAGACATTACTGAGATTCATTAGGGCAATATTTAGGGGATTTACTGATTTGTCATGTGTATCTAAGTATGTATGTATCTGTATGTGTATGTATGCATGTATGTCAATATGTATGTATCTGTATGTATGCATGTATGTATGTCAGTATGTATGTGTATGTATCTATATGTATGTGTGTGCATGTATGTATGTGTATGTATGTATCTATCTGTATGTGTATGTATGTATCTGTATGCATGTATGCATGTATGTATGCATGAATGTATGTCAGTATGTATGTATGCATCTATCTGTATGTATGTGTGGGTATGTATCTCTCTGTATCTGTATGTATGTCACCCTTATTTTAGTTATTCAGCACATTAACGTTAAGCCATTAACCAGGCAAAACCGAATTGCAAAAAAACAAACAATTTTGCAGTTCAGTATTCATTTCACCACTCTTTGCTGTTTAGTGAATAAACCTTAAAATATTCCACATTGAGAATGTTCATTTTCAACAATGGTGGCTGCTGATAGGTTAAGATGGTGGAATGTTGGAATCCACCTATTTAATCTGACTCATGCCCATCATTTCAATTTATCCTTCTGTCCGAAGTCAGAATATAATGAGTTACCTAGCAAGTGCTTCAAATACCAAACTGTATAAGTTACACGCCATCACCCAGAATACAGTGAGTTAAATAAAAGAAATTGGAAAAAGATTCATCCAAGCTTCAACTTTTGCTACAGCTATATATTTAGAATGAATTCCTAAAATACAGATATACACTATACGGCAAATAAGCAGCTGTTCACATATATGTTAAGTATTACAGTTTGCGCTTATGTTGCATATCTGTAAATATATATAACACACGTACAGGGTGATCCAAAAGTAGGCATACAGTTGAATCAATTAAATTCAGAATATATGGGTATGCATACTCACTGGCACACATAAGAAGAGCAGTTACATTTCAGGGATTTACATATCAGTGTGGCAGTTGGAAACAATAGTAGATAATAGAATGGAGAGGCCGGAAGGCTTCTACTGGCTATGTTGCTACTGGCAACCACTTTAAAAGAGGAATAGCCAACAGACAGAGATGGTAGAGTAAGTAAATTAATGAATGGGGAAAATGCATAGGTAGAACCTTTAATTTAATAGTAGCTGTCCATAGACAACTGGGTAACCTTTTTTTGTGAAGTCCATCGTCGTATGATGCTTGTTGATCATTCTTCACTGTCGGAGAGTGTGCTTTATTCTCTGTGTGCGGTCTGACAGGATAACTGGACAAAACTGCTCTCTGCCACCATGGGTGCACCTGGCGTGGAGACTGGCACTGAGTACTCAAACTGACTGCATGATTGTGTTGTGGAAGTCTCTCACACAAGGCCTACTAAACAGTGTATCTCAACTCATTTCTAGAGGGCTGCCTTATATTATGCAAACTGGTATATGCTGCCCAAATATTTTAAATTAGTTTTTTTACGGAATGAAAAAACAGCAGTAGCATATAAAGCTTTGTATGATATGGAACATTAACCTGGAAACCTCCATGGTAGATCGCCGATTGTCCTTCACCCAAGAGTTGCTTACCTAGGCAATGAGTATCTCTATTAATATGAAGTGCTATAGTTTACTTACACTATATACTGATTGAAACAATGCCTAAAGAAGTAATTGATTACGCAGGCATAGGCAACCTTCGGCACTGCAGATGTTTTGAACTACACCTCCCATGATGCTTTGCCAGCATTATGTGTGTAAGAGCATTATGGGGGATGTAGTCCACAACATCTGGAGTGCCGAAGGTTGCCTATCCCTTGATTATCCTTCCCTAGTGTAGCTCCTCACCAAAAACATGGTCATGCTGGGCTGATGCTGTCGTGTTCTACTATGCCACTAACTCCGCCCCCTTGTACTTTGAGCCAATGACAGCTTCTTAATAGAAGGCATCGTGCGAGTTGTATTCGCGAGTGTTTGGCTCAGATGCTCAAATGGCAACTGAATGGGTGGCCTTCTTAAAGGAAACAGAGCATGCGTAAAGTCCCCTTATCTTGGTACCCAAGAGATGGTATTACTTTTTTGATTTGTGCAAAATAATTCTGATGCATTGCTTCAAGAGCCCCTATGGAAGAGCTTTGATTGATTTTCCTAACTATATACACCTATATTAATACACAATTACTACAAACTAGTTGATGTTGCTTAACCTGCAATGAGCCTGGAAAAGTCAATCCTAAATGCTACATTCATCTCTTTTACAATGGTAAATTTTTATACCAGTTGCATCCAACAGCTAGTGAAACATGTGGGTGCATCATGGGACATATCAACATTTCTAAAGCAGGAAATGGTTCTCACATTATATTGCTAAAATATTTTTTCATCTAAATGTTTGTGTAAATAACCAAACATATGTCAGCTAAACAGTCTCGTTATCTTCATAATTTCTGTTTCCACTGCGCAGATCTTCTGATTACAACGAAAAATCATATACTGAAACGGCAAACTTGTCTCGGAAAATCAGTATAGTTCACTTGAAGACTGACACAAGCAGTGATCAGAATTGTTTTCCTTCAAGTCCTTTTTCAAATAATGCTGGAATTCAGGATGCATCTTCACATGAAAATGTGGTTTCTAAAAAACTGGACAGCACCCCTGTTAATTGGGAGCCAACAGAATGTAATCGTGTGAATATCCTACAGATGTCAATGAGTAACTCATCTCAAAAGTAAGTGGAATATGAAATAATATTTTCAGAACAATTAAAAAAAGTAAAAATTTTTTTGTCAAAGTGTGTATTTCGGTTCTAATGTATCAGACATCTCCTGTAAATCCACAGGTCTTCTGGTCATGGCGTAAGCCCCCAGGCAAGATGGAGGGACGATGATGCTTATGCATCGACTCCACAGTCGAGCTACCAAAGCCATGAAACTAAAGTAAAGGAGGAGGGTTTCTATCCAATGTATTCTGATGATGATGATGATGACGACGACAATTTTTACAATTTTTTTAATGAGCCACCAGGTCTGAGAGAATCTGAAGAAAATCCGACAAATGGAGCTTCATCTACTCCATGGCAAGTAAAGTTTTGGAGCTTAGGATGAGATTTATTAGGTGATGGTTTCAGTTTTTTTTTTGGTTAGTGGAAGATTTTGAGTGTTCTACTACAATAGTCTATTGCTTATTTAATTTTTAATCCTGTTTACTTTAAACAATTGAATAAACCATATAGTGTGGAAACTTGAAAAGGAAATTGTAAATGGTGAAAAAAAAGATAAATATAAATAAAAACAGAGCAGAAGACCCCCGGATCCCATATAAACAGGGTGGAACTTTCACCTTTTGGGGAGGGGTTCAAATACCTGACAAGATTCATGCTAAAATCGTGTTATCTATTCCCTGGTGCAGTTACATGGAGATATAATAACAAATGTTTAAAAATAGGTCATGTGATTTGCAAATTATCTAGCCCAGGGCATGCGTGTCATGCAACCTATGGCATGTGTGTCACGCATGACACTCCAGGTGCCTTTGCACTGCACTCAAGGCTGCCGGAGCCAAACAGACTCTGGACTAACAGGAGTCCCAGTGGAACTTCAGATATTTGCAAGTGCAACCCAACACAAACACAATATGGCAACATACATAACTAAAAATTTTTAAAAATAGGACCTGCACTTCGTGATCCTGTTTTGGCACAGTACTACTAAAATGTTGCCTACCCCTGTTTAAGCACATATATTGCCACCCTCTATTTTGAAGAAAAAAAAACAACAAACAAAAACATGGGGTTGCACAGTAGTCCTCTGACCCATGTAGCATGTATCCCATATTCAGCCTGGCCTTACTAGACTATAATGCATTTACACTCTCTTCATACACATTTCCCGAGACTTTTTAATGCAAAGCAAGGGAATATTTATTCAGATGGCATAATTAGAATGAAAAACAGACAGATTTTGTTGTTTGGTGGCAGTGTTACAGTTTTATTATTTGGGATTTGGTGCAGTGTTCTATTGGTCTCTGCAGTGCATTCTCTTCAATAGTCCCATGTAGTCTTTCTATGCTGCTTACTATAATTCTTTCGCGCCTTGGTATAGCAAATCCATTGCCATTCAGACAATCCTGACATGTTATTAGTCTTGGAGTTGTTAAGTGCTTTCATTTACAAGTTTAACAGTTGCTTTGATCTACACCCTGATATTTATGTGTGTCTGTGCCCCTGCTTTGCACACAGGTTTTCTAATCCCACAGGTAATGAAAGGCAGGCTCCAGTGGTGTCTGATGGATATTCTTCAGCTGCTACAGGCTTCAGAGCACCTGGAGATGTAGTTCAACATATTCCACAATTTGAAGATCATGCAGAGGGTCTCTCCAATACCATCCACCCAGCAGTTGCTGAACTCATTGACACAGAAGAATCTTACTTCCGATCCCTGCAGTTTATTATCTCTTACATTAAAGATAAATTAAAGGGGGTATGTAATTAGATTTTGCCATTTTCCTAGTGTTTTTTAGGTTTGCCAGATTGCTACATTTTTGTTGGCTATATATGAATGACATATGTTGTTGGTCTCTGCACCAAAAAATGCAACCTTTAGTATTTGTACATTGTATAAAATCAGGCACAGATCTTATTGACCTGTTAATAACTTATATTAACTTATAAAGCAAATGCAAAATGCTAAACTTAGTTTGACACTAGAGTAAACATTAAAAAAAGTTTTTTTGCCCTGGGGTGCTCTTAATCTCAAGTTACCTTACTAAGAAAAGAGAGCAGATGCCTCCTAATTAGAGGGAACTCTATAGGAACCCTGGTGACAAGGATGTGGGTGTTCCAAGTACGAGAAAGCGATCCGTATAAATCTTCTAATCCTCAGAAGTAAAACCCGTTGGAACCAATACCACTCAACTGACACCCTGGTGCAGTGCCAGAGGAAACCTCTTACTATCACTTGTAAAGCCAACCATCCCTTCAAGTACAGAACTAAGAAGTAATCTAGAATCTCCTGACCTAACTAGGAAATACATTAAAAAAACAAATTGAAATTACTCCTAACTTTGCAATTAAAATCAGTCTATAAAATATTTGTATGTATATATATATATATATATATATATATATATTTAAATAACTTAGTCAGTGTTCATAGTCCATATATTCTCCATCTCTGAATACTGATAAAATACATCATCCAGTATTTTCTAAACCATGGGTAGGCAACCTTCGTCACTCCAGATGTTGTGGACTACATCTCCCATAAAGCTCTTACAATCATAATGCTGGCAAAGCATTAGGGAGATGTAATCCACAACATCTAGGGTGCCAAAGGTTGCCTACACCTGTTCTATACATTGGATGACAGGGCTTTTTAAACTTATTTTTCAATGTTTGTAGTAATTTTATTTCCTCCAACATATATTCTGTTGTATGATCTTCAGGTACCAGAGGTGGACGTCCACAGCCTTTTCTCAAACATTGAAGAGATTTTTCAGATGACTAGATCCTTCTCAACAGAGTTAAATCAAACCAAGAATGATGAGAAGAACCAGCTTGTTAATATTGGTAGGTTGTAAAGATACCCACGTGAGCTGTAGACTTGTGCATTTGACTTCAAATAACTTGAGATTGGCGGAAATTTTAGATCGGCAATTAGTCTGAAATCCTAAACTCAGAACTCTACATGACTGAATCACAAACAAAACAAAGAATAAATGAGCCGTTTCATTTGTTTTGTGATTTCAAGGGGAATGATTGATGATGGTTAGTGAGAAATTACCAGTAGAAGAGGAACAAGGAGTAAAAAAAATAAATAAAAATCTATATTTATTTTTGTATTAATGTATAATACTCTTCTTACTTAATCCAAATGGTGTGAAAATACGCCTACCAGTGTACTGCAAAATATATACATAATATTTATATGATGCAGTACACTAATTTGCCAATTTTCATTCCTTTTTGGTTTGTCCAAATTTTTTTAACCAAAATGATCGCATGGATGAAAATTGTCTAAGATCAGCCAAAATTATTTTTGTATTCATTTTTTTTTTTGAGTCAAATCAATTTCTTTTCTCCTTGAACAAGTCTAATGAGCTCCATCATCTGCTTCTATGAAACACGCTGCTTTATTTGACCCTCTGGCTTAATTTTCTGAATTCCAGGAATCCTTTTTCAAGAATACTGTAGTGACATGGAAAATGTTTACTCACGGTATTGTTGTGGATATCAGAGAGCCCTGACGCTGCTGGACCAGTACAAGGAGACACACATATTTGAAAATATTCAAGAGGCTCTGGCCACTGAATCGTGAGTACAGTTACAGAGCAGCTTCCTTTGTGTTTTAAATTGTTTAACAAAGTAACAGAAGAACAGGTAGACGCAGGTAAAAAGAGATTGCATTTTATGGGGGGTTTTGGATGACTTAACTGGCATGTATCACTTTTCTTGCAGGGATGTGTCTGTTTTCTTTCTATCCCATATTCAACTTACTATTTTACTAAAGTGACGGGAATTTAAAATGAAATTTAGGCCATTATAACGGAAAGAAATACACTCCAAGTTAATACAGATTTTAGTCTGGCTATTATGGCCTTAAATTTTAAATTCAATTTGAGTTCCTGGCAGTTCTCACTTTTGTGAGTAACCATGTTTGTGTTTATCTAATTTCCTCCAATTTGTAGAATTATGATGTAACCTAATTTTAGAGAGTATCTGATTTACACAAATGTAGTCATTGGTTCTGTCGCTCCAAAAGATACTAATTTACCGGACTGTCTTATTACATTATTATTATTATTGTTATTTTTATTATTTATAAAGCTCCAACAAATTCAGCAGCGGTGAATGGGGGGTCTAAGAGACAAGTTTTTGAGGGCCCTGGTCAAATGAGCTTGCTTGGGTATAGTAACACAAAAGGTAAGGTGGATGACAGTTGAAGAAGAGGAAGCAAGTTACAGGGAGGGAAATCTATTAAGAGTTTAATTGAAGAGTGGTGATGAGTTTTTAATAATTTTTTTGAAAGAATGTAGATTTAGTTAGAGTTTAACGGAGCTGGGAGTTCCATAGGAGTGCTGTGACCAAGAGACGTCTTGAAGGTGAGTGTCAGGGGTGACAGTACAAACAGAGGAAATGACGAAGAGCTTAGGGCCCTGAATGGGACATACTTGTTGTGGCAAAAGTGACCTCACCACTGGGGTTTGGAGGGGCCTGGTTGCTCGCCTTTTGCCCCAAGATTATGGCCCTGTGGTATATTGAGACTTTTGGGAAAAATGTCCCCAGACCGTTAAAATACTTTGTTCGTGGCTTTTTCCTATATGGTTCGGTAAATGGGGCTTACCGTACCAAGTACCGAACAGGCAGACCACACACAAGTTGAAGTGTGCAGGCTGGCTGTTAACCGCATGTTAATTGCTGACCGCAGGGTGGCCGCCGTTCGTACAGACGAACACGTGGTGGCGGCCATCTTTATTTAGTCGAACGCGGTCAGCTGTCAAATCCATGGAACTAAAATAGGCTACACATTTGCACGAACACCGCTGACCCTTACTTTCTCTGCAACTTCGACGCTTCGGCTGAAATCGAAGTGCTTTCAACGATTCAAACGCTATGGTATACTGAGCCATTTGCACGAACGGAACCCGTTCGTGCATTCGAATGGGACTTAGTCATTTTTCTGTGTGAAATAGACCTACCGCACAGCCCAAATCTATGGAACTCTTTTGGGCAGGAAAGCAATGCTTGCATTAGGTCAAAAAGGACTTCCACCTAACTTTTAAACATCTGGAAGGAATTGTCTGATGTTTGAGTATGTTTGTATTTGGAGTATGCTGATTTAGAATATGTATTTTTTATAGAGATTGCATGTATAGTTTAGGAGTTATGAATATTGTATGAAACTGTATATTTTCCTGTCTGTAATAATTAAGTTAACCCATTGTGTACAGTAATTATATCACAGGCAGAGAGGAGGGTTTGTGTGTCCTAACTAGGAGTGTTTAACTGTATTATAATGTATTTGATTGGCTGTGCCACAAAACCATGTGGGTGGTAACATTGTGTAAAAACATGTATAAAAGAAGCAATAAAACCACAGCTCTGCCTGTTCCTGCTTACACTCCAAACTGTGTGTCGTACAGTTATTGGAGGAAGAATATTTGCTCCTGTGTCTGCTGTTCCAGCTTGCAGGAGATTCAACGGGGAAAGTCCTTGTAAGGACTAGAGCTAATTCCCCATTCGGTTCCAGAGTTCCCAGGACTGAGTAGCATCCAGTGCCTGGAGGTGTCTGCTCGAGTGCTTGGAGCCCTCAGGAAGCGTATCCTTCAACGGAGGTACCCAGTCGGGGTGCCAGGTGTTCCGTTACACTTGTGTATTAGGTAGGATAGGTAGGTAGGAGCAGCATTCTGTAGAGATTTGTAAGCAAGTACCATAATTTTAAATTGAGCCCTATATCTTATGTAGGGACTGACAGAGGCTGGAGGTGTGGGAGGTGTGGGTAGACAGGAAGATGGGCCTCATTAATTTTAGACTGTAATGGGGCAAGTTGGGAACATGTAACACCACTGAGAAGTGGATTGTACTAGTCAAGGCGAGAGAATAGCGGCGTGGCCCAACACCTGGCTGCGTCAGTTGCATACAAATGAATAAATGACCATTGTGATAGCTGAAAAAAGATGGATACAAGTTATATATAATATATGAAAAATTTAAATGCATTGCTAAAACTGAACATGCATATTACAGACAATTCGGACTGAGTTGCTTGCATTGTGAATTAAACTATATTTCATAAACTATTACAGTCAACTTACACTCTGCCCATTTCCATTTTAGATCATCTTCATGCCAATACACTGACATCACATTCTACCTAGTAAAACCTATGCAGCGTGTCACCAAGTACCCCTTACTAGTGCAGAGGATACTTGAAATCAAGTCAATCAGCAAAGAAGCAAAGGATGCATTGGAGGGAGCATTGCAAGCTGTGATGCAAATGAACACTAACATTAATGAGAACAAGAGACGCAAGGAAGTTGGTAAGTAACTCTATCCAACTATTTAAAGGGACACTATAAGCACACATATCTGTTCCTGCAGTGTGACAAATGTAAACATTGCGTTTTTTGCCACTGATAGCCACTGGAGACATTTCCTCATTAAGACCTTTTCAAGGTCCTCGTTTCTGCTGTTCTCAAACCAAGCATGATGCAAACACTGATAACTCTACTCCTAGAGACGCTCTGGGATAATAGACCAGGGAGGGATAGAAGTTAACCCTCTCCTCTCAAAGCCTTGTGTTGCACATTCTACATTAATATTTATTTTGTGTTCTGAGTTCTCCTCTCTCATCTCTTCAATGTGAAACAACCAATTTATTCTGCTTGTATGTTTTATATTCTTCTTTGAACATCCCTCTTTATTCTAGACCATAGTGTTGGGCCACGCCGCTATTCTCTCGCCTTGACTAGTACAATCCACTTCTCAACTAACTGAAACTTTTCTTTATTGACTTTATGAGAATCTTTGGAATTCACACTAACCAATGCACATATCACAAATGACAGCTATTTCTCATTTTTATCTAAAACTGTATGTATACATAGAAACAACATTCTGTTAGTGGACATTTCTATGCTTTTGAAGGCATCTCACAGGAACCAAGGAATTGTCCTACTAGAAATGTAAGTACAGATGTAAGGATAAGATTTCGATTGTGTTGTATAGGGTTTATTGGGAGCATCTTTAGTAACAAAATATGTTTACTAAAAATTATCTCATGTATGTTCTTAAATCTCCTGATTTTCACAGTTTGTTTCTAACTGCTGTTTTAAGTTAGGCATTAAATGTGGGTCTTATCTAATGAGACCATTTTACAAATGGCTATTTTGTGTTGTAAAAGTTTCACTGGCAGTAGACTTTATTATTTTTTACAGAGGTTCTCTCAGAAATGGTTCTCTATATCTTTAATACAAAACAATAGTCAGTCAATGCAGTAAATGGGTGTAAGAAATATATCCAGATTGCAAAGTAGTAAGCAGTTTTGGGTCTCACGTGGCCACTACCAATAGGCCATGATTTAATAGAAATCATTAAATATCTAACTAAAAGAGATTGTGTGGTGTGCAATAATGCAACTTACCCATATGATCGGAAATACGACAGACACCTTTTTAAATTGTGAAGGACACATCATTTATAGTAGTTACTATGTTACTATATGGCTGCAGCGCTTGCAATATACATAAAACATAGTAATATCATGGAAATGAAGTTGAAACAATTACGTATTAAAAATTTTTAATTAAGGAGCAAGGTCCCATATTAGTAAAACCTTTTAAATATATTTTTAAAACATTACTTTTGATCACAGTAAAGCAATTATGTTTGCTCTTTTGATATCTTTTGTAATGTCATTTTTGATTTATTTGAAACCCATGCCAAAAATCATGACCTGATTATAATGCCTAAAAGATGGACAGAACCAAGGGGAACATTTTCTTTCTCACACAAAATCTTGAAAAAGGCCTCAAGGTTTACATATACATCCTTTACAGATTTCTTGTCCTGTGTCATGTGACAAAACCCAGTAAACCAAGAAGGATAATACTTATCTTATGTAGATTAATTTTTACTTGAATATCCTTAAACTAATTGGTGAAGCCCTTCCTATAATACTTAAATACCATGTTAATTACGTAACAGGTTTTTCAACTGGATTAGGTTTTTGAATTTTGTTGAATCCTTCTCTGTTATTGGTATGTATAAATTGTGTTCTGCCCTTGTATTTCTATAGCCAGCAAGTATGTCCAGGAGGACCAACGCACTCTGCTGGAGAAAGTATACCAGATAAATAAACACACTCTGTCTAAGAAGAAGTCACGTTTAAGCCAGTTGTTAAAGCAACAAGCTGGCATAGTACCCAAGGTACGACAACTATGTGAGTTCAGTGTTCTGAGGCCCAACAATTGGATTTATGGTGGATGTAATAACCACCAAACTCTTGTGATGGTAAAATTATAACACAAGAGCTGTCTGTGACCAAGCTGACCTCTTTATTACTCCATTTCAACCCATGTTACATTATGTGTGTGTGTGCATGTGTGTGTGTGTGTATATATATATATATATATATTCTATCTATATCTATCTGGAGAAAAGGGAGTATGCCTGGAATCTTGGATTCATAATCCCATAAATCTACAATGAAAATGAACGGTCCAGGATTCCTTTTCAGTTGAGCTCACATACCATGGGCACTTTGTCGTGATTTAATAAAGATTCATAAGGATAATTTAAGAAAGTGGTACTTAACATTTATATGTTATGGATCCAAATGATTGTTATGGGATTACTATGGTGACTCATTTCAATAAATATATGTAAGACAATAAATTCTACATTAGACTGCTTCCTGTATTAAAGGTGCTCTTCACATCAGAAGTCGAGGCTTTGCTACCATAATGAACAATATATTGTAGGCTTTTGTCTAGGAAATGATCAGCAAACCATTGGGGACTCAATGTTAAGTCTGGACCCATGGTTTAAGAAACACTGTTCAGTGAGGTAGCAGGACAGATGCACATTGGGCTTCCACGCATTGGCCTCCTTTTAATTACTTGAAAAGTTTTTCTAACAGATTGTAGGTAAATCATTTTGGAAGCTTTTTAAACAATCAATGACAGAGTTTGCCATTTAAGTGGCTCTGACATGGTTTGCCCTCTCTGCCTCTTGTCTTTATTTTTATATTTTCTTCACTGCGCTGGATCTTAATACCTGGTGTCACAGCACAAGGGTGCCTAATTCATTATTGCACTATGGAATATTGTCCTTTAATGTAATTTGTGTAGAGCACAGATGAACTAGTTGCCTGGTAGAGATGGTATTGTCAATGTCAAAAGGGGTTAATTTGATTGTATGGAAGGTTTATAGCTATAATTCCTTTTGAAGCTGGGACCTCCACAGAGGTCAGATGACAGGAGGGTAATGTAAATTGCATAGAATTGTGAAAGCTGCAAGGTGTGAGATTCTACACGTGAAAAGCCTAAATGTTTGACTTCAGCCATAGGTCCTGCACCTCTTAATTAATGAGTCAATCTATTTGATATGTTAATGGCCATTAGCCTTGTTTCAGTATCATATCCAAAAGGAAAAAACATTAATATTTACACACCAAATAATTAAGCCTCATTTTTGTTATATTTGGAATGTGACAAGCGCCCTCTTCTAAACATGCCCAAACATGGTTGGCATAACTATACCATAGGGGAAGGAACTATACCATAGGGGAAGGTCCACTATATTGGGTCGTCAGTACTGTGTGCGACACTTCTATAGAATGGGAAAATAATAACAAATTCGTAGATGCAGTTATTATTTCTGTGACAGGTACATAAGGGAAGATAGAACCAATTGTTTCCATTTGGATTTATGTTGGTCTGCAACACAAGGGGGTGGTCACTCATTATCTCTATAGATATGAATATACTGGGTAGAATTATCTAATATGGTGCAGTATGGTCGGTACAGTGGTGAGAAAAGAAAAATATCCTATACTGGATTCACTCACGTGGTCTAGAGCCTTTTAAGGACCGGCTCTGATCGCATATTCACCTTATTTTCAATTATATTTTATTTCAAATTTACTTTGAATTCATGGAAATTCACACTTTAGTGAATAAGCCTGAGAAGAGTCTTTACCTGATTAGGTAATTTTCCAAATCACTTTTTTTTTGGTGTGGTTTTATGTAGGTTGTGTGGAGAGTGGAGACAGTGGAAAGAAACAGGGATAGGAATAAGTTAAGAGTCTCTACTGGTAAAGACAAGCCCCCATAAAACCTCTTAGAAATAAGTGAATAAAAATAGGTGTAAAAACCTACACGTACCAGGAGATCCCTAAACCAATAAAAGATGGAGTCTAATATTCATATAGATAGCTCTAAGAAATAAAGTGCAAAATAGAACCAAGACAATTGGAAGAATTTGAAATGACAGTAGCAAACACATAAAAGGGTGGAATACAATCTGAAAAACGAACACTAGATGTCAGCCAAGTGCTAAGTAGTCTCACATAGAGGGGGAGTGTTAACTAAACAATCAATGTTCAGCAGACTAAAATAGCAATGAAAAAAACAAATATGACTTAAATGGTCTGTGGCTTAAATGTAGATCTGCACAGTCTCATCTATTTTATAAAATACCACTCAATAGTCCAAAACTTTGTAAAATGAATCCAGATTAATGGTAAAAATCAGTAACTGATGTTCTGTATACCAAAGTTTGTTTGATGTAGAAAATGAACCTGATGTGGAATAATTTCACTGTCACAGTCAACACACTATGTAGCTATCCATTAAAAAAGATAGTAACATTCATGTATCAGACTGCAAACACAGTATAACCAGTGCTGGTAAAATAAAATAAGATGGTGCATAAAAGATAATATTACTCACATACCACTATAGCAGGTAAATGGTAATAATGGTTGCTTCAAGATACATGCTTAAAAAGAGAAAGAGGTAGCAGTGCTTTTCAATGAAAAGCTTCAAATTTATTCATCAAAATTAAATATGAAATCCACTCACGAACATGAAGTGTAATAAAGCAGCAAAAGAGTCCTGGGGGTCTGCAAGAGCGGGTAGTGTTGGAAAAATATTGTGGAAGATCCTAACCCCGGCCGGTAAGGTGATCTCGCTGTGCTGGGAGAGATGGAACCTTTATTAACTTCTGCCTTTGTCTGATTAAGCATCACATTTCCTGAAGATACTAATTAGTATTTTTGCAATTCCTTAAATACTGCGCTAAGTTGTACTTGGTGGGTTTTTATTATTGATTTACCTGGGGGACCAAGGCACCCCATTTATAAATTGTCATGGGCATTTTTGTGATTAACAAAAAAGCTTTTCCAAAGGAAATAAATTGAAGCCATAGTTTGAATGATTACCGCTAGACTCTAGAGAATTTAATGTCTGAGGTACCCCTTCTCTTCAATTTCTAGCTCATGATAAAGAGAAGCAATGTAGAGGAGGAGGGGTTGGGTAAATAAATGCTTTTTGTTATGCTACTTTTTGGTGATCTTTTGGGAACACTTGATGATTTGGAAGAAGTCAACAGTGTTGTAGAGTTGTGTATGCACTCATTACTTAATATGGCAATGTATTTTTTAAAACGACACAACCTTTAGCAGATTCTGACACATTCCCAATACCATACCTCCTATTGTTGGAATGTATGCCATGTGCAAGTCCATCCATTTATGCTGCAGACCGTGAATTGTGTTTATTAAAATAAATAAATATATAATATATATGAAACCAAGAGGGCTGCACTCACCTCAACATGCATAATTATAAGGGGGGGCAATCCCAAAATTTGATATTGTGTGTATGCACTTAGTTACAAGTTTAGTTGGATAATGTTTTTTCATCTTCCATTTTTGGCTGAGTTTTGTCTTTGTGATTGTATTTGCCAAACAAATCTGAATTAAATGAATAACCCTGAAGGCTCACATAAATACAGTTGTCCGTAGAGCATTTAGTAGACTTGTTTTTAATTTTTATGTTGTTACCTTTTTTCATGTTTCTGCAAGGCAGCTGAGTCAGCTGGTTTGTACCCTAATGAAAGCAAAGATATAATGTATGTAGGACATTGCTCATTTTTAATGGGGAAAGACAAAGACCGGGAATTGGATGTTCAGTTTTGTTTGTACTGATTAACAGCTCTGAGCAGCTATATGAATACTTGGTGGGGGATATTAATCCTGAATTGTCAGGAATTTGGAGTTATTAGCAAAAACTGCTGAAATAAAAAAAATCTTATGGCGTGTTTATTTTCAATTATGATGTGTCAAAAGAATGCTATTATGCAAATAAATGCCCAATAGCGCAAAGTGTGTAGCACTAAAATTGTGAACAATGAATGAGGAAATCCTAAAAATGAAATATATAAAAATATGGTGCAGTATGGTCGGTACAGTGGTGAGAAAAGAAAAATATCCTATACTGGATTCACTCACGTGGTCTAGAGCCTTTTAAGGACCGGCTCTGATCGCATATTCACCTTATTTTCAATTATATTTTATTTAAAATTTACTTTGAATTCATGGAAATTCACACTTTAGTGAATAAGCCTGAGAAGAGTCTTTACCTGATTAGGTAATTTTCCAAATCACTTTTTTTTGGTGTGGTTTTATGTAGGTTGTGTGGTTTTATTAGTAATTTTATAACCATTCAAACAATTATCTTGGTAGAAAGAAGACAAAGAATATGACAGTTTGGCCAAAAACTTCCAGTGTCTTGCGTCTGTGGTTTCCCAGCTACATCAAAATGTCCTGAATCATGTAAATATTTTGGAGGTAAGCTTTGCCCAAGAAGTACACTTGGAATCTAAAATCAAAATCTATGTGCACGCATCTTAGTATAAGTAGTCAATAGTGGAGAAGCAGGGCTGGATAATACAGGATTTGGTAGCAGAGTTCAGCTGAGCTATTAATAAATGAAAAATAATTTAACCACACTACCTAGATCTCTCAAAAATAAGTGTTCACGCCATCTGCTGTCAGGCTGCCATTTTTAAATGGACAAATGGAATGTTGGCTATTTTGCCATAAAAAAACAGATGAAAACTAGAACAAACTTAAAAAACAAAAAAAGTGAAAGCACTTGCTGAGGTTTTTTTATTTTATAGTCCAATAACATTATTTAACAGAGATCAATAAATGTGAGTTAAGAGCCTAATCATAACAAGAATTTGCCAAGGGGCCCCTTTTTTGCATTGAAGGTCATTCTACCAATCATTGTTAACAGGAGTAGTCCCAAAAGATTGGAAGTTAGCGAATGTTGTGCCCATTTACAAGAAAGGTAATAGGGAGGAGTAGGGCAAGTATAGGCAGTAAGCCTTACTTCAGTAGTGGGGAAAGTGATGGAAACCATGTTAAAGGATGGGATTGATGAACATCTAAAAACACATGGATTTCAAGATCAGAGACAACATGGGTTTACTTCAGGGAGATCATGCCAAACTAATCTTATTGATTTTTTTGATTGGGTAACTAAAATTATAGATCAGGGTGGTGCAGTAGACATTGCTTACCTAGATTTCAGTAAGGCTTTTGACACTGTTGCACATAGAAGGCTTATCAATAAACTGCAATCTTTAAGTTTGGATTCCAATATTGTTGAATGGGTAAGGCAGTGGCTGAGTGACAGGCAACAGAGGGTTGTAGTTAATGAAATATATTCGAAGCTTGGACTTGTCACCAGTGGGGTACCTCAGGGATCTGTACTTGGACCCATTCTCTTTAATATTTTTATTAGTGATATTGCAGAAGGTCTTGATGGTAAGGTATGTCTTTTTGCTGATGATACTAAGATATGTAACAGGGTTGATGTTCCAGGAGGGATAAGCCAAATGGCAAATGATTTAGGTAAACTAGAAAAATGGTCAGAATTGTGGCAACTGACATTTAATGTGGATAAGTGTTAAATCTCTGATGACTTAAAGGTAGGCTGACAATGTAATAGAGCAGCAGGAAATGCTAGCAGAATGCTTGGTTGTATAGGGAGAGGTATTATCAGTAGAAAGAGGGAAGTGCTCATGCCTTTGTACAGAACACTGGTGAGACCTCACTTGGAGTATTGTACACAGTACTGGAGACCGTATCTTCAGAAGGATATTGATACCTTAGAGAGGGTTCAGAGAAGGGCTACTAAACTGGTTCATGGATTGCGGGATAAAACTTACCAGGAAAGGTTAAAGGATCTTAACATGTATAGCTTGGAGGAAAGACGAGACAGGGGGATATGATAGAAACATTTAAATATATAAAGGGAATCAACACAGTAAAGGAGGAGACTATATTTAAAAGAAGAAAAACTACCACAACAAGAGGACATAGTCTTAAATTAGAGGGACAAAGGTTTAAAAATAATATCAGGAAGTATTACTTTACTGAGAGGGTAGTGGATGCATGGAATAGCCTTCCAGCTGAAGTGGTAGAGGTTAACACAGTAAAGGAGTTTAAGCATGTGTGGGATAGGCATAAGGCTATCCTAACTATAAGATAAGGCTAGGGACTAATGAAAGTATTTAGAAAATTGGGCAGACTAGATGGGCCGAATGGTTCTTATCTGCCGTCACATTTTATGTTTCTTCTATTTTGACAATGTAAACAACAAATCACAGCTCTGGTTCTGCCCTCAGGAATTGCTTACTAGACAGCCTGACATATCTTGTATGGAGGAAGAAGCCGTATCAACCCAGTACAAGGCTGACTTTACAATGGAATTGTACCAGAACATCTACCTAGAGTTTGTATGTGGTTTAATCTGTACCATTAACTCTTTAATTATTGGTATGAATACATATGCACGCACACATAGACAGAACTTTGTTAGTCCTCGAATATGTCTGATATATTGTTTATATATAAATATATATATGTGTATATATATATATATACTGTATCTATTTTTGTATTTTTTTTATTTAGAAATGCATAGGTCTGTCATTATAAGCTATAAACTACGCTGTAAAATTTATCCCTAACTTAATGTCTTAACTTAAATTATTTCCCATTTCATAATAATAGCATCACCATTCCCAGTGCTGCCTCTTAAAATGTCACTGTCACTGTCTCAGGTATCAAAAATAGAAAAGAGGGTTGCACTCAATCAGAAAAATCACAGGGTGCTAACTGAGTATGGGTCACCATACCCCATAGAATATACATCAATGAAAAAATCTTTATTTACACACATGTTGTTGTGTTGTTATGGTGTTAGCTTGATAAAGACCTGGGTACAGGTTGAAAGATTGCGGAACCATTAAAGCTGCTCTAAAACGTATTACAGCGAGTGACTGTCACTGTCTCAGGACTGTGAGGAATTTGCAGAGACCTCCGACGCCATTGGGGGGTCCAGTAGTTGGAAGGTATAGCACATGGTCGAGAGTACATCATTGAAGTCTATGGAGGGTCCCACAAGACTGCAGATCCTCCATAGATACAGCGATCTTCCTGCAGCTGTCACTGGTGATGACTTTTGGAATTGACACTTAGACTCCTGCCTTAATCTAAGAAAGTCAGGAGGAGAAATACGGAGACAATGAAGCCTCTACTTTGTCTCAGTATATCTCTTGACTGGGTTGGAATTTCAGTGAAATTCTAATACAGTCAAAATCAGTATTTCATAAAGATTCTATCTGAATGAAATACTGATTTGTCAGGATGGGTTGACAGTGCTGCTTTAAGTGTTTAATGATTTGTATTATGTGAGTAGAGGATAATTCATGAGATACACAATATTAGATGTAGATATGCAGATACACATAGTTTATATGAGAGGTAGATAAGCATTTGCATAAGATATAAAGATTAGATAAAAATTAGGTATGAAGTTACATGAGAATTTTTTTAATATTATATAGACAGATACGCAGTAGAAATGTGCAACAGATTTGCCCATTTCCATAGATAACTAACTCCAGTAAGCCATTACAGATCACATCACCATGTTTTGTAATATTTGCACAGGGACAAGTAAGATTTCCTGATATAACCAATGTGTCTCTCTCTCCTCGCAGAAGAGAAGGCTTCAACTCCTGGTTCTTCAACCACTTACCAGTCTATTGGAATCCTTAAAAGGTCCTAAGAACTTAATCCGGAAGCGCATGGATAAATTGCTGGATTGTGAAAATCTTGAAGAGAAGTATAGTGAAACCGGCAAAATGACCCTAGAAGAAGAGGAAATCATAAAAAATTATAAAGCGATCCATACACTGCTGCTGTCTGAACTGCCTCTGTGCATCGCTTTGTCTAAGCAGTTGCTTCGTGGATTGCTGTTCACTTACATTGAACTAAACCATGAAATGACCTTGCAAGGACTTAATGCAGCGCAAGCAGAGGCTTCACAGGTAGGCCTCTACGCAGCAAAAGTAGTATTTTGGGCAGTACATTGTGCAGTGTAAATAATGACTTTCCAAGTTATGATATGGGTTGTATAAAAAGACTTTTGCTGTAAAACCTGAGCAATTACTAACCGAAGAGCCAGCTATTGAGGTTTCTCTGAAGCAGCTAGCTAGACACTAGGACTAACTGAGAGGCAGTTGTTTGAATCGGCTAGGGGGAACTTATTATATCAGGTTTATGTGGATTTATTGTTGAGGTATCTAAAAAGGGACTTCATGTGGTATGCTTAGGTCTAGATCAGGCATAGGCAACCTTCGGCACTCCTGATTTTTTGGACTACACCTCCCCTGATGCTTTGCCAGCATTATGGGTGTAAGAGCATTATGGGGGATGTAGTCCAAAACATCTGGATTGCCGAAGGTTGCCTATCCCTGGTCTTGATCAATGTGAATTTTTTCAACACAGTATCTGCCTATGAGCCAATCATTACCCATATAATTCCAGATACTTTCTTTATTTCTTCTTTTTATATACAAAAAATTATGTATAAGTGGAGCGCTGATAAAATAGAAAGAAAGGAGAGTAGGGTAAAGGTAAGCAAAATAGGAAACCTAACAACCTATGTAGTATAAAACATGTACATAAATAAAATATACCCTTCTCTCCTAATAGATCAAAACTGATTTAACTCGTACACTCAAAGTAGATAAAAATACACAAATTAATTAATTAATAAAAAGATAGACTAATATAAAGAGAAAACATTAAATCTCACATATAATATGTCTATAACAAATAATTAAACAACAGCCGTAAAAAAGTCATAAAAAAGTCCAGACCTTATTAGAATGCTCGGCGTCCCGAGTCAGCAAAGATGTATAAATGCTGAAAAAATAAGTCAAATAAAAGTCCTCTTTATAATCCAGGTGATGGCTGATAGTGGTGGGAGTCAGACCTCTCCAAACGCGTTTCTCCGCTTTGGCGGCTTTTTCAATGGATGAGGTCTGTGTCTTTGTGTTCGCTTATATAGCGGTTTGCCGGCATTAATTAGAACCCGGCAAATACATCAGACAGTGAGTGTAACTAAAGTAACTCCTCTGAAACAAAATAGTTTCACTGTATCAGAACAGCTCAGGAAAGTTATCCCTTATTTGGATCGGCATATTATATTATTCCTCTTTATTTACTACTGTTGCCATAGTAACGCCCGCCCAAGCAGGTTTAAATGTAACTGCCGTTTCCAATTGGTTAAAAAAGACGGAAAACATGAAAGAGAAAGAAGACAGAATTACAGAAGTGTTAAAAAAAAATAAAAATAAAAAAAAAATAAAAAAAAAATAAATAAAATGAATAGGTGTTGCAAATATAACTTCTATATGCTCAAATAGTTAAAATATATCAAAACTCGATAACTGAGAAAAAGTACTCTTTACTTAATCATTTGATCGACCCATCACATTACCATTTTGTGTATGCTCCCGTTACTATAGTAACGATTGTATGAGCAGGTTTAACTCTATCTGCCATATTTATGTGACGTAGGATGACAGGGAAATGGAGAAATCTATTATAAAAAGATGATAATAATGGAATAGGGATCTCTCATTATGTCTACTCCTGTTGATAGAATAAAGAGATTTCCATGTTACAACTTGGATCACAATTTTAAAATATTAGGGCGATCTAACAAACCTAATGTTATAGCTTACACTAACGCTGCTTGGTATAATTAGATGAGAGATTCTAAATCTCAAAAAGTATCCATAAAAACACTTAAAGGGGGAAATTTATCCCAAAAAATGACATAACTCAAATTCGGCATTTAATCCCTTAGGCTGCAACGTATCTAGTTGATATATCCATTTCATCTCAGTAATGCCCAGTTGTTTAGTATGGTCTCCTCCTCTCCAGTTTTTATTCACTCTACATATCCCCTTAAAGTTCAAAAGGCTCATATCCGAATTATGATGTTGTTTAAAATGGGCTGATACTGAATGTTGCATATAGCCTTTCTTTATATTCAACATATGTTCTCTAACTCTAATATATAGTTGCCTTTTTGTTCTTCCCACGTACTGGAGCCCACATGGGCACTCCAGTACGTATATTACGTTAGTGCTTTGGCAGGTGATATGTTCTTTTATTTTAAAAGATTCCATCTTTTTCTTATTGTTTTTGTTAGTAACTTCAAATACGCCTTTTGTTTGTTTAAACCTACTTTCTTTGCATGAAATGCAGTCCAGGCAATAGAAGAAGCCATTTTTCTTTGTTATAGTTGGAGCGTTTCTACCTTTATGGTGTTTGTTAGTTATTTTTATTTTTTATTAGGGGCGCACCGAACTTATGTAGAAAAATAACTAACAAACACCATAAAGGTAGAAACGCTCCAACTATAACAAAGAAAAATGGCTTCTTCTATTGCCTGGACTGCATTTCATGCAAAGAAAGTAGGTTTAAACAAACAAAAGGCGTATTTGAAGTTACTAACAAAAACAATAAGAAAAAGATGGAATCTTTTAAAATAAAAGAACATATCACCTGCCAAAGCACTAACGTAATATACGTACTGGAGTGCCCATGTGGGCTCCAGTACGTGGGAAGAACAAAAAGGCAACTATATATTAGAGTTAGAGAACATATGTTGAATATAAAGAAAGGCTATATGCAACATTCAGTATCAGCCCATTTTAAACAACATCATAATTCGGATATGAGCCTTTTGAACTTTAAGGGGATATGTAGAGTGAATAAAAACTGGAGAGGAGGAGACCATACTAAACAACTGGGCATTACTGAGATGAAATGGATATATCAACTAGATACGTTGCAGCCTAAGGGATTAAATGCCGAATTTGAGTTATGTCATTTTTTGGGATAAATTTCCCCCTTTAAGTGTTTTTATGGATACTTTTTGAGATTTAGAATCTCTCATCTAATTATACCAAGCAGCGTTAGTGTAAGCTATAACATTAGGTTTGTTAGATCGCCCTAATATTTTAAAATTGTGATCCAAGTTGTAACATGGAAATCTCTTTATTCTATCAACAGGAGTAGACATAATGAGAGATCCCTATTCCATTATTATCATCTTTTTATAATAGATTTCTCCATTTCCCTGTCATCCTACGTCACATAAATATGGCAGATAGAGTTAAACCTGCTCATACAATCGTTACTATAGTAACGGGAGCATACACAAAATGGTAATGTGATGGGTCGATCAAATGATTAAGTAAAGAGTACTTTTTCTCAGTTATCGAGTTTTGATATATTTTAACTATTTGAGCATATAGAAGTTATATTTGCAACACCTATTCATTTTATTTATTTTTTTTTTATTTTTTTTTTATTTTTATTTTTTTTTAACACTTCTGTAATTCTGTCTTCTTTCTCTTTCATGTTTTCCGTCTTTTTTAACCAATTGGAAACGGCAGTTACATTTAAACCTGCTTGGGCGGGCGTTACTATGGCAACAGTAGTAAATAAAGAGGAATAATATAATATGCCGATCCAAATAAGGGATAACTTTCCTGAGCTGTTCTGATACAGTGAAACTATTTTGTTTCAGAGGAGTTACTTTAGTTACACTCACTGTCTGATGTATTTGCCGGGTTCTAATTAATGCCGGCAAACCGCTATATAAGCGAACACAAAGACACAGACCTCATCCATTGAAAAAGCCGCCAAAGCGGAGAAACGCGTTTGGAGAGGTCTGACTCCCACCACTATCAGCCATCACCTGGATTACAAAGAGGACTTTTATTTGACTTATTTTTTCAGCATTTATACATCTTTGCTGACTCGGGACGCCGAGCATTCTAATAAGGTCTGGACTTTTTTATGACTTTTTTACGGCTGTTGTTTAATTATTTGTTATAGACATATTATATGTGAGATTTAATGTTTTCTCTTTATATTAGTCTATCTTTTTATTAATAAATTAATTTGTGTATTTTTATCTACTTTGAGTGTACGAGTTAAATCAGTTTTGATCTATTAGGAGAGAAGGGTATATTTTATTTATGTACTTCTTTTTATATACACCTGTGAAAAATAATATCCCAAGCTGATACTAATAGTGGATTTGAATTGGAATACTACAGGATAGTGGGGGAGGAGGGGGTTGATAAGGTGGGGGTGGCATTCTATGAGAAGTCTCTACCCTGCTATTCCTTTCAATTATACTATTCGTTTATCCCACTTTATTGTACAAAGGCTACTCCAAAAATCTGAAACCTATTCCTATCTCTGTCTCTCATGTTCTCCTCCTCTCGATACGTTTTGGAAAGTGTATACATACGGCTACTTTGTAGCTTAATGGCTACTTTTTAACCTACTCTATTGCAACAACTATTTTAAGTGAACTCTCACTTATTTTATAACATTGTATCTACTGAGCTTGAATTTATAGGAGTTACTTGAGGGGACTTATATCCAGTGGTATATATCTTCACAAAAGGAAGTTGGCAGGCTACCTTGGGGGTTTTTCCCTTTTTATATGCACGTTACACAGTCACTAAGTTTTTCCCCGATTATTTTTAATTTTTTTGTATATATGTTTTTCCAATAAAGGTTTATTTTCTAGTGTTTTATACTATTTGTACGGATCCCACATATGGGTAATCTGTTTTCGAGAATCGATTCTTGGGTTTTATAGTGTTCTCCTTTTTCTAATACATGTCCTCTCTGGGTTATGCCAATATTACCCATTTTGTCCTACGAGACTGTGGAGTTAGGTTTGTCCTTCCTCTAAGGCAGGGGTCCTGAAACTCTGGCCCCCCCAGATGTTGCTGAACTACAACTTCCATGATTCTCTGGCTATCTATGTAATTCAAAGAATCATGGGCGTTGTAGTTCGCAAAATCTGGCGGGCCGGAATTTGAGGACCCCTGCTCTACAGTTTTTTTCTATTATCTGAGGTTTTGCCTGTTATCAGAGCTCTCAATCTGTTTTTTCTTGTTGTAGAAACAACTATTTTGTACAAATACACAGCAAATAATATTTCTCTTTAAATATTACTCTTCATACTTACTAAAGGTTATCCTGCTCCTTTATTTATTTATTTATTGTGACTGCACAGTTTAGAATTTGGGTTTCATTTAATGTGAGGTTAAAATGATATTCACAAAGAAAGACTAATATGCCATGTCTTTTCTATTAGCTGGAGCACAGAATACTTCGAGGAGCTGAGTTCATGAAATGGGTAGATGTCTCTATCAGACAATCCAGTTCTCAACTGAAAGAGTTTGAAAAGAAATTTGTTGAGCAAATGCCAGCTCCACCTGTACAAGTAAGTCTATTCATACCTTGCCTCACATTTTAACTGGATGACTCAAGACAAGGTGCTGCAGCAACTAAAGAAAGTTAATATAAACAAAGCTCTTGGGCCTGACAGTATTCATCCATGAGTACTAAAGGAGCTAACTGTGGAAATAAATAAGTGAACCTTTTGTTTTGAATCTTTCAGGATTCTTTTCTTTAAGGCATTGTATTGGAGGATTGGAGGAAGGCAGAGGTGTTTCCTATATCACAAAAGGATTCAAATTCTTTGCCTGGAAAATATAGACCTGTGAGCGTAATTTCTGTGGCTAGGAGAGTAATTAAAGGGTTACTAAGGAATTCATAGGGAAGAACATTGTTATTCTAAGAAATCTGCATTGTTCATGTCAAACTAACTTATTACATTCTATGAAGAAGTAGAAGTATAGCTCAGAGTGTTGCAGTGGATGTGATCTACTTGGATTTAGCCAAGGCATTTAAACACTAACCTATTGCGTGGAATCATAATAAAACAAAAAAATTGGTCTAGATGAAAATTCTTGTTTTTGTGTAGAACATTTGCTTAAAGATAGAATACAGAGAGTTGCCCAGTGCACATTGCTGGACAGCCGGCATGGAGAGAGGAGGGAGAGGAGACTGGGTCTCCTCTCGCGAGCATGGAGCGTTGTCACGGTTACCATGGCAACACTTTGTTCTCGCGAGAGTGAACTCTAGCCCAGGAGCTGCAGGCTAGAGTTCACTCCCACTAGAACTGCCAGGGATTCACCAGGGATTTGAAATAATATCCCTCCTCCCAGGGCAAAGGTAAGAAGGGAGGGGTGATATAAAGAATATTTTTTAAATGCACCCCCACACACTTCTCACACACACACACAGTGCTCCGCATGCAAACACTGCACCCCCATACACACACTTCCCCAACTGCAATCTCATATACACACTGCCCCCACTACACCCTCATACACACTCTGGCTCCAAACACACACAGTGCTCCCACTGCACCCCACATATACACACGGCACTCCCATGCACACACTATACCCCTCACACAAACACACACTGCCCCTCCTACACACAGTGCTCCCACTGCATCCCCATACACACACTGTCCCACATACACACACGGCAGCCCTCACACACTCAGTGCCTCCCATACACACACACACACACACACAAATTACTGGAGGCCATATCCTCTACTACAGCCCATATCCTGGCAGACCCCAGGTAAATTGTCAAACTGTTCCTAAACAGTTTGACTTTTTACTCTGGGAGGGCACCACTGCACTTCTGGCACCATAACCACTACATAGAGCTGTAGTGGTTATTGTGCCTGAATTGTTTCTTTAAATAATCTATGAGTGCCCCTTTCTGAGATAAGGCTCTGGATCCGCCAGTGGAGTTGCCATTAATGGTAACGTGGACAAAAGTGGGAAGTGGTGTCCCTCAGAGTTCTATTTTGGGCCTGCTTCTATTTAACATATTTATAAATGATCTTGCTATAGGCATTGAAAGTCAGATTTCAGTGTTTACGGATGATACAAAACTCTGTAGAGTAATATAATGTGAGCAGGATATTACTTTGCTGTAGAGGAATTTTTATAGAGTGGTGACAAGGCACTCAAATGGCAGATTAAATTGAATGTAGATTCATGCAAAGCTATGCACTTCGTGGTAAAGAATGCCCAAGCAACTTACACCCTAAGCGTTAGTGAAGTAGAAATAGCCACACACGAAAAAAAAGGATTTGGGAATTGTTATAAAAACAAACTAGGCAAAATGTACAATGAGTTTCTAAGGCCGGTATAATATTGTCATTTAAAAAAGGGGCACTAATTCTCAGGATGAAAATATAATTTTGACTCTTTATAAATAAATGGTAAGACCAAACCTTGCATATGCTGAGTAAGTTTGGACGCATATTCTCATAAGATATTATGGCACTAGAAAAAAGTGCAAAGGCGGGCTACATAATTAATAAAAAATGAATGAAAGATTTTAGTTATCAAGTTAGGTTAACAAATTTTAATCATTTTTTGGGGGAAAACGGTGCCTCAGAGGGGATATGATAGCATTATACAAATATATTCTGAGCCAATACAAACCATTATCTGGAATTCTATTTATAAACAATAATATACATAGGACACAACGTCACACATTTAGACTGGAAGAAAGGAGATTTAGTCTAAAAGCGTTTTTTATGGTAAGAACAATAAGGATGTGGAATTCTCTGCCTGAAGACAGTATGTACAGATGTTTAAATCGCAACTGGATGAATACTTGTAAAAACATAATCTTTGTGATTTGTAAGTTATTAATTTGTGGGGTGATATCTTCTTGATCCAAGGAGTCATCTGACTGCCATTATGGGGGTAAGAATGAATTTTATCCTAGTTTGTTACAAACTGTGTTTTTTGCCTTCTTTTGGATCAACAGCAAAAACAGAGACGCATCGATCAAGTTCAGCATTTCTCACATCTGTGTTCATCCTATGTAACAATGAAATTATGTAAAATATATAGAAAGGTCATACAGCTAATGTTTTTATGTTTTAACAAGAGAATAATTATTCATCAGATGTATTATTTGAGTTTGCAAAGTGATGACTGTATTGGCATAATTTTAAAATGGAATTTTAATTGTCTAAGTTCTCTTCCAGAATAAATATTCAAATGTGTCACATGTGGACCAAAATAGCATCCTGTCCATTTTACAGTGATTCAGTTGACAATACCTTATTTATATTCTCATTTTCATAGATATAAAGAATAAAATGTTTCTATACATCTTACATATAGCATGATTGTCCAACTGAGCTACCAAAATGAGTAGATGGTCTTAAAATATAACAGTTAATGACAATCATTCAATACATACGAAAAAAGTGCAAGTTACACAAGTTACAGTTTTTATAATTAACAGTAGTGATTGATATTTACCTTTCTAAATCGCATATTTGTATTATATATTTAGCAGGGCTGTACTTCTATAGATATTCTAACTAACAAATCTTCTTCTACATTCATTCAATCAATCAGTCTTGTTTAATAAGTTTCTTGGAGCATTGATCACATTAATAAACCCTGAGAGGAAGTAAAAAATTGATTTATATACTTTAATTCCACCTCTTCCTCTGAGTGTATGTACCGGAAGAGAGTCTGGGCCTGTCGCGGCGAGCATCATTCCCATAGGGGTCTAATAACCAGCAGCAACTTCGAACCAGCGTGTCCAGGTTTTATAATATGAGGTCAAATTTGCGTAAAAATAATATTCCGTTTTGCCTTGATATGTAATTTGGGTTACAATTTCGGTTTTCGACATTCTCTGGCTATACATTTGTTAATAGCCATAAAAATATTAATGAATACACTTTTAGTCTGTCTTTGGGAGTTCCAAGTGGAAAAGCCATGAGTATGATTTCATTGACATTCTAACATGCACAATTTTTTATAATATTTTTTCTGTTTCATCCTTAATCTTCTGCAATTTAGGGCATTCCCGCCAGATATGAAATAGGGCACCCGAAGGCTGGGTGCATCTCCCACACAGGTCAACAGTGGATTTATCTAATTTACTTAAAGGACCACTCTAGGCACCCAGACCACTTCAGCTTAATGAAGTTTTCTGGGTGCCAGGTCCCTCTAGGATTAACCCTTTCTTCTATAAACATAGCAGTTTCAGAGAAACTGCTATGTTTATAAATGGGTTAATCCAGCCTCCAAAACCTCTAGTGGCTGTCTCATTAACAGCTGCTAGAGGCGCTTGCGTGATTCTCGCAAGCGTATATATGCGCGAGCGCATTCAGCCGAATGGGAGGAGAGGAGGAGGATCGGAGACGGAGTGCTCCCAGCCCGGTGCTGGAGAAAGGTAAGTTTAAACCCCTTTCCTCTCCCCAGAGCCGGGCGGGAGGGGGTCCCTGAGGGTGGGTGCACCCTCAGGGCACCAAAGTGCCAGGAAAACGAGTATGTTTTCCTGGCACTATAGTGGTCCTTTAAATGTGCCGGGGCCAAATACCAATGGTGTAATAGTTTATAGAATGTTTCCTGTAAATTAACTGAATGAACAGATTTTTTAACATGTTGCCAAGTCTTGCACCAGATCTCTAAGGGGAACTCAATCTTCATATCACTTCCCTATTTACTAATGGAGGCAACAGATTAAGTTCTGATTACTTAATATTATTTTTTTTAACTTAGAAATCAGTTTATTCCTATATTGTTGTCAATCATGCAAATAGGAACCTGGTGGTCAACAGGCCGGTTACAACCAATCAGATCCACAGGCGGGGTATTTAGGCTCAGTTCTCCTCTTGCTCTGTGCCCTTTCGTTGCTTCCCTTGTGGTTGTCCGAGAGCACGTTATTGATTCTGTTTTTCTGGTTATTTGACTTTGGCATTGATTTTGACTTCCCTGTTTTCTGGCATCCCTGGCTTTTCCTTATTGTTGTGTCTCTTTCTGTATCCCTTGACCTTGGCTATTCCTGACTATTCTTTGGTACGTTAGTCCGGCCAGTCTAAGGTCCGGTATACGTTACCTAGCAGTCCTCTGTGTTACACAATTGTACGTGCTGGCTCATACTGTAATCCTGACAATTGTTTACCCAGAAAATCATGCAGAATGGTTGAGTCAGAAATAGGATTATACTTTAGAAAGTTTTTAATCCTTAGATAAAGAAAAACTTAATGATTTAAGAGATTGAATTTAATTTGAAGCTTCTGAATGACAGTGTGCCCGTATTTAACTGAATATCTGCAAAAGTATGAATATTCTTACTAATCCATCCAGAGATATCTAGATCTTTTATATATAGTTTTAATACTTCTATTGGGTGGAAGGAGTAAATATTTGTTTACCGTATATACTCGTGTATAAGTCGATCTCATGTATAAGTCGAGTGCAGTTTTGTGACCAACAATTGTGAAATATGCTATGCCTTGTCGAGGGTAAAACTTGGGGCTATGAAATTCTGTGATTTTTATAATTATATACACACACACTCATACAAACACACACTCTGCATTATATATACACACACTCATACAAACACACACTCTGCATTATATACACACACTCTGTGTATATAATGCAGAGTGTGTATATAATGTTGTGTGTGTGAACTGGGTGGGGGGAGAGCATTTTTATTATTTTAATTTTTTTTATTTTAATATTATTTTTTTATTATTTTAATTTTTTTTTTTGTCCCCCCCTACCTGCTTGTTAACTGGTCAGGGAGGGGGCTATCTTAATCCCTGGTGGTCCAGTGGCATGGGCTGTGAAGTGGGGGGGCCGGCAGGAAGCATTTACTTACCTTTCCTGCAGCTCCTGTCAGCTCCTTTCTCCTCCGTTCCGGTCAGCTCCACTGTAAGTCTTGCGGTCTGGTTGCCGCGCGGATCGTTGCCATGGCTCTGACGGCCGCGGCTCTCTAAGTTGCCATAATACAGACAGTGACTCGAGTATAAGTCGAGTGGGGGTTTTTAAGCACAAAAAATGTGCTGAAAAACTAGACTTATACTCGAGTATATACTGTAATTCCTAACCTGTTCCCAATCTTTGCCCCAGTCTTCACTGCATCTCTCAAAATGAAATTGTTTATGTTAGAATATTTAATACAAAAATGTTTCAGCCAGAATAGATTAAACGGGTTATGACATTTCTCACATTGGAACCATCCCTTATTTCAATTCTTAACTAAGGCCCCAGCCATTATGTGAGTGAAAATAGTTGTATCATGGAGTAAACTTATATCTAGAAAATTTAAACCCAATTGGGTATCATCTCTGTTTATAGTTTCCTGTGCAATTCTAGATTTTTTTTTACTTTTCCAAGTAAATGAGAGTAAAAGTTTATTTAATTTATCCAAAATATTCCCTGAGACCCTGACTAGAATCATTCTAAACATGTACAATATCTTAGGCACCAGGAAGGCTTTAAGCATGTTAATCCGGCCCAACCAGGAGAACTCATACGTTTTCATCCTACTTATTGTGCTACCAAAACGAGTAGTGGGTCTTTGTCTATACAACTAGTTTGTATTTTGAATCCATTATATTTCAGGTTCTCCAATACTGTGTGAACATTCTCTTTTTATATATTATATCTAAAGAGTCAAATTATTTCTGAATTCATCTGATGAACGAGTGTACACATAAATATAAAAGAATTATATCCTTGACATTTTCTGTATGTCATGATTCAATAACGAAAGCCCAACATTTTTGTGTGTCCTCTGTAGGATCAGAGTCCTGCCCAAGATCATCAAGTTCAATCGCTATTAAAGCGCTATGGAACAGATAAGATCTACCAAGTGATGCAAGCTGCCACTGGCAGTAAGAATTTGGACCTCACTTTGAAGCGTGGTGATTTTGTAGCTGTACTGCAATACTCCGACACCAAGGGGAGCAAAAGCAGGTGGCTGGTGGACACTGGAGGTACAGGATAAACATGACATGTTTTACCTCTCAAAGTATACTTACTGCAATAAAAGATGTTAGTTACTAGACTAGTAGAATAAAATTTAATTACTGGCAATCAATTCCAAATATGCAGTTGTTGCATTCGTTTTTTGATCTTTGAACAAATTTTGGACACTTATGTAAGAACTTCAGTCATTAAATTAGTGAAATAACAGCATATTTGAAATAGATTAGCTCACTGCTTGCCAGAAATTGACAATTAACTAATATTTGCACAAATCTATGTAGTTAATACAATCTAATCATTACTATATATATCAATGGTGCTTAATTCCATAAGGCACATTAAACACTTGACTACAGTGCCTCAGATCAGGAAAGTGGATGGAATAATTTGCTATCAATGACCCATTATGATAATTATTCAAAATAGTTGGGGGATACAGTATATATCAATTGTCCCTTTGCAAATATGGAGATATATATATATATATATATATATATATAATATCATATATCACCAAATATGTGAACTGCAAATCATTCATACAACAGAAAGTGTTTTATCATGGACTTTATCTGATAGGCTCAAGAGGATACGTACAAAGCTCCAAACTCCAGCCTTACCAGGGAATCCCATCTCGGAAGAACTCCCTCGATTCTCTATCTCCTTTAAATAACTGTAGGGAGACCAGGAGGCACTCATCGACAGCCCAAGAGTGCCCTTACAGTATATACTCGGAAATCCCAATTTATTCACCGTTCCAGGTATGTATAACGCAAATTACCTATATTTCACTTGTTTCACAACAAGTTATTTATTTGATGAAAGCAGGACTTTTTTTCCCCATAACCTACATTTTATTATATTTGCACAGATTAATCAATTTACATGTATTTGATATTCACCTTATATTTTGCCATTCTTTTTACTAAGGGTTCACAAATACAATTGATATGTATGTGTATGTATTCAATAATCTATCTAATCTATTACCAAATACAGAGACTATTTCAATATATAGGTGTTGAGTGTTTTGTCAGTGAGGTCCATCAGAGGTAGGAATTACTAGTGTGGTTAGAGGGGGCATGTCCAGGATCCGAGGCTGAGCTTGGAAACAGGTAATCAGTCCAGAATTCAAGTTTAGAGAAAGGGACACTCGGTGTCCGAAAGCTATATTGGCAATAGTTAAGTAGTTGGACAAATAAACAAATAGAGCAAGGGTTATCCAGGAACAGAATTTGTCAATAGTTAAACAGTCGTGTTTATAGATACAGAGTCCAAATTTGAAGTTGGCAAGATTTAAGCAGGCTTGTATAAAAATTTTTAGAGACTGATCTCTCTAGTTGGCCTCGGCCTATGGCTATCGTGGCCTACCGAGCGTCTGCCTGATGGCCAATCCGGGCCTGTATCTGAACAAGAAAAGGTTAACTCCAACATGGAGATAGAGTACCTGCAAAGTCAAATACACACAATTGCAAAACAAGCACTGTGAGACTCGATAATCAAGCAATGAGTGATCGATTACCGTAACCAGATTTTAATAGGAGAGACCATTGAATTCAGACCTAATTAACCCTTCCAGCAGAGAATATCCTATTAAACATTGGAAGACTTTCCTAACTACTCATGTGTACTTATTTGACTGTTCTTTCCCTTTTGTAATGACACTGTATTCATAAGAGCACAGTATAATTGCAGCTCGACCAATAACGGTACACTATTAAATTTCGTTGATAAGATTAGGGTTAGGAGATGCTAAGGCTTATAGTGTAGTTAGGCTGGGGATACTTAGAAATAGGAACTACATGAATACAATAGTGAGGATTTCTACAAGTAATGTAGATTTTTATACACGAAAACACATTTATTATTTACCTATCCCTTATATTTAACAAATATCTCGGGAGTAATGTTTTCCATTTAAGAGGGTTGGGGGTTGTTTACTGCAACCAAGAATAAAACATTTTTTAAAATGCCATTTACTAATATTATTGTTTTTTTATTTTAAATTATTACATTTCATCACTTGTGGTAAATAGTCTAAAAGAGATTTCCCGTATTCAAAAAGTTCTTTCCTAAGTCAAAACACATAAATCATATGGATATTGAATTACTAAAACTTAAGTTAAAAAATTAAAATAAAATAAATACTACTGAACATAATTTGTAATTCCCTCAATGAGAAAAGTCAAGCTGCTGCAGATCTTCATCAGTGCCTACCCTGAGCAAATGATCACTTTCGAAAACTGTCATCAGGCCTTAGAGCCTAAATGTGATTATAAAATGATGTTGCACTGCTCTCTGGTGGCACACTTTAATCATTGCATAACAGTTATATAATAAAGAGTCAATGAAAAACTAGTCAAAAACAACACTCCAGCAGCTGTAAACAAATTTGACTCCCATTAAGTTCACATGCCTACTGGCAGTATAGGATTTAGGGGGACAATTGCCTCCCTGCCCGCCGTCCCAATCCGCCCCTGGTCTTTGTGCACCACCTAACTAACAATGATTGATAGCACTGCATTGGGGTTTGCTATAATCCTATACACAGTGAATAAAGTCTGTCAGTCTGGTTTCTGCGCTAAGCACTCTGTGGAAATGGCACTGACTAAAGTATCCAATGATCTACTCGCTGCAAAATCTCATGGTCACTACTCTATCCTAATTCTCCTTGACCTTTCTGCGGCTTTTGACATTGTTGATCAACAACAGCTTCTTCTCATCCTACGTGATATCGGTCTACAAGATATTGCTCTCTCCTGGTGCTCCTCCTACCTCTTCCAGCGCTCTTTCTGTGTTTCTTTCTCTGGCTCTGCTTCTTCTGCCCAACCCCTCTCTGTTGGTGTCCCCCTAGGTTTACTCTCTGGTCCCCTACTGTTCTCCATCTATACTGCCTCCCTTGGTAAACTCATTAGCTCCTTTGGCTTTTAATGTCATTTCCATGCAGATCACACGCAAATCTATCTTTCCTCTCCTGATCTCTCCCCGTCCCTCTTGACTAGTGTCTCTGGCTGCCTCTCTGCTATTTCTAACTGGATTGCTGCCCACTTCCTTAAACTCAATTTGACCAAAACTGAAATTCTGGTGTTTCCTCCCTCAAGTGTTGCTACTCCTGTGTCTGTCTCCCTCCAAGTCAACGGTGCTAACATCAGCTCCACCACGCAGGCACGCTGCCTAGGTGTTCTCTTTGACTCCGACCTCTCCTTCACGCCTCATGTCCAGTCTATAGCCAAATCTTGCTACTACAATCTTAAAAACATTACGCGCATACGACCCTACTTAACGCAAGATGCGACTAAGGTACTGGTCCATTCCACTGTCCTTTCTCACCTTGAGTACTGTAATCCGCTTCTCAGTGGTCTTACAGGCTCCCAACTTGCACCGTTACAGTCCATAATGAATGCGGCGGCGAGGCTTATCTTCCTGTCCGCCCGCACCGCCCACGCCTCTTCTTCTGTAAGTCCCTACATTGGCTTCCTGTAAGATATAGGGCTCAATTTAAAATTCTGTTTTTTGCTTTCAAATCTCTACATAATGCTGATCTCACCTATCTATCCTCCCTAATACACAAGTATGTCCTGTCAACGTCCTTACACTCTGCTGAAGACTTACGTTTATCTTCTGTCCGTACTCCCACCTCTGATGCTCGCCTTCAAGACTTCTCGAGGGCTGCACCGTTCCTGTGGAACTCACTTCCCTCCTCCGTTAGATGCTCACCCAGTCTCCACTCCTTCAAAAAATCATTAAAAACCCACTTCTTCATAAAAGCATATCAATCAAAACTATTAATAGCTGATTCCTCTCCTGCAACTGTCATTAGTCTAATACTATCCTTACCTTTTGTGTCACTTTACCCCACTCCCTCTAGCATGTAAGCTCATTGAGCAGGGCCCTCAACCCCTGTGTGTCCAACTTGTCTTGTTACAACTACGTTTGTTCGTCCACCCACTGTAAAGCGCTGCAGAATTTGTTAGCGCTATATAAATAATAACATAATAAAGTATTAATAATCACGTAATCAGCAATGTTCTATTTTCGCTATAGATTTACATTTGCTCCTGTCCTGATCAATATATATGTATAAAGATTCCTCCATAAATGTCCAAGCACAAGAAACAGACATTTCAACATTTTTATTTTCAATACGACTTTTTATTTATTGAGCTTTTCCATAAACTACTTATAACCCTAGATATGCTGTCTGATTTTTCTCTACAATAACATTCTAAACTACAAAAAAAATTCATTTAAACAATCATGATGGTGCCTTGGAAAGGTCATTTTCTTTATTCTGATTCCTACAGATATTCCCTAAACAAAAATGAACTTGAACTCCGAATCAAGCTATAGAGATAAGGAAGTAGTCGGAAAGAATTAAGTAGAAGGAATCAAAGCCGAAACAATTAGACTGGGATAAAACTCAGTGTCTCTCATCAAAATTAGATTTTTCAAATCTACGCTATGAAATCTATAATTTTTCACAATAAATTAATTACCTATATAGTCAAATATCAGCAAAATACACAAATACATATTTTCAGAGGGGGAAATTATGAAACTAAGCAGTGTTGGGGACACAGGGCTGTTCCAGCCCCCACTAGTGATACAAACAGATAAGGGAAACATGCAGTGTTACAGTTCTTTTGCCTAAATCTATCATTTGGACAAAAATATTGTTTGCATTTTTTTTAAAGGCGAATGACCAATTCAGCTCAGACTTTTCTCAGTGTAATTTCATTAAATAGAAATATAGGTAGTATCTTTGTTTTTCCCCTTATTTTCCTGTCTAAGCTCAATCTATTTTCTTCACTTCATCTAGGAGTCTTCCCTACTATATATGCTTGCTATGTCCTATGTGTATAGATTATTTTGTGACTGGCTTACAGAATACGTTTTTGTTGCTGATCTCGTGCACTTGTCCTATGTGAACCTCATTACCAGATTTTTAGCAGGAGTTCATATAAAATTTGTATTTGCTTATTTTTTTTCCCACGAGGCACTGGATTGGATTTTAGTGCTATGTTAACAAATGTACATGAATACATTATTATTATTCTATAACATAGTTCCTTTACACAGTTACTTTCCAACGCATTGCTTTTTCATAGTTGTATTTTGCAAGTGTACATTCTAAGGCTGTAAATTTCAGTATAACTATGATAATACTATTTGGTTCCATGTAGAATCATTTATATACAATGATGGGTTTTCTCAAGAGACTTATCTATTCCAAAATTTTGACACATGGCTCCTAACCTGCAGGTATTCTTTGTATATATATATATAAATAAAGTGCTTATCAGTTTTTCAGAGACAGCAGTTGTCTCCAGGACTTGTCAGCAATTGACAAACCATCTCATTCCCATCCCATTGGCTTATCATCTCCATCACTAGCCTCACTGTTTGAAATTCAATAGGAATCAGGTTTTTTTTGTTTTTTTGTTTGATGGCTCAAAACTGTCAAATGAAACAAAAATTAAAGTGAAAGCTACCTACACAAAGAGCAAAAACAAAGGATGTTTCAGATCAGATAAGGCATGTAGGCAATTTGAAATTAGTAGCAACCTTTTGATGACTTGTCTAAAGGGGATAACGTAATTTTGAATGTTCAGTTGAAATATATATCCCATGATTATCGTACTATTAAAGGGACACTATAGGCACTAAAACAGCTTTAAGTTAATAAAGCAGTTTTTGGTGTACAGATCATGTCCCTGCAGTCTCACTGCTCAGTACTCTGGAGTTAAATCCCTTTGTTTATACAGCCCTAGTCACACCTCCCTGCATATTATTTGCACAGCCTTCCTAAACACTTCCTGAAAAGCAACCTAGATATTCTAGGTTCCGCTATCACACAGTCTGTTTAATCTAGAATTCGCATCTCCAACTCTGTTAATAGCCTTCTAGACCCTGCAGGAACCTCCTGTATGTAATTAAAGGTTAATTTACAGAACAGGAGCTAAAAACTTCTAAAGCAAGTTAAGGTATGATTGAATCTGAAACTATGTTTCATGCAAGCTGTATGAATCACAGCCATTGGTGGTGTGACTAGGGCTGCATAAACAGAAACAAAAGTGATTTAACTCCTAACTAGCAGAGAATTTGAGCAGTGAGACTGCAGTGCCATGATATATACACTTAAACTGTTTCATTAAGCGAAAGTTGTTCTGATGCCTATAGTATCCCTTGAACTTATATATATGCTCATTACAATTTAATGAATACGGCTAAATTAAATGTCATTTTTCATTATCACGTAATGGAAGAAAACAATTTTTTTTTTTAATATGTGAATTGCCTTTGTTTCAAATTCTGTTTGCTGATCTTGTTTTCATTTGTACTGATGGCTACGTGTTGTTTTGCAGGATGTTGCTCTGTATGCATTCAATGCACGAAGCAGCTATGAAGTCAGTCTAAAACAGGGTGAACCAGTAGTTATTCTGGAGCCACATGACAAGAAGGGAAGTCCAGAATGGAGTCTAGTGGAGGTTGGCGGTCGAAAAGGCTATGTACCTTCTAACCATCTGGGGAAAGTTCAAATGCCGAACAGCCCCAGTGCTGCATCAATATACAGATGACTGAAACTCCAATAATCAGAATCTTGTTCAGAAACTTATGTGGTGATGAGGATTGACATGCATATCCTAGAATGCCATGAATATTGGAAACATATGTTGATTACCTGACTGGTAAATCTATAGAAGTTCATGTGTGGATATCGATGGGGAGAAACAAGACTTACTTTATGTGCACAATTCCCACTGTTCTTCAACTAATGATGTTCAAAATCATTAATCTATGCATATACTGTGATTCAGCTATGAAAAAGAGATGGCCATGTCAACAAGTACATTATGAAAGTAATTAGCATAGAGAAAATTCATGCCTTTGTTACCATGCTGCTTCATAATGCTGCCTCATTGAGGCCAGAGTTCAGAGGAAACTAAGAGATGCTTAAATATTAAGAGTATCTATTTTCTTTTAAAATAAATTATATAACTGTTCACGTTCCTGTCAAATATAGGGGTGGTTACGATTGCAGATTATTTATCAATATTGATATTATTCAACTTAAAAGCACTTTATGCCTCACTTGAAGGAACTTCTAAGAAAAAGGTAATACTAATACATAACACAATTAGGTGGTGTGCATGGTTTTACATCACTCTGATCATGACTGCGAGTACCCAACCAAGAAGTCTTTATGATGGCAACTTTAATTCTGCTATGTTACTATAGTCTATCCCAGTTTCTATAGTCCAGCACGGTTTGTCCTACCCTTCATATGGACATGAGATTCTGAGCGTTTATATGTCTTACATATTTAAATCCTATGACTGCATCATGCTTTGGTGTATTTTAGTAACTATCCATGAAAAAAAGTTTATTTAAACTATGCATTAAAATAGCCAGTCTTCCCCCCATTCATTAGAGTACTAATGGCCAGTATGTGATGTGTGTTCAGGATCCATTCATATTACATTAGGCAGAGAAATAATGACACTTTCATGAAAATATGCATTAAATGAGATTAATAGATAATCTTTAAAAATGATCTGATGTAAGATTTAAACTATAAACAACATTTTAAAGTAGGGAGAAGATCCCATTGAAAATATCAATGTGCACATTTATTAAAGGTGAAAGTCAAATAACAGAAGTAAATGAGCTCATATTGTATGTAGATTTAAATCTATTTTTGTACAAACAGCTTTGTTGATAGTGGCCCAAGTAAAGGAAGAACATTATCCTGTGTTCAGTGTATAACTCCAAAAGAATGACCTCTATCAAGGTTTACAAATGTAAGTGGAGGGGAGATCCATTTAATGCAGCTAACTCTATATGACATTATGGATCAGAACAGTCTACAGATCAGTCCCTGTCCAATTCATAAAACTATATATATCATTTATTTGTTCCCGTCTGGTATTAAATGGACACTATAAGCACCTAGATCACTTCATCTCATTGAAGTGCCCTGGGTGCAGTGACCCTTTTACCTTAAATCTTCGATGTAAAAACATGCAGTTTTAGAGAAAACTGTTTTGGCTGGGTGCGTCATGTGTGTTGGAATATACTGTGTGTGTGTGTGTATGGGGGGGGGGTGTAATCTGTGTGTTGCGTGTGCACTGTGTGTGAACTGTGTGTGGGGTTAACGTTGTGTGTGTGGGGTGCACTATGTGGGGGGTGGAGGGGGTGGAATAGGGTTTAAAATGTAATTTTAATATATTTCAAATATTATTTTTCCCCATCCCTGTTCTTCCCTTGCAGGGAATTGGACATTCATGTCCCTGGAGGTTTGAGTAGACTGCCTATCTTCTGGGTGCAGGGAGGACAGCGGGAGGTCTACCTCTGCCGTGCACTCCTCTTAGAGCGTTGCTGTGGGTTACCATGCCAAGGCTTGGACACTGTATGTGCTGGTGCACGCAAGAGGTGCAGTCTTACAGGACAAGTATAGACCTCCCAGTTCCCCTCTGCCCCAGCACTATGGCAACCCCCTGCCTGACATAAAAGTGTGGGATCAGTCAGGGATATTTTTTCCCTCTCCCCACATGTCTATTAAGTGTTCCCACGAATTTCTTTCAGGACTCGAGCCCTGTATAATATTCAATTTAATCCCATGTAATCATGATTTATAAAGGTGTTAAAGGTCAATTTTCACCAACAAAAAGTGTATTTTAAATGAACCCATTTATATGTTAAATACAACACTTCTTGGAGCTCCCTCCTCCTTCACTTTATTGTTATGTACATTGCAAATGTTGGAAATTATATAATTCTTTGCTATATCCTTTTGCATAAAGAACAGTAATGCTTTGGACCAGTGGATGAAGCCATGTTTATTCCTTAAAAAAAGCAAACAGACTTTACTTAAAGCTTGTGTACTGCACATCACGTGCTAAGGATTGTGTGTCTGGAAAGTGCATCTTTGTTTAAAAGGTTTTACCACATTTTTGGAGTGTGAGCATACCGTACACGATGCAAAATTATAAGTAGAACTCGGGGGAGGGGGGGAGGGAATTAATAAATAAACATTCTAATTATAAATAAATTATCTCCGTAACCCCAAGTTGGCATTGTGTTCAGCTTGTACAGGTTTCAGCATTATGTAGCTCACTATTGTGAATATTTTAAAATCGGATATTATTTAGGACTCTAGTTAGAATTTAGGTTTGGTCACTAACATATAAAGAATGGCACTGTACAAGCACAGAGTGCGATGTATTAAGTGAAAATAAAGCTATTTAGACTAGCCCACTATTTGGTTTTCTTATAATAAGAGTTATAAGAGTTTTAGATGTGTCTCCCTTTACACTGTAAAGGAAAATTTGTGATTATAATAAACTCCGCTTTGGCTGCTACTGTAAACCGTACAATAAATAATCCTCGTGACTCACATACCAGACTGGATTGTAATCGGTTGTCCTTTATCTGAAACAGACAGAGGGTGGTTTGTTTACCTGAATGGAATTAACATAGACTTTTAGCTGGAAATCATGAGTTGACGGAGTGCAATGCATACTTCCAGAGGCAAACTATGTTCCCCTCAATATCAGAACAATTTACAATAGGATATCCTATACATGAAATGCATGAAATATCTAGAGTCCTTTATTAATTAATGTGAATTGAAGTGGCCATTAATACAGAACACCCAACGAAAATAATGTAGGAATGTTCTGTAAGAATCATTAGTGTAGAAATGTGTTTCTTTTAGGAACTTAAAGGGACACTATAGTCACCAGAACAACTACAGCTTATTGAATTTGTTCTGGTGAGTAGAATCATTACCTTCAGGCTTTTTACTGTAAATACTGTCTTTTCAGAGAAAATGCAGTGTTTACATTACAGCCTAGTGATAACTTCACTGGCCACTCCTCAGATGGCTGTTAGAGATCCTTCCTGGGTCATGGCTGCCTAAAATGCATCCAAACATTCAGTATCTCCTCCCTCTGCATGCAGACACTGAACTTTCCTCATAGAGATTCATTGATTCAATTCATCTCTATGAGGAGATGCTGATTGGCCAGGGCTGTGTTTGTATTGTGCTGGCTCTGCCCCTGATCTGCCTCTTTGTCAGTTTTTAGCCAATCCTATGGGGAAGCATTGTGATTGGATTAGGCTACCACTTCTGATGATGGCAGTGGTAGGAAACAGGGACAAACTAAGCAGCTGCAGACTTGAATACAAGTAAGATTTTACTATTTTTAGGGAGGCATGAGGGGATCAGGGGGGCTAGATCGTGGTTTTAACCCTCTAGGGTCAGGAATACTTGTTTGTGTTCCTGACCCTATAGTGCTCCTTTAAAATGTAAATTAAAGAGTTACACCAAGCATCATAACAACAGTATCATAGCTTCCGATACTACCCTTTTTCCTTCCCAGGGTTAATTATAACTGCAATTATTTCCAAAAATTACACCACTATAAACCTGCACCCTGGAACTGTTATATCAAAGGGAGGAAGTTTTACTTTCTTATTTTCAGTATCACATCTGTCCAACATGTGCATGTGGCGTTCATACACACAAGCTGGATGGCTCTATCTCTTCCTGCAGGTTGCACAATTACTGCACACAGCCCTCTTTATAAAACTGTGACCTGACCTGTGTATAAACTGACAGAATCAGTGGTATGGCTGGTATTAGGTTATAAAGGAGAGCCACTGATCGCATAGGATAGTAGACTTGGAGATTGTTTTTGGACTGAACTGCAGTCTGGTCAAATTTTGGCCGATCGGTTGATCAGCCAAATTCCCAGAGTGCAAGCCAAAATGTACCTGAATCATAGACCACCCAAAACGCACAATTTTAAACATGTTCGGGATTTTAGTTCTGGATTCTGCTCCAAAAACCGATGGTAGATTAGAAAAAAGGAAGGATGACTTGGAGACAGTCACTAAATGTTAATTTATTCACAGATCAAGTGAGAAGTGAGCAATAGAGGGGGAAAAAGGAGCAGTGAAAAAAGTATATATATATATATATATATATATATATATATCAAAAATGTCTCCTCCTTGTCTCTAATTGAAAAGATAAGTATATATATATACGAATTATATATTCTAAGAAATAATACCTGCATATGACTTCTTTGGATCTAACATATACAACCTAATACTTCAATTGGTAAAGACATATAGAAAAAGCAGTATTCAGTATGATCTCCAAAATGATTGAAAAAAGGGATATAAATTAATTTAAAAAATGACAATAGTTCCCAGACTTCTGGAGGGAATCCTTTTTTATATATAATGCTAAGCACCCTAGTGTTGAGCAAAGCACAGACACCACAAAAAGCAATACGATGTTGTGGATTGTGCCTAAATGTGAGAGTGTGGGACCCTCCAGGAGCCACATGCACCTCTGAGTCAATGCTAACAGTTTGTAATGACTTTCAAGCCAGCTTTGTTTAAGATTATTAAAAATACATTACATAATTAGTAAAAGCGTGAGCAGATTTACTGAAAACTTAGCTGTCATTTTTATTTGCACCCAACACATCAACCTCTACAGCCATGTATGGTTCCCTTTAGGATATGCCCTACTTTTTACATTAAATTCTTCAGCATATGTACGTATTTGAGGAGTAAAAATAGGTTGGACAGCAACTGATATTCCAAAACTGTACACTAAGGGGCGCTAAAGCAAAAGCAGAAGATAATGACTGTAAAAACAAGAAGGCTAGCAATCACCTAACACATGGATCTGCTTCTTCAACCAGAAGCATGACTAGGTATGTGTTCTGATAATAAATTGTGTTTGAAAGTGATTCTTTTTTTGTGTGGAATAGAGCAGGTCTGCTTGGATATGAAGGTTTTGTAAAGACCCCAACACATTGAAGTAAAATCAATGTGAGTTAATTTATTGTACAAGATGAGAGTTTCTGTTTATAGAGCACTGGGGTATTGATTAGGACAAAGCGAAGCTTCACACCTTGGCTTCTAATATCAGATCCAATTGTCCTTGTCTTTGAAAGAGAGGAAGAGACACAGCAGCGAAATCGAGCTGGACGTGTTTCTGTGCAGCTCCAAGAGCATGTCCCAAATACAGCGGCTTTATTCAGCCACTAACTTACCTACAGGGGTCCGGAGAGGCTCCCTAGACTTCTTTACACATGGGGAAGAAAAGTAAAAAGTACCGAATGGATCTGGGCTCCGGCTCCAGAGATATCAGAGCATTTCTGCATTGACCACGTAACCTGCAACTTCCAAGATGGCGCCGGCTGGAGCCTACTCCACTCCATCGTCGGACGGAAACAGCCTCCACAATCTGCCTACTTCTCCATCCCAGGTACGCTCCGTGCCCCGGGCATCTCTGGAGGAGGGTGACTCTGACCCCTCTACCAAAGCAGACATACAAGCCCTGAGGCAGGATATCAAAGTCATGTTTCAGGCTCTGGTCTGGGAGGAAGTTACCACACTCACTAGCAGAGTGGGAGCATTGGAGGGAGACATGGGAAGCACCAAACTGGCACAATCTGCCACAGATGCTGCTCTGGGTTCATTACAGCAGAAATATGGCAACCTGACGGCACAGCTGGCTAGCATGGAAGACAGGGCTAAAACACGCAATGTAAGAATACGGGGCGTTCCTGACACCATCTCAAACACTGAATTACCTCATTACTGCAGGAGGCTTATTGCCACACTACTGCTGCCAAAACAGGCCAAGAAGCTTGTGGTGGATGCATGCTTCCGTGCATGCACCCCAAGTCACACCTGCAAATATATTGCTCAAGTTTGTGCGGGACTCTGATCAAGGAGCCCTCATGGGTGCAGTGAAAGGCTCTCCCACAGTACCCTTCGAGGAAGAAAACCTGGTCTTTTATAGAAACTTTTCTAGAAGTATCCTCATATGGCGAAGGTCGTTCTCACCTCTTACACAACTGCTACAAGAGCACTCCATCCCATACAAGTGGGGCCCGCAGCAACTAATGGCGTAAAAGAACGGCAAGACGCATCTCCTCCTGCACATCACAGAGGCAACAGCATTCCTCCAGTCCCTAGGTTTACCAACAGAGACTGTTAAGAAGGACGCACAGCCATCTTGGATGGTAGAGAAAATTACTCCCTTTGTGCCCAGAAGAGCAGAACAGACTCTCTTACCTGACACCAGGGCCGCCATCAAGGGGTGACAACCATAAACGGTTGTCACGGGCCCGGCGGTCCTGGGGGACCCAGACTGCTTTGGCAGTCCAGGGCCCCACAATTACTCTTTGCATATATATATAGCGATGATCGCTATATATATGTGCAGCCGTGGGCCCCCCGGCTCCCTGTATTTGCAGAGAGGGCCCAGCGGACTGCAGGAGCACTTTACAGATCTTCCCTCTCTCTAACTCCCGCGAGACGTGCGGCAGTTAGAGCGTTGCCATGGGTTACCATGGCAATGCTCCGCGCGGCAGGCACACCACATCTCACGGGAGTTAGAGAGAGGGAAGATCTGTAAAGTGCTCCTGCAGTCCGCTGGGCCCCCTCTGCAAATACAGGGAGCCGGGGGGCCCACCATGCCACCGGACCACCAGGGATGGAATCTCCCCCCTCCCTGAACCAGGTAAGAAACAGGGAGGGAGGAGTAACATTGATTAGATTACATGCATACACTAGTAAACACACACACACACTGCACTAACACACACACTGCATTCACTACACTGACACACACTCTGAATTCACTACACTGACACACACTCTGCATTCATTACACTAACAAACACACTGCATTCACTGCACTAACACACACGCTGCATTCATTACACTGACACACACTCTGCATTCACTACACTGACACACACTGCATTTACTACTCTAACACACACTCTGCATTCATTACACTAACACATACTCTGCATTAACTACACTAACACACACTCTGCATTCACTACACTGACACACACCCTGCATCCACTCCACTGACACACACTCTGCATTAACTATACACACAGCATTCACTACACAAACATCCTGTATTCTCAGTACACACACTACATCCACCATACATTCAAACACTCTGCATTCACTATACAGAGACACTGTGTCTAATACACACACTACATCCACTACAGACACTGCATCCACTAAACACATTTCATCTAGTACACACAAACACTACATCCACTACACAATCACACACTACATCCACTACTCAAACACACTCTGCGTTCACTATACACACTGCATCCGCTACACAAACACACACTCTGCATTCACTGTTCAAACAGAATCTAATACACACAAACACTACATCCATTACACACATTCTAATTCACTTCCACTATACACACCACATTCAGTCATGCATCATTGTCAGCGGACTAGGTAGGAGTCCTGTGGGTGGACACGTGGGCCGGCCGGGTGGGGAGGGGGGTGGGGCAGACCTTGTGCTTTGTCAGAGGCCCCAAAATTTCTGGTGGCGGCCCTGTCTGACACCTTGGGCGGATAATATTATTATCTACAGTGGTATTGTTCAGTTTTTTTATAGTTTGTGTTATGCATTAGATTTCCATACACCCTGGCTCTGTAAACATATGTCCTGCGCATTAGTCTAGCTATAAACCCCTCCTCATTTCCACTTGAAAGTGTCTAGTTATCTCTTTACAGAAATGCACGCTTCAATATGCGTTCAGCCTAAGCTGAGAACCTTTCTAACATACCCTCCTGGCTGGAGAAGACCACAGCTACACGCTACTTGAAGCTTAATTACAGTAATTAAACACAACCGGTGCCGTATGCGACACACGCAGTTACCACACTACTCTGCCTAGCCGTAGGCACATAATGCCTTGTACTAGTTCCCCTAATTCCCAGTTATGATTATTTATAATTTGGTATGCAGGGGTTTGCAGTTAATATAAAACTAAAAAATAGGTTGCTACATATTTGTGACGTGATTGTTGTACCATTTATATATGCATTGATGTTTTTACTTTACACTTGTGATGTGCTAAGATGCCAATGCTGACGGCAAAAATAAAGAAATATATTTTTTTTACATCTGGCTTGGCGCTCCTCATCAGCTGGCAGGGGAGACCTAATGCGCATGTGCGGCAACGGCCTCGCTTGCATTGGGGATTCCCCCATAAAAAAGCATTATAAAATGAGAGGCAAGTATTATAACTGCAAAGGAGAAGCCAACTCCATACTCCTGCCTATGGTTTAGCTCATATAGGTATGATGGTGTCCATGCACCTTTTGCCATACAGCATAGCTCCCAATATTTCAGATGGGGAAAGATGGGCACATTAAAGGGACAGTATAGGCACCCAGACCACTTAGCTTGTTGAAGTTGTCTGGGTGCAGTGTCCCTATCCCCCTTAATCCTGTTTTAGAGAAAGTGCTATGTTTATATTGTAGGGTTAACACTACCACAAGTGGCTGTCTACCAGAAAGCCACTAGTGGTGCTTCCTGCTGTTTTGCAGAGTTTTATTCCATGAAACAATACTGGACATCCCAATGCATGAGGACATCAATAGTCTTCAAATCCCCCATAGGAAAGCATTGATTAAAAAGCTTTCCTATGGGGAAGGCCCAATGCACACATTGCACTCATGGTACTTATGCACATCTCCGGCACTGACATTGGAGAAAGCAGAGACGGAGCCAGAGTCGAGGAAACATGGAACTGGAATATGGTAATCCTTTAACTGCCAGGGGGGCGTATGAGGGCGGGGGTAGAGGTACACTTTAGTGTTAGGAATACAGCTTTGTATTCCTAACGCTATAGTGTTTCTTTAATTTTAGGGGTGGGAGTGTGACAAGGGGCAGGGCTGTTCTGAGAAGTTAACTAGTTTTGACAGAAAATATGCAACTGTTTCTCATGTTTCTTCTGCTTAGATGTAATTATACCCATGTGTTAGTATGACTGTGAGCTACATGATAGTTCTTGGAATTATTTTTACATAGGGGTCTGTTCTGGGTCTATTCTAATGAGTTTTGTTGTGGTTAAACTAAGCTGCATGTTAGGCCAGTTTAAGAGTATTGAATGAGACCGACTGGCATATGACTGACTTTATTCACTGTCTAGTGACTAAACCCCAAAGTGCCTTTAACACAGTAGCAATGTACATGTAGCGTTTACGTGTCATGAGGATTTACTGTACCTTTGCATACTGCTCTAGGTTAAAGTTAACTTTTTACCTAGGTATGTATCAGTTAAATACCTGCATTAAAAAATATCAGCCCAAAAAGTCACCATGACTAAGGGAGACACTTTTTAGAGTTGTTTACTAAAGTGAGAAATGTCAAAGTGAATTTCAAATTTAGGACCAACATAGGTAAATTGGAAAATTTTCTCTAAAACAGCTATTTCAGCCTTAAACCTGAATTCCACTTTGGATTCTCAACAATTCTCAGTTTAGTGAATAACCGAAAAAATATGTCCAGCACTCCTTATGGTGAAAACATGATATCCCTTTAATTGCAAAACAGCACTGTTTCGACTGTGTGTCTTTATCAAGCAATGTGAACTCCTCCCCAAACCACCCAAAGAAAAATAAAAGTGAGTGCTCTCTCATAGCATTGTTATTTTTGGTAAATAACACTGTATAATCTTGCTGCATGAAATGGCGGTACTATTGCTCCATTTAAATTATCAGTATAGTGTCAGGTACACTGCTGGACCTGGCACTGTCATAATGTTACAGTAGTGTGTCTCATTATGCAGGTTTCAGGCTGGTTGTTTTTGTCCAAATTTCTATTTTTCCAATTTTTAGTCAGATTTACAACACATGACTCTGGCAATGGATGAGAATGTTTGCTTCATGATTTGGGGGTTCTGCTCCTGATGCCAATAATAAGAAGAAAGAATACAGAAGAAGCCTCATTTTTGGGGGAGGGGGATGTTTAGTTTGTCATGATTGTCAAACTAAGGTCTGCCTAATGATATCTCCAATCGAGAGATGGAAAACAAAGATGATTGGTGGATAGGGGGCAGCCAGTAAATGCTAATTTTTTTCACAGATCATGTGGCAAGTGACCAATAGAGGGGGACTAGGTGCGGCAGAACAACATACTTCCAAGGAAGATTGCTTAAAACTGTTTTACTGCAGCTATTGAGGGATTCTGATCAGTAGTGATGTGTGTTTTACCAATGTTGTGTCTGTGTGGGAGGGAGAGATTCAGTTGATCCTAGTGTGAGACTGGTGGTTAGGTTACTGTTGTGCCTAGGCACTGCCAGTGGCACATTGCCATTTGCACAAATCTTTAGTGGGAGATAGCCTGTAATTTGTTTAATTGATCCTTGTGTGAGACTGGTGGTTAGGTTACTGTGGCAGGCATTTCAGTGGATAAGGGAGGAGCTGTCGGTCTATTAGTGGTGCTCAAGATACGTTTAACTGCAGTCATACAGTTTTATGTACAGATGACTTGCATAGCGATTTCCACTTTTTGCAAAGCACTTACAGTCAGAGAAAGGGTTTTACTCTTATGAGTAATAAAAGGATTCTGCAAAGGTCTACCACGAATGGTGTTAATGGGCATGGGTTTTCCCTTTCTTGCATGGGAATAGAAAACTTAGAAAAGAAGAAAATGCCAATAAAGTTCTCAGCAGCCGCAGAACCTAGCAAGGTGTTAGTATGACACATGACAGAATCCAAGCCCAAGGAAGCAGGGAGTAATAGACAGTAATGCGGCTTTCTAGGGGACAAAGAATATACACCAATGGTGGGTTCTATCTTGGCTTTATCAGCTGGAACAAAATGCCCTAAAATATCAGAAATTCCCCATGTATGGGTTAATGTAACCTCTTATTCTTTGCTCAGTGATGTCATGATTGAATACTTAATTTGTGTTAGGTTGTTATGATCAACTATTTCCTATCTAAAGCCTTGTGTAATTGCTCAATTATTAAGTCCCCTGACTTGTATTGCCATGTGTAACCTCCTTACTTTATAGCCTCAGCTCCCATGGGCTTAACGGAATCCATCTGGTTATATCTGTCATCATTGACTTTAGAACATTGTTCGCATCTCTGACTACTCCTGTGGATTATCCTTGGCCTCCATTGTTAGCTCCTGACTCTGGCTCTCATTCCTGACTACTCCAGGATCACTCCTATTTACCCTCTACTCTTCTGGCTTCGAACCTCAGCCACCGCTACCTGACTACTTTCATGGATTGTTGTTATGCTTTGCTACAACACTGGTATCAGACCTTAGCTTATGATCCACGACCATTGACTCATTCAACTGAACTTTGTTCACAAGTGCACAACTCATAGTAAACTCCATAACTGCTTTGTCTTTATAGTCACTTATTACAAAGACTCTGTTCTTAATCACGGTCTTTATCTCAAGTGCTAACTCCTTGTTAAGCCTCTCCATTACCTGGCAACTGCTCCTGTTCCACCAATGCCTCTCTGCTGCCTCCACTGTACAAAGGACAGCTATACAGCTTAGTGCTAATTCCTGTCCAGATCTTCCACACTGCAGTAGTCTCCCCCCACCAATACATGGTCATGTCTCGGTATGCCATGTTCTAAAAATTGTTCTATTCCGCACTTTTTAATAGATTATGGAGATGCAGAAAAATAAGCAAAACAATTGACACAGAAACTGAAAGTGGATCAAACACTGCCCAATGTTCTGGGCAACTTACAGTATACCTACTAAGCTAGGTCAGTAATCAAGATGCTGTCTAGCATTATCTCAGTTAGCACAGAGAAATATCTCGGACCATTTGAATATGATGGATTTGTGTTGTCTTCAAACATCTCTACAGTAACTATCTAAGTATGATCTGATTACATTGTTTGCTACACTTGCTTTACTGGCAAGCTAAATCACATGTTAATGCAAAAGAAAATAAACTTGAGTTGAGGTTAACAGAACAACGAACGACCACACACTGTGTTTTAAAACTTGAAAAAAAGCAGAATACAAGTAACAAAATAAGGATTTTTTTTTAAACATACCTAAATTGAGAATGCTTTCTTTTTATTGCATTATTATGTTTAATATGATTTTTTTTATTATGTAATTAATATAGCTTTATATCTTACTATTTATTTGTTCTATTTAATCTTTCTTATATAGTTCCATTATCCAGGGAGATTTAAAGTGTCTAGAAGAGGGAGCCTGGAGTAAGGAGTAAATTGTGAAAATTATACAGTGAGCGGTGAGAGGAAGAGAGAATTGTTTTCAGAACATGACTATACTGTAACAAATATTAGAAATATCGTACTGAAAAAATAGAAAATACTGAGGATGAAAGGAAGTACTATATCTGATTATTATAATAGGGATGAATTAGAACAAATATAGGGAAGTAGAATAAAAGGAATGTTGTAAAAATTGCACTAGCTGTGGAGACTCGTACTGGGAAGAGTTAAACTGTCCAGGTTCTTATTTGAGATAGAATAGACAGAACATGGGGGAAACATTAAGGACTTTAGTGAGGCTAGGGGATTGTATTTGTAAATGGATGGAGCAATGGACTATGGAGAGTAGGTAATGACAATTATGGAAAAGAACAGGAGGTACTAGTTATAGAAAAATGACACAGTGATGGGTAAATGGACACTATAGTCATCAGAACAAATACAGCTTAATGTAGTTGTTCTGATGTCTATAGCCTGGCCTTGCAGGCCTTTTACTGTGAACACTGCCTTTTTTTGTTTACGTTACTGCCTAGTAACACCTCTAGTGGCAGTAACTCAGATGGCCACTAGAGTTGCTTCCTGGGTCAGTGCTGCACAATGTTTGTATTTCTGTCACTATAGTGCTCCTTTAATAACGAATATTGTACATGGAGAAGGGAGGAGAAGCACTGTAACTGGAAGTGATAAAGTATTATACTAGTGAGATGTTCTGGTATGTAAATGATAGTGGAGGAATAAATGAACTATGATGTTAAGTGAAATCAAATATTCTTCTGGGAGGAGTGGAAGAATCATGTATTTTCTGTCATCAATGGGAGATTACATAACAAGGTGATAATAAATGTTCAGTTCAATGATCGATCTAGTGAAACTCTAGTGAAAAAAATCATAAAATGAGTATCTTACTACAATGGTAGATTGTAGTCAGTCTTTAATGTCAAATCATAGACTGCTTTGAAATGAATTATCCACATCTTATTCTTTCAATATTCATTATCAGTAAAGGTAGATTATGTATTAATTGTGTATTACTTATAGGTGAATAGCAGGTGAAAAAACCTGTCCTGAAGAAAGTTTCGTTCTGGAATTGAAACATTGATATATTTTTTATTTATATGGAATAACGTAGCGCTATAAGAAGACTGTGAGTGCTGGTATACCTGTATGCAAAGTATACATTTAGGCTTGTACTGGGCACTAGGTGAATAATGGGAATTTGAGCTAGAATGCAGGGCTCTCTACATTAAATATATATAGAGTGCTATATATACACACTAATCATCCACAACATTTAAACCACCTGCCTTATATTGTGTAGGTCCCCCTTGTGCTGCCAAAACATCTCTGATGGGTCGGCCTCTGACTGTGTCCTGTGGTATCTGTCACCAAGACATTAACAGCAGATCTTTTTTTTTTTTTTTTGTATTCAGTGGTGACATAGATAAGACAGTATACTTGAGAAAAATTGCAATGAAGTAGACATATCACCGCAAAGTTATACAGTTTTCGACACATTTTTTTTTAAACAAAAAATTAACATGAAGATGATATAACATGGACACTGCTCAGGATGAGAAGATAGGTATAACATATATTAAACCGACTGTGTGCATAAGATAATGAGTATAAAATTATAGGGTAACATGAGAATTACCACAGTGCTCGGCATACAAACAAGAGTGAGATGAGTCAAGTTAAGCTAATGCACTGCATGGCTAGGAGACAAGAGTGTATATGCCTGGTTGTAATGGAAACTAGGTTGTCAAGTGCCACATTATACTAGAGTTGTTGTAGCCCCCCATCCAGTATAAAGTTAGTCAAGGATGCTTGTGAGTGTGCCACTCAATGGTATCAAAGGAGGCTTACTAGCCATATTTAAAACTAGGCGGGCATATAAAATAACTAACTTTACATTTTCATCGGAGAAGCTTTGTTGGTGGCTACACTATAAACCAGGGATCCTCAAACTCCGGCCTCCCAGATGTTGCTGAAATACAACTCCCATGATTCTATGGCTCTCTGTGTAATTCAAAGAGTCATGGGAGTTGTAGTTCAGCAACACCTGGAGGGCCCTGCTATAAACAATCATGGTAAATATGGCTGAGGTGTATAACCCTGGAAGGCCAGCTGACTTAGTTAGCAAATACAGTATAGTATAGTATATCTGGGCCAGCCAGCCAAATACACACTTAGGCCCACTACTACGCTAAAGTTGTGATCACCTTACATTACATTAGGCTAAGTCTGGGTGTAGAGTTGTTCAGTTCATGCCTTGTCTTGGTATAAGCAGGGACTCCATCGGCTGATGGTCAGTGCTGTTAGTTTGAAGGAGCACCATTATCACATCACGCCAGCTCCAAGCCTACATCAGAGCTGTCACTCCTGCTCCGCTGTCCCGGACTCTGGGTAGGTCCAAGGCATCCGTCCTTGTGTGCGGTGAGGGGATTTCTTCCCTTTTGCTCTTGGCACAGGAAGGCTCCTCTGCAGAAATGTGTTGTGAGTTGATGTTGAGCATTGGACATCCACCCGCTGGTGGAGTTGGGGTAGAAGTGTCCTCAGCCGGGAGATCCCCTGGGTCCTGAAGCTTGCAATCAGCCGATAATGCGTGGCTTGTAGTTCTCCTGCTTGTGGACATGTGCCAGTGCTACACGGTCTCGTGGCCATCTTGAAGGGAAGGCCGTATACCAAAGTTCATCTGCCCCAAATCAGCAGTGCGGTAGCCTCCTCATTGGGGACCGGGATAACCCCTACTGGTCCAAAGTGGAGGGGAAAGGCATCAGGTAAGTTGCTTATTCACAGCAGCAAGGGCAGTAAGCGATGCAGCGGCCATCCACCTCACTACCCGCCCGGGCAGGCCTCGTTCTTGAGTCACTCTCCAGGATCCAGAATCAACTTCAGGACCCTGTTCTATAGGCTTCCAGCGTAATACAAGCAGAGAAAGGTAAGTATTTATCGGAAAATTGTTATGTTCTTCAGGAGCCACAGTGATGCAGCCTGCTAGCATGGCCGCCAGGCCCGGCCCCAACAGCAAATCTTTTAAGTCCTGCAAGTTGTGAGGCCTCCATGGATCTTATTTGTTGTTCCAGCACATCCCACAGATTCTGAATCGGTTTGAGATCTGGTTAATTTGGCATATGTGGTCTGCAACAATATCAAGGTAGGTGGCATGTCTAGGTAACATCCACATAAAACGTAGTTTTCCCAGCAGAATATTGCCAAGAGCATAACACTGCCCCCACTGGTCGGCCTTCTTCCCATAGTGCATACTGCTGCCATCACTTCCCCAGTAAACCATGCACATGCACCCGGCCATCCATCTGATCTAAACGAAAACGTGATTCCTCAGACAAGACAACCTTCTTCTTTTGCTTCATGGTAAAGTTCATATGCTCATATCCCCATTTAAAACACTTTTGGCAATAGACAGGGGTCATCAATGTTATTTACTTAACCTGTTAGTGGTATTAATGTTGTGGCTGATCAGTGTGTGTATATGTATATATATGTGTGTGTGTTTATATATATTTACAGATAACCTATAGCTTTACTAAAGGGTAAATGAGAAGAATGGAGAGAATAAGAGAGGATAAGAGCTGTACTGGGGAATAGAGTGTGTTATGAGTTGTACTGAGAGTAGAGTACTGACAGACTTGTACTGCTGAGCAGATTATAAGTGGACAACTTGGCCACTCTCCCATTTGTAACTTTTATGTTCCCTTTCTCACCAAGTTACTGGTGTCTGTTTTAATGTCTTACCTTTCTCATTTTGTTCACACCTTTAACCAATTAATTTTCATTCCTGTGCACACTTTTTATATATATATTTTCTTTTACTATTTGAAAATAAGAGAAATCTCTTTAGCAAGGTTTTAAATGTATCTACCGATATGATAGCAAAGGCAGGGACTCAGCTACTGCTCAACCGTCAAAACAAGCAACATAAATCTAATTCATATTTTTAATAATAAAATTAATTAAGATTTTTTATAATGTTTGATTACACAGATTCATGTCTGAACAGAGAGTTTAAAATTACATTGTTAATGTTAGGAAAAAGGAATTTCACCAAGTTTGGCAGTTAAAAGATCTAAAAAGACTTTATATTTTCTTTATGCTTTTTTTTCAGGGTGTTCAAGATAATGAAGAGAGAATAATTAACATTGTAATTTGTTTTCTGTTAGTCGTGACCAAAAAAAAGGCTGATCATTTAATCTTAGCTACTTATTTACAATGCCAATTATTAAACAAAACAAATGGGCTTATCCAACAGGCAGTTTTAATTGCATTGTGTCAAGTGAAACAATTTTTCTTAGTTTCAAAGCAGTTATGTCTTAATTAAGGTTTAGGCGATTTATTTTGCCTGTGGCAATTGGCAGGTATAGAAGAAAAAGTGCTTTTTTAGCCAGTTGTGGTTTTAAAGTCACATGGATAGCCCAGGTGATTAAGGAGCCATTTATTAACCGAACCATAGTTTGAATGACATTATATGATTACATGACAGAAACTATAAGGAAAAATGCAAGCCAACTGAGTTAAAGAGACACTCCAGTCCCCTAAAGAACATACGCTTGTTGAAGTTGTTTAGCACTTAACTGTCCCCTCTGGTTTATTTTATAAAAGTGCCAATTTCAAGAGAATTCAGCATTTTTACAAATCCTCTTAGCACTCCCGTTCAAAGTGGAAGTGAGTGTGTTTCACAGACAAGCATTGTTTTCCTGAGCAGAGAAACTAAAATGGAGGACATTCCACTGTATATTGAGTAGATCTGGTGTAGTATAAAAGGCTGCTGGTAATTCATGTCAACTACAAAGATGACCAATATATCACCAGTTGCTGGAGCCTCAAACCCTCAAAGTTAAACACTTCTGAAGCCTGGACTTGGCTGTCCACAGTGACTCTTATTTTAAGAGTTTGGTATGGAACACCAGTTTTCAAGAAGATGGAGAGAGTGAACACTTGACTTCACTAAACCTATGGGGCTGCGATGTTTTGTCAATGGTTTACGGAACAGAGGATTGTGGATAGGACACCTGGATTGTTAAGTCTGCTAATATGAATTGTTAATATAGAGTATGACTGTGAGTGAAGGATGTATTACTTTGATGGACATATGACAATGAAGAATGTGGATATGTTGGGTAATGGGTATGGGATTTGGCGGTTAATATGTTAAATATTCATGTTTGCTGTTGTTGCTCTGGTTCACAAATAATATTGAAAGCCATATTCTATACAGAACTATCCCAAACAGAAAAGGGAAGTATAGTTTTGGGAAACATACATTTTGATGTTGTATCATTTGTACTAATACACCATTATGTAAATAAACAATACATCAGAATACCCCCAAAGATTATATGGTATCTTGGCTTGCAATAGCTGCATATCTATTATCTGTGCTACTGCAAACCACACTTTCCTCCATGGCACAGATAAGAAAATTGCTTTATCTATTGAAGTCAACATTTTAGTCTATGGGAATTTATGTAGTTAAATTATTTGGAAAATATTTCTAACAGTATTGAAAAATGTGGAAAGCTGTTTAAATCAAGGCCATAGCTTTATTACTTATGCAAGTAGGCATTGACAAGTAGTTACATTACATTAACTAGCCTATTTATCCATCCATCTATCCACCCACCGAATGGATTATACATCTTATTTGTGAAATAATTTATTACAAGTGAGTTATTAGTGCTACAGATCTAAGAAATAGTGCAGGGAAAGTAGCTAGTCGTGACAAAGTGAGTCCGTCACCCTTTTCAATGCTTGTATTAAAAGATACACTGCGTATTAAACAATTGTAATGGTTTATTTAACAGCTGTGGATATTTCTGCATATATAACATATTTATTTATAAGGCTTTTAGCAGCCTTGATAATCCATATGATTGACAGCCGTTTCTACCATATACAGTAGTAGATCATAGACATTTATATTAAAACCAGCAGCAACAGTCAATGTGATAAAGATAGATAGACAGCCTTTGTCTATAGAGAAAAGGAGTTTGTCATTTACACTTATCATGGATGTGTCAGAGTTGTGATGCCTTCGGAAACGTTGCTTGTTATTGCATATAGGATGCTAGCTGTCTGTGGGAAACAATGTAACAGAAACCCCCGATTACTGTCAATAAATGTGAGCTACATGGGACACAAAGTACAAAATGTTTTGCTACTGATTTATGATTTGGGATTAAAGAGATGGTGCTAATTACACCCTCTTCATCTTGGGGATTGGGGAAGCCAGTTTTGAAGACACTGCGTATTTATATAGTATTAGTATTTTTATTATCAGTATTATTATAACATTACTGGCACATCAGGATCCAACCCCCCAGTATGTAAGAGTTTAACTCTATATTTATATAAACTAAATCTCTGTCTCTCTTTCTCTCTCTCTCTATATATATATACAAACTTTGTAGATTGTTAATCCAGCATGGGAAGAGTTCCTCAAGATTTAAAGAGACATGCCATGGTGGAGTTATCTCCCATTTTCATACATTATATAGAAAACGCATAAGAAAAATGCATTGTGGTAAAAGATATGTATCTTCCCCCTCTTCAGGTTTTACCGGAGATCAGAACCTCTTTTGGCGATTACTGCTGAAACATCTAATTAAAGTATTCTGGGTGCAGTGTGCCTGTCCACGCAATGTAGATACACTGCAATGTTTACATTGCAGGGTTCAGACAACTTGTTGTGATTGTCTTCTAGTGCCACTAGGGGCACCTTATTCTAAAAGAGTTTGAACTCTGTGAAGCGACATTGGAAGTCCTCATACATTGCATGACACCCATTGTCATCAAAATCGCCATAGAAAAGCAATGATTCAATGTTGCCCTATGGAGAAGCTCTAATGCTCATGCAGCACTCTCGGCAAATTGGTATGAGGTTCCCCCCATTGGTGTGACCTTGCGGTGGCTTCACTGGTTTCCATGAACTTTTCAGACTGCTTTTCATTGATTTAAATCCCAATTAAAATGTGAGAGAACAATGCATATCCTAACATCTGTATCTCCATTACCCTTGTAGGAGGCAAAGCATTTTGAATGATACTTTTTTTATGACACATATTTGGCATAATGGCAAAAAAATAATGTGCTTTACAAATTGTAGCAAGTAGTGTAAAATCCACAAATGTGGAAAAATGGCAACTCCCCTGAAACTGAAAAGGAACAATATTTTAATTAGTAACTCTTTATGCAAAGCAATATTATTTTCATTGCAAACGGAAGTAGAAATTGCAAACATGCCGTGACAGGTTAATTTTAAGGTGTTTCTCTGTTTCAGTAGACAGTGCAGGATTTAGGTGTGAATGTTCCATATTTTACAGCTATTAAATTCTGTGGAGTGTTAGATTCTGTGACTGTATTTTTTTTTTTTGTCTGAGCATCTACCTTTGACCCCAAAAAGAAGGCTGAAATGCAACTAGCTTTTTAAACATTTTGCATTACTATGATTTCATCATTCTACTTTCTACTAGACGTTCGGGGACTTATACTAATTGGATGACATAGGTCAAGTTAGAGCAGGTTGACCACCAAATGAAGAATGTTAGTTGACTTTTCAATACATTTTAAACACTTTTATCACCAGTAGGGGCATCAGGGCCAAAACTTTCATTAATTTCACTTCAAATAGAATGAATTGTGTGGTCACGTTGTTGAGTGAGAGAGCAACAGATCAAGAACTATGACCCAAACAAGGTTATTCACTAAAATTATAAATCAATGGGAATTTTAGTCTTAAAGGGGCACTATTGTGCCAGGAAAACAAACTCGTTTTCATGGCTCTATAGAATCATTAGGTCTGCCCCCCCCCCACCCTCAGGGCCCCTCTTCCGCTGGGCTGAATGGGTTAAAACCCCTTCAGCCACTTAGCTTTCTCAACCGCCGGGCTCCCTCTGTGCTGGGAAACTCTCCACCCCCTGCTGACGTCAGATCCGAATGCGCATGCGCAGCAAGAGCCGTGTGCGCTTTCAAACAGCCATATGAAAGCATTACTCAATGCTTTCCTATGGACGTCCAGCGTCTTCTCACTGTGATTTTCACAGTGAGAATCGCGGAAGCGCCTCTAGCGGCTGTCAGTGAGACAGACACTAGAGGCTGGATTAACCCTCAGTGAAACATAGCAGAGTCTCTGAAACTGCTATGTTTTCAGCTGCAGGGTTAAAACTAGAGGGACCTGGCACCCAGTCCACTTCATTAAGCTTAAGTGGTCTGGGTGCCTATAGTGGTCCATTAAGTCAAATCAGAAGCATAGCTGACTGGGAGATTTTTTTTCCATTTCATGTATCTTGGCCTTAAGGGGACACTTTAGGCACTCAGGCCACTACATATCAATGATTGGTCTGGATGCCATGACCCTGTCATTTTAACCCTACAAATGTACCTATTAAAAACATACACATTTTTATGCAAAGTCACCTAATCACAGACATACACACAATCACAGAAAAACATAATTGAGAGATGGTGACTGTGACAATTTTAAAGCCTCGTGGTTCTGGCTGATGACATGCTGTGCAAGAACTGGGGCAAAGGTTAGTTATACACTATTAAAGGTAATGATGAGATTACACTTGCACTACAGTTTGTACTCTTTCCTTCGTTTACACTACAGAATCTGCTGATTTCATCCATTTCCATTGCACAAATGCAATGCCCCCACTTACACCTCTAAAATGAAAGTGTTCCTCTTTGTTCATTTGAAATGTTGGTAGGTATATTAAATACAGTCCCCCTGTTCCATAACTGATAGGATGGATTCCATATGCCCCATGATCCCTAGGCAATGACTCCTTGAAACCACTACTCTCTCAGGGGATTTCTCTGTGCTTCAACTTGCATGTAAATATGCTTGAAATGTCTAGTGTAAAAATGTACATGGGGATGATTTTATATATTGCTGAATAGTTTAGCTGCAGACACATGTTAGGCTTATGATCTTAAAATCACCAGAATTACAAACTGAAAATCCACAATTAGGCACACAATGATTTACAGTTCTAGGCCCATGAAGCTTGACCCATGAAGACCCTAAAGATTAATTTACTCAGTGCTGGTGCAGTGGTGATTTGCACTAGCTTCACAATGATTCCCTATGGAGAAGCATTGATTATCTCAGTCGGAGAAACTGGAACACCGCAGCGAGACTGACACACCAGGAGAAGAAAGTTAAACTGCTTCTTAATGCATACGTGGGGCCAAAACATCTAGAACACTACATCACTAAAGGAACACTAAAGGTCAGGAACATGTATTCCTAACCCTATAGTGTTAAAACCACTATACAAACATCTATTCTTGACCCCATAGAGGAAGTCACGCCCCCTCTTCCACTGACTGCTGGCTGCTGCTCCTCCTGGCTCCTGCTCCTGGCTCCTGCCCTTAGCCTCTCTGGCATAAGGTGAGACTCAGGGAGTGGGGGGAATACAGTTAAGTTTTGTTTTTTTATCCCCCTCCTCAGCCCCTGTCCCCTTCCTCATCCCCTTTCCCCTTTCCTCAGCCCCTATCCCCCTTCCTCTTTCTTCATCATCCCATTTCACCCTTCCTTACCCCTATCCTCTTCCTCAGCCCATGTTTCCCTGAGAAAGTCCCCCTGCCTCAGCCCCTGTCCCATTGCTCAGCCCCTGCCCCTTTGCTCAGCCCCTGTCCCCTTGCTCAGCCCTGTACCCTTCCCCTGTCCTTTTCCTCAGCCATGTCCCTCTCCTCAGCCCTGTCCCCTTCCAAAGCTCCTGTACCCTTTACTCAGCTCCTTCCCCCCTCTCTCAGCTTATGTCCCCACCTCTCAGCACCTACACCTCCTTTCAGCTCCTGTCCCCCCCTCAGCTCCTGTCCCCCTTCCTCAGCTCCATGCCCACCCACCACAGCCTCCATAACATCCCCACTACAGCTCCTCTCCCCCACTTGCAAGCCATATCACCCACACCACAGCCCCTTTCCCAGATTGTAGCCATCAACCTACTTCAGCCCCCCAATTACATCTCATACCCCCCACTACAGCATCTATCCCCCTACTACAGCCCTGCCCCCATACTCAGCCCGTGTGTGTGTGTGTGTATGTCTGTATGTCTGTGTGTGAGTGTGTGTGTTTCAGTATGTCTGTGTGTGTCAGTACATC